TGTCTTATGCAGTGTCGTTCGTAACACCGTGGGCTTAGGGTACACGGGTGCCCACGGGTCCCCGTTTTTACACTCTACCAAGAGCATTCGTAAAAAAGAGATGGCTATTACCAGCTAACCCACAGCCTATCACTCTTCCCTTTTGGTGAGGACCAGCGTGATAAAGAGAGATAGCGACCATGCACTACCAGACGAGTCAATTTCTCCGCTTTTGGTAGGTAGTGCAGCCGGCAAGCCCTATGATGCCCAGTATACCGTTGACATCAACCGTCATCGGACAACAATTAACTATACCGAGACCAACACACACGTCGACCAAGTATAACGAATTCAAAGCACAGCTATGGGCTGAAAAGGTATCAGAAAGAGTCCCTAGCCGCCAAGGTCACTTTTAATCTCCGGATGCGCCATCCTCCTGCTATGCAAATCAGCATAAATCGCATCAGACTCATCCGGCGACAAATGCTTCATCCTGTCAAGGTCGTCCTTTTCAAGCTGACTCAACGTCTCGACCGGATCCTCTCCATCTTCACTCTTCTTGTCCTCCTCGCCGAGCCCGGTCTTGTGTCCGATCAGCAAGAGTTGCGCGCGAGGATAATCCAAAAACTCGGGCTGCGCTCCCACCCAGCGCAAGTCCTTGAACTTATCAAGTACCCTGCCAGATATATCAGATGCCGCACCTCGAATGACTCTTCCCGAGTATTGACGTGCACTTACGATTGAGGATACTCCGGGCCCTTTGGTAGCCGCGCGTACGACGGCCCCTTATACGTCGGATTCTTACTACTAATGATAAAACTTCCCTTCTCGTTGAATCGCAGCGCATGTTGCAGCTCACCCAGCTCATCTGGCAGAGTTGCCATATACGAAAGGTGACTCTCACGCCCCGTGGTCGTAATAACGTACACACCTTCCCCTACAGGCGTTGCATCGGGAGATTGACGCCGTCCCACCGTCTTCGTCTCGTAAACCTCTCCCTTTAGAAACTTCTTTTCAAGTTCGTCATAGGACGCATGTGATTTTTCAACAAACGCCATGAATCTGTCCTTGGGGCCTGCAGGCAACGCCTTTTTGGGCAAGGCGATAAGTCTGGCTGTAGCCGACGTGGGGAGTGCGCCGCGGAGCTTTGCGTCATCGGGGATGGGCCGAAGGATGAGATATCCTCTTGCGATGTCGTCGATGGACTTGGGTTCATCGCTGCCTACTCGGCCACGGATAAAGTAGTATGGCACTCCCTTTTCTAGGACACGAGATGGTGCTTGTGTGTTGGCGTTTTCTTGTTTTGCATCCGTCTCCTTTCGTGAGCGCTTTTTAGTCGAAGCAGTGGTACTTTTTTGCTCTCCGGCTTTTTTATTCTTCCTTTTCGGGCTGATTTCGTGGGTTGTCTCTGTTTTGCGCTTCTTCTGTACTGGTTGCGTCTGCGCTCCGGCGCTAGATTTTCCAGACCGCGTGGTGGGCATAATGGAAGGTATTCTCTAGACAGTCAGGTTGTTTTGACGTTTTCCGTAAGTTTCGGCTTTCAGCAGAGCAGGGTGCGCCCGTTTTGTAGTTTGGGGTGTTGCAACGCACATCGGCGTCACCATTATATCATAGATGTGGCACCTCCACATCAGAACGTCATACCTACGCGGATGACTTCCGACTGGATGGTGCATTCAAAATGCCAGGACAGACATGTCTCATTCATTACTGCAGTTGCAGCTGAATACGGAGTCCTTCGCATTTTACCCTGAAAACGCTGGTGCCCTGTTGAAACGTGCCCTTCAAGCACGGCAGCAAATTTCCCAACGCCGTAACCTTGATAAAACCGGCAAGAGACTCGACCAACTTCTACGAAATTCCGTGGTAATTAACAAAAATACTTCGGAATTCGATTTAAACTTAATACTATCTAGGTCTATATGCGTGTGATTGCCTGTACGACGCCTAAATGACAGTATGAATGATTACATGCTCATGTATATCTTATAGCATAGAACAATTGAGTTTGTGAGATTCGAGTTGCCCGTTGAGTATTTTGCAACTCCTGTAGCTTTCACTCTTTAAGAATCTAAATATAGTACCGGGATCTTGGCCACTGGAGGACCGCGCAATTCGAACGTGACCTTGAGAAAACGTGCATTCACATCGGCTGCGTGGTCTAGGAACGGCCCCGTGGTCTTGATCCGTCTGTTCCCGTTCTCGTATGTCTGCGCCAGACCTGGGTCAGTTGGCACCATGTCGACAGCGAAGAATACGTGGTAGCCTGCCTCGAGAACTTCACGCCACACATTCCGAGCTGTTGTAGCATCATTGGGATCCGCGTGCAAGCTAAAGAAAGCCTCTACTATGTCAGGGGGTAGAAAAAAATAAGAGTCGCGGATGGTGGTTGCCCAAGGGAGCGCAGCTCGGTCCTTCGTATTAATGAGATGTTTGAGGGGGGAGACATTGCTGTTGTCCTTCAGCATTATGACCCCCTCATCCACTGCAGTGCGCAGATATGACCATAGCTCGGCTTTCATAGCTAGAAGAACGCCGTAGTTCTCGTATGATATGTCCTCTAAGAAGCCAGGCCCGGGGAGTTTGTTGGTTGAGCCGGTCGGTAACGGCTGTAGGTGTTGAATGCGAAGACAGACAAAGCTGCACATGTGAGCCCATCGGAAATTTGGCTGTAGAATTGACCTGGCCCATTTTCAATGTCGGCGGTCACCAAGTTGACAAGTGCTTTGTAATCAACGGTGGAATACTCTCTTTGCCATCCATCGTCAAGATTTTGTTTGAGGCGAATAATGCAAGCGCTGAGCAAGTTGATGGGAGGGTCGAAGCTTGTGTCTGTCAGCCCTCCGATTAAACGTCGAAGAGTTCGAGGCTCTGAGAGAAAACTCCTCACGAATTCTTGGAAGAAGCAGACGTCGTTTCTATTTTGAAGAGACAGAAGAACGCCACAACGGCTGTTCATATGTATAGTTGCCCTAAGTCTCCATTCTTCCTTAGCTGACTCGTTTTTGTCCACTTTATCACATCCAAATCTGGCATTGATAGCGTGAAGATCGCTTCGAACATCCTGCATAGAGATACCGGGCTCAGAACTAGAGCGATGATCCTCGACTGCCATGCTTAGCAGATCAATGTCTAATGGAAATGGCACGATAGCGACAATTCGAAGAATCCTGGCTGCCTCCCGCCTGTAGGCTGACAGAACGTCGTCTAACACCCTCTCATAGAGAGTCTCCAGCGCTTCTGGGGTACGGTCAAATTTGGTGCTTGAGTTGCTCATACGAGTCGCCGTTCTCCAATCGGTGAACCAAATTTTCAACAGTGAGAGCTGCCCACAGCATTACACCCCGAAAACGATCGGCAACCTCTTTCGCTAGTTTCTGGGAGATTTCTCCTCTGACGTCGCTTGTCTTGGCTGGTCGTTGTTCCAACGTGATTGGTAATATCTACGCTGTTGTATTCTATGACAAGGGCTTGATATTAAGGGCTTGGAGTGGAATGACTCTATTCAATAATAATCTTATAGGATATTAAAAGTCCTTAATTCTTAAGAGGAAAGAAGGTGTAAGTAATTATTATATACATGAAAAGAACAGTTATGCCTAGGACTCCTAGTGACTCGGTCTGTGTAACCTCTAGGTCCTGGATCGGCGATGCCCCTTTATTAGATGGTGTGGTTGTTGAGCTTTGACCGTGCAACATATTCTCCCATCCGCAGCTGTGCTACCGCGCTGAACTCTGCGATCGGCTCGTTCGAAGGTCGGCCGGAGAAGCATATCTTCAGATTGCGATGCCATCGGCAGTCAGTTATAAACTGACATACTTAGGAACGAGAATACGAATCATACCCATTCTCGGGCATGCATTCATCCAAGGCATCGAGCAGGAGGATAAACTTGGTATCTGGAGCTACTTGTACAGCTCCCTCAAAGGCCGACTTTAAAGTAGGCCACGACAAAGGCGATTCAAGAAGATATGTGCCGTATATGAATGCCTCTCGCATGAAGAGATTGACAAGATCACCCCGTTTCATGAGTATTCGACAGAGAGCGGACCGAAGCATGTAATTCACTGTCTTTTGTCCTTGCAGCGGTATGTTGAAGAAGAAGGCTGCAATTACCGTCTGGCCCGCCATAGTGCCCGAAGGACTATGAGCTTCGAAGGATTGGGTCAAATGATGGTATATCTGCGCCGTCAAGGTAGTATTACCCCTACTGGCATTGCCCTGAATCCAGAGACCCCGGGCATTCGGGATCATCTATCCAGTCTGATATTTTGCACTTCACCGGCTTATTCGGCAGGCTGGGTAGAGACTTCAGCAGTGGTGAGGTGGTTATGTTCAAAGTATCAAGCATATAACCACCTGGATCATTTTGCAACGCCGAAATAATATCTGCGGCTATGTTAGTAATCTATTTTACCATAATGGGCGTATCGCCACGTACCTTTTTTACGATACATGGGCTGACGCGGCTTCTCTGATAAGATTTCATGAAGGAATTCCACGATATTTCTGTAGACGACATCGTCAGTGCACGATAATCTGGAGAGGCTCTTGTAATCCTTCTCGAAGCTCATAATTTGCACAAAGTAGTTGATAGCCTACGCTGTCCGCAGGCGTAAACTTTTGAAGGTTAGTAGACTGACTCCCAAGCAACCAAGTAGGAACGAAAGGCATCTTACCTGACCAAATGTCTCTGTGATGGAGAGGACCTTGATGTGTAGATCTTGACATACTCCCTTCGAGTCCAAGTCAAGTCTACTGTATTCCTTAGCCTGATCCGACCGGGCGAAACGTGGTTTGGCTCGCCCGCTAAATGAAGTGTGCCGCCCCGGGTCGAGGCGATTGTCAATTGCCGCTTGAACTAGGCTATGAATAGCATCGTTGAAGGAATATTCATCTGAGGCTTTGCATGGAGTCCCCCAAAAACACGACCCCCCTCACATATCCGAGGCAAGAGTCATTGGTCCGGGCTGCACCAGCGAGCGCTGCTTTCACCACCAGACCACCGAGGCTGTGGCTGACGAACACCAGCGGTGTAGCTTTTCCATATTTTGAAGAGAGCTCTGGAGCATGCACTGTGCTACGGATGAAGTCCAAGAGCTTTACACCAAGCCGACGGACATCTTCTGCGCTTGAGAAGTCTGTCAGTTTAAACTGGCGGTCCCAGAAGAAGACTCGGGCATGTGACTCGCTCGCCGGGAGGTATTTAGTAGGCCACAGCCATGAAGCCGACCCATCACACCACGACTTGGTTGGAGAATCGTAATATCCCTGAACGAAGATAACGTTAAATTTCCTTTGCTGCTCCGGGACAACCTGTCCCTGGTCGATGACGGCATGTGTGATGGGTGATCCGGACAGTCGGTGGTAGTGCTGGATTATTCGTGTGATCTCCTGGTTCCTTTGTGCTAGTTTCAAGAGCTCTTTGACTCCGTTGAGGTAGGTGACGGCTTTAAGCAACAGCTCTATCATTCACTGCGATATGCAGAGGCGTCATGCCTTTCAAATCCATAGCGTGCGGGTTGAACTGTCGTCGCAGGAGAGTAAAAACAATGGCCAAAGAGGGGTTAGGCGATTTGCAAGCGTAAGGGGTGTTTGCAAGGCATTGGTAGTAACATCTGTCAAGGCCCCAAAGTCCAAGAGTTCATCAACTACACTGGTCCAACCTCCAAATGCCGCAACATGAAGTGGCGTAATTCCCTTGTCACCTTGCACCTCCCTGTCTGCCCCCTTGAGCAAAAGTTGCCGAACATGTCTGTTGCTCCCGTGGACGAAGCGATGTGCAGCGGTGTCCGTTTTCGCTTGTCAGAGCACTGGGGGCCAAAGCCAAATCGCAAGAGGAATTCTATTGTAGATGGTGAGACGCCTTCGCAGACCATGAATATTGGCCATTGGTCCCGCGCATCTTTGTCTGATCCCATGAAAATAAGTTGAGCAATCCGGCGGTGACCGCGCTCCGCGGCCCGGTGGGCGGGAAGCATACCAAATGCATCAACGGTGCAAAGTGGCGGTATGTAATTCATGAGTTCCGTTACCAAATCTGTGTTACCCATTGAGGCAGCAATATGGAGAATCGAAGGCCGCTGCGCATCGCCTTCGTCAATATACCTGCAGCTTGCTCCATCCATTTTTAAGGAGATCTGTAGCAACTTCCACGTCGTTTCGGCGGACAGCAAGAACAAGTAATTGGTCAAGATAACCTTTAGATCGCAACTTTTTGAGCTTAGAGGCATCTTTGGCAATGCTGCGTACTGTCGCCCAGTCGCATTTACCCATTTTGTCTATCCCTATGACCTCTTGGATCCAATCAGGAAGAAAAAGCTGTTCCGCCTTATATTTTGATCTGGCCCAAGCTTCGTAATTTTGAAAGGTTCTGTCGTACTGATCTCCGTAAATACTACGAAAGCGTGAAACATCACAGATGGAACAATGGATGAGATGATGTAAGCTCTCGGAAGTCATGTCGGACTAGGTGTGCACATCGAATGAACAACGAGTGAGGCAGCCCAAGACAAAGGAATTGGTGGGGTTATTTGCGCTAGGTTCTGGACTCCTGATGAGAGAACTGATCATTTCCTCTAATACGAAGTAAGCAACTAAGACTTTGAAACGAACAACGAATGAAGTCGTCTCACTGACGGATTACACAAGGCCACCGCAATATACGTACATTATCCAATCCATCGCTCACTATGTCACCACATGTATACTCCGTAGAAAGGAGGGTAAAGCACACATGAAAGTGGTCGCTGGTGCCACTGTACACGGTCAAGGCTCAACAGGCCTCACCTCCCAATAAAGGGGCATCTAGAGGTTACACAAACTGAACACATGACCAGTTTGGAAGCTTAGGCATAACTGTTCTTTTCATGTATATATGAGGTTACTCGTCCCTTCCTTTCCCTCGAAAATCAAGGACCTTTGACATCCTATAAGGTTATTATTGAATAGAGTCATTCTGCTCCAAGCCCTTGATATCAAGCCCTTGTCACAGCCACGTCCTGTGTCGAATGGTGGTTACGATACAAAATTGGCATTATCTCGGTCTTCTGGTGGTTTGGGTTGGCGAAAAGCATCTTTGGGGTCTACACAAGGGAAGGTTCTTCCCGTCAAAAGCCTTTTTATGAGATTATATTTAAATAATTCTCTAAGATTCGCCTAAATTCGGTTAGCTAGTGTCATTCTGATATTGCTCTATTGGGAAATGTCTTGAGAAGCATCCTATAAACAGACAGGCCAGTAGAGTTCTACTAGCAACTTGCCTATGTGGTGAAAGTGGAGATGGCACATGGCGATTGTTGGACTAGCTATCGGTAAACCTCAACTCATAAAAGTGGGAGAAACGGCTGGTAAAAGAATGTTGCGATGCAACATGCCGTGAATCATAGATTCGGAACTAAATAATGAGATGTAGCCCCCTACACATTTGGAAGCCTCCAATACTAGAGACGTCTTTCGGCTTAGACTTACCGAGTCCATGTATTATACTAAAAGTGATGAGAATGCCGGGCAAGATCCTTGGGTCGGGGAAGAAGTGTAGGCCATACAAGAGGAGGAAGAGAGAACTCTGCTGTGGAGCCTGAGAAGGCCTTCCCTAAGGCTAATAACAGGCATCCGGCTCGGAAACCAGACAGAATCCGGGTGCACAAAGATAGCAGGCAAGGCAGCTGTTGTTCGTCTGCTTGTGCTGGAAGCGGTGAAAGTATAACAACATGCTTGGATCGGCTGTGAGATGATTAAATGATGGTCTGTCCATGAGGCAATCGGAGGTCCTAGATAGTATGATATTCATGGAAATGACTTGAAGGCAGGTTGAATCCGAGCATCGAAAAGGGGGCAAGACAACAATGCTATGACAGGGCGAAATAAGAAAATAAAATACCCCCGCAGCTGATAAATTTTCGGAGAACCCCGGGCTGCAGTCTTGATGAGCCTTAACAAAATTTCGAAGGCTTTGAGAAATACAATGATCGCGATACACATCTCTGGGATTGGGCGAAAGTTGCCGCGCAGCGCTTCATCACACCGAGCAATATCATGTTGGCAGGCTAGAAAGCAAATGGACGGACTGTAAACTATTTAATATGGTCTCAATACGGACCCTCCAGAGGATGAAAGATGAGACGGTCTAACCTTAGTTGAAGGGGAGGATGCTTCATTTGAAGAAAGACACGGAGTTGAGAAGGTAGGCAAGGACCAGAAGAGGGACAACGAATTACCCCCATGACCACTCCGACCCGATCGAGAAAGTATTTTGACTCGACTGGCGAAATCCAATGCGGGGGCGGGCAGACGGAAGCAGAGCTTGAGACAGGATTAGCTGGTGTCGAGTTTGCGGATTTGAATGGGATCCCGAAGGCGATAAATGAGTGGATAAGATCGGGTAGGTCATCTGGCCCGCAAAAGTCGTAGTTTTGATGACATGTACGGAGTAATACAAGAAATGGTCTTCGCTACCAGGGTAGAACCGTGTCATGTGGTCCGGATGGAAAGTCTTGAACAGCATGTCTTGAATTCTCATTGTTGTACATGCTCATGCTAGTGAGTTCTCATATATACTAAAATTTCCCCAAGGGTGGAAGTAGAATGCTATTCGATACGTGCTTTTTCGTCATGCTTCGGGTTCGTGTCTCTCTCTTGTTTGGCACCGGGTCCGACATGGTTTAGAGTCAGGCTGATGCCCTTCCCAGCCGCGACAAAAATTACCTCAAGTCGCCGAGCTGTGTTGCCGTGTCGCTGCGGCCGACGTCGACATGGTGTAGCTGTCTTATCTGGCAGCGAGACATGCAAGGGTGATATACGGAATAGTACGTGAGAAATTTTGAATGACGCGTAACTGCTCCCGTCGCCATGCCCGAGCATGGTCGCACAGGTCTGACCATGCATTGCCGACGTTTATGAATCATGACGCGACTAAGCCGGCAATCCCTGTGTAAACGATTTGCTCTAGGGTAGGTCAGGACGATTGACGAATCAAATGGACAATTGGCGGCTGGCTGGACGGTGGGGCTGCGGCGGCGCACCCGAGCAGGGGCGGCAGGTGCTGGTCGGTCGGCTGCTTCCGTCTGGTCAATCATAGCAGAGAGCGGTGCTGGTCTCGTTCAAATGCCGTCTGGCTTGATTGATAGCTGAAAATTTGATCGAAAATTTCCGCAGCCAGCATCGCTGACCTTTAAAGCCGCCCATGCCCGTCACGACCCTCGAGGAGATGATTGAGCGCCAGACGGGCCAGTTCAATGAAAATGAGTCTGCGAAACGCGCAGCACGGCACATGCACGCTCTTGGCCGCGGCTTGGCGGCGCGTCGTCGGCCTTGGCAGCCAACACGTCAACTTTGTCTCTCTCCACTACGCCTACTTCATCTTCGTCTCGTTGTTAAGCTCCGTCGTGTTTTGGCTGCTGTCCGAGCCGAAATTCTCCGTCGCCTATGTTGACAGCTTGTTCATGGTCGTGTCCGGCGTCACGGAAACCGGTCTCAACACCGTTGACCTCAGCAAACTGACGACGGCACAACAGGTCCTGCTGTGCCTGCTAATGATCTGTGGCAGTGCTGTATGGGTTTCGATATGGCTTATTTCCGCTAGAAAACGCTCATTTTGTCGACTTCTTGCACAAAATGGCGTTTCTCAGCCTCAATTGGACCGTCGACAGAGCGTCAATGTGCCCTATCCTGGCGCCTATCAGAATGCCCCGGACAGTGACGCCCATGAAACAAAAGCGACCGAGGGCGATGCGGGACAGTTCGGGAGACTGCCGGTACAGACAACCTGTTTCAATTCCACTACACCTTTGGGGAGCCGCAACACACGTTTGCTCAACCTTGGATCTGAACAAGTGCTTCATCAACCCATGGAACCTAGGCCCAACCCTCTAGCATTCCTGACAAGCAAGAACATAGGCCGAAATGGCGACTTCATCAACCTGACTTCTGAAGAGAAGATTCAAGTCAGTAGCATCGAGCATAAAGTCCTTCAACTGCTTTCTCTCGTTGTTCCGCTGTACTTCACCCTATGGCAAGTACTTGGCTGCGTGGGCCTTGGAGCTTGGATTGCCACAAACCAAGCGCGCCCGGCTTTAGAAAACGGCATCAATCCATGGTGGCTCGGCATATTCAACGGCGTCTCTGCCTTCAACAACTCCGGCATGTCGCTACTCGACGCCAACATGGTGCCGTTTCAGGCGGCGTACTATGTCTTGGTAACCATGGGTCTTTTAATCCTGGCCGGAAATACGGCCTACCCGATATTTCTTCGATTCATCCTTTGGTCTGTGTACAAGGTCCTGAATGTCTTTTCTCAAGGACCACTCGTTACTGAATGGCAGTCGACCCTTGAATACATTCTACGCTACCCTCGCCGTGTCTACACAAACTTGTTTCCTACGCAGCACACCTGGTGGCTTGCGTTCATGGTAGTTATGCTCAACGGCATAGACTGGGCGGCATTTGAGCTTCTCAACATTGGGAACCCCGTCATCTCCGCCATACCCTCTGGACCGCGGATCATGGACGGGCTCTTCCAGGCTGTCGGTGAGTCGTTTCCTTCTGTCCCATGGGGTTCATTATCCACGGCTGCTAACCAGTACTGCTTACAGCGGTCCGATCGGGAGGCTTTTACATCGTCCCCATCGCCAAGACACACATCGGCCTTCAAGTACTCTATGTCATCATGATGTACATTTCCGTCTACCCAGTCATCATCACCATGCGCAACTCCAACGTGTATGAAGAGCGCTCCCTGGGAATGTTTGCCGCCGAGTCTACCAAAGACGAGGAATACGTCGATCCATACGCCAAGGCCCTCAGGTCCTTTAGGACAAGGCGGCTGTTCATCTCGCAGCAAATTAGGGGTCAGCTAGCCGATGACATCTGGCTGCTCGCACTGGCCACATTCATCATCACCGTCATGGAAGCGCCGCACTTTGCCGAGGATCCAGTGTCATATAGTGTTTTCAACATTATATTTGAAATTATATCCGCATACGGCTGCGTTGGAATATCCGTTGGCTCACCCGGTGCCAACTACAGTTTTTGTGGTGGCTGGCGCGCCGGTAGTAAGCTGGTGGTTTGCCTTGTCATGTTGAGAGGCCGGCATCGAACACTACCTGCCAGTCTGGATTATGCGGTACGTCCTGCCGGAAAGGACATACGAGAAGAGGCATTCGAGGAGGATACGGAAGGCCGTAGGCGGCCTAGCTAGCTAGACCTTTGCTAGCACCACGTGGATATCGTTAATGACTGGTAAATGTACAGCAAGCATCATTAGCGCGGCGTTGCAACATTTAGATTTACTTTGATAGAGCATTATACCTGAGATACCTCATAGAATATGATTATCCTTCATCTAAGAAATTGTTTCGGGACTTTGTTCGCTTCTGACTGTACATCTAGTGCGCAATCAGTTTTGTGAGAATGTGGCACCAAGCTCTCGAAGCTCGCTATATCTCACATCCTTCTCAATCGTAATATTCCTATTACTTGTGAGGACCTTGACCTCGTCGATGGTCCTTGTGCCAAAGTCAAAGTCCTCATCGCCACCAACAAACGCAACCAGTATCTTGACCCATGCATCCAACATTTTGCGCTCCTCGTCCGTCGGAAGCTGACTGATAGAATAACTGTGCTAATTAGAGCCCATGACTTTAACATCGACGCACAGAGAGGAAAGAAGAACAACATACTTCCACAACGGCCCGTCCATGGCGTGACTAACCCCGTACTCCATCGGCGCAACCGTCTCGTCGATGAAGCTCAATCTATAATCAATTCGATACCGCCAAATATCCCTCGTCGTAAGACCATGTCTGCTCAGCGCGTCAACCAAATACCTACTCGACGCTCTAACTTGTCCATCCGCAATGATTCTACCAAACACGTCCTTCCAATCCTCGATGTCATCAGTCTTTGGGAGCGAATACTGGCTTAGAATCTTGGCAGTCGCGGCAGGGGAGTAGTAATTCGCCGCTTGGAGCCGCAGCGACTCCAGAGTAGGTTCCGTGGGCCCATTGAACTGCGCGTACAGCGTCTCCTCATTGGCAACTTCCCCTATGAGAAGCTTCATCCCCCGCGACTCAAAGGCCTTGGCGAACGCCTCTGACTGTATGTACTCAACCATGTCGGCGTGGAAGAACAAGTCGTCCGTCACAGGGCGGAAGGTATGGTTCTTCAAGTGGCGGATGCATTGCAAGAGGTCTGCTTCGCTTATGCCCCGAAGCTGCGCGAGCTTCTGCGCCGGCGGCGACGAAAGTGAGATACCAAAGTGTCGACAGACTTCGTCAAACTGCGCTTGCGCCTCTTGGACAGTCTTTGGCTGCGCGGGAATCGCGTTCGACGACATCCACGCACGGTGGAACAGCTTTCCCGCACATGAATCATCATGGTGCCGTCGAAAGTCATGCAGAATCTGCGCCTCAACGCCGTATGCACCCGCACTCCGGCCCGCAATCGTTACATTGTTCACGTCTCCCCCAAACGCGGCAATGTTCTCATGCACCCATTCCAGGGCGAGCCTTTGGTCCCATAGGCCAAAGTTGCCGGCTACCTCGCCGCCACTCTCCTCCAAAAAGGCCCCCGAGGACAGGAAGCCGAATACATTGAGGCGGTAGCTCACTGCCACGACAATCGCGTTCAGGCCCCCCGTGGAAATCAGCTCTGTCGGATCGCTGCCTGCATCGTGGCATGCGTCGCCGACCTGGAACCACCCGCCGTGCAGCCACACCATGACTGGCCATTTCGTTGCCGCGGCTGCGTCTGCAGGGACAGGGGGCACAATGTCGACATACAAGCAGTCTTCTGTGCCCTTTACGCCGTCATTCGCAGAGTTGACTTGCCCCGATAAATTGAGGCGTTAGCCCCCTGCCACGACAATCGCGTTCAGGCCCCCCGTGGAAATCAGCTCTGTCGGATCGCTGCCTGCATCGTGGCATGCGTCGCCGACCTGGAACCACCCGCCGTGCAGCCACACCATGACTGGCCATTTCGTTGCCGCGGCTGCGTCTGCAGGGACAGGGGTCCAAATGTTGACATACAAGCAGTCTTCTGTGCCCTTTACGCCGTCATTCGCAGAGTTGACTTGCCCCGTGGCGATTTCGCGGTCTTCCTGGGCCGCAGGGGGGCGGATCTCTGTGGCGTTGAATGGTTGGGAGGCAGGAGAATATGTGAATGACGGCGGGAGAGGGCGAGGTTTACGCCATCGATGTTCGCCTGTTGGAGGCAGCGCATAGGGCACAGCGGCATAGCGACGGGCTTTGTTGTCGTACTGCAGACCTGTGATCTTGCCGCGGGTACCGAGGTCGATGGTGTGCTGTTGAAGATTGTATGAGAGCGTGTTGCCCATGATGTGTAAGTTTGGTTGTGGTGGCGATGGCTTCCAATGGTGTGCTTTCAGTGCGGCGGCATATGTGTGAATATTATGGCGCATCTCGGATATTAAAGAGAGACCGATGATGGTTTCGGAGGTCAGATCTGAACCCGACTTTCCGAGGTTCCTGGCTCGACGGGTGCGGGGAGTGAAAGGCGGAGTTCCGTCCGGCGTCGAGGTTCCGATTCGGACATGGCCGGCGAGGTTTCCGGCAGGGCTTCAGGCCCGAAGCGGCTGTAGTGCGCCGGGACGGGAAATATTGGGTACACTACATGTGGTGCTTTCTTTGGATGCGACTCCTCGGCCTAATCTTGGCCAACTTGGCATACTCGTGGTTGGCTGGATGGACTACTGCGTCACGGTCACCTAGTTTCCAATCGTCGCTGTCATATGTACCTTGAGCCAAACAAATTAGCCTGACAACTCTTTAAAACCGAAGCTGTCTTTCCATACGCTTTAATAAGAGAGCTACAAATTTTCTTATTGATTTTTTCGGAAACACAGCCAAAACTGGAAAGACAGAGCCCCTTAAATTGAGTATTTGTTGCGACCCAAGTAGCTGGCACACACAATAACAGCTTGTGCTATTCGCCACTATAAAAAGCCTGAGCCAGGATAACTCGCATTACTTTCGTCCCGAAATTCTGCAAACTCCGGCTTGGGGGTCAGTCTGACATTGAAATCATCACCCTCCCTGATGGACATGGTCCCCAGCACAGGTCGGCCCTCGTCGGCACGCGGGAACCTGGGGCTTCCCACCAGCTCGACGTCGAAGCGGTGCAGGAGCGTGGCTACAAAGCTCGTCACGGAGAATCGAGCAATGAACCGTCCGCTACACATGGTCTTGCCGCCGCCAAATGGCCGGAACGAGGGATTCCGAGGCAGGTTTTTGTTGTTGCGCCAGCGGTCGGTGCGGAACTGGTGCGTGGCGTCGCCGAATATGCTTTCGTCGAAATGCAGTAATCGATGCGGCACCATGATGCGGTTACCCTTACGTATGCGCTTCTCCCCGATGACTGTATCTTGTGTGACGAGCCGGACGGACGCTGACCAGCCCGATATGCGCAGCGTCTCGTGCCAGATGGCATCGACCTCGGGACACGCCACTGCGTCTTGGATCATGAACGGGTCGGCCAGGTCGGCTCCGCGAAATGCAGGAGCTGTTTCCCTACGGTAGGCGGCTAGCAGCTCGGGGTTGTGGAGGAGATACGCCAGGACCCAGAAGGCTGTTTTGCGGGTGTTTGTGTTTATGCTGTGAGAGGCCTGTGGTCAGTTTCTGGCTCATGTCCCAGTGCAATTATGAAGCTTGAATGGAGAGCGGGCCTACGCAAGATAGAGGTGGAATAAGACGACGGCGAGGTTTTCTCCTTTGACGCCCACGGCCCTCATCTCATCTTCCATGGCATTGACCAGCCACGCCGCACCTCCGGTTCTCTCTTTCTGCGGCACCTGCAAGTATTTATCGAGCGAGGCGATGACCCGCGCCCTAGGAACTGACATGTCCGAGGACAAAAAGCCCGGGTATTGGTAGAGCATCTTCCAGATGAGCTCATCGAACAGCAAAAACGTGGATGGAAGTGTGGGATCAATCTTCGCCAGCATCTCTCCGAAGTAGAGGTCCTGGCCGAGCCGGATAAAGTATTCTGAACACCACTGATAGAGCAGTACTTCGACACTCTTGCGGCCTGACGAGGTGGCCGTGGGGTTCGAACAGATTTCTTTGGGGTGCACATGGCAATTCAGCCATTTTTGCACCTTTTTCTGCAGAACAACCAGATTCGCGCCCGGATGTAGTTGATGCGCGTGCATCCCAGAGGCCAAGCGGCCTATGGACTCGCCCCTTGGGTTGGGGAAGCCGGCTTTATCGATGGGCAGGGCCTTGTACACAGTCTTGATGACCTCTTCGCCATTGCCATTGTTCCTCATGAGGGCCTGCACAAAGTCGTCAAAGGAAACAGTCTCGCTGTTTCGGTATACTTCGTCCGACTGCTTGACCTGGGTGACGACGTAAAAGGTCTTTCCAAACACCACTAGCGCGAACGGCTCCTTGGAGCTACCAAAGTATGACCTTGGGGACTATTGGTAAGCTTTTTCTGCCTCTAATTATTGTCCGGGTCGAGGGGTCGAGCGCGTCCATCATACCTGGCTCTTACGAGTAGGCCGTTTGAGTCCTGGAAAAATGCACGGGCATGACCTGAACGGAGACAGTTAGACAGCGTCAACGGGATGGGTAGAATTTACGAATCCTCAGGGCTGCTAACCCAAGACTATTCAACGACACAGTTAATGCCTTCATCGCTTCCCAAGTCCACTTCCTTGTCGGGCGCTTACCTGGTATCCAGTATGGGAACTCTTTAGGAAGGTCAAAGGCAACACAGTAAACCGCCATAATCGCCACAGCACCAGTGTAGAGAACACAAATGCCGCAGGAAGCATCGCGGTTGAGACCACGTTGGGCAGGCGTACAGAGTAGTAGGCGGCGTGCAGGAGACCAGCGGAGTGGCTGGCAGACTCGTTGCTCAAACAGAGCGTGGAGTTGGCCGACATAGACATCATTAAGAAGAATAGCACAAATATCTTGATTTGCTCGGAGAGTCTGTCGTATAGCGCATATCAATGCTCGTTTGTATAAATGAAGGAGACTCGGCCAGCGGTCGCCAAGAGCCCTCCTGCAGGGACGTTCGAGTGTTGTCGTAGGTCGTTGGGCCACCCTTGAGCCTTTGGCCGCCTTGAACCTTTAGGCCGCCGAATCTAATCTATGCAACTAGTTCTACGTAATGACGGATTACTTTGCCTCCTTTCAACCTTGGATATCATTTCTAGTGCTGTGGATATGGCTGAGGTTCGTTCGCTTACACATGGCAAGCTCATAGACAAGGCACTGTGCGTATTCATACGCTCCCATTACAATCTCTTAATGCAGGATGCTTTAATCCCTTGTATTTGAGGCGGCATCTGGTTGGTAGGATTCCATGACATCTCGGGAGCATTGTCATCCTGTCGGCATATGCGTGTAAGATTGCGCTGTACACATAATAATATATCTATCAAATTCATACCCGACGGCTTGCATCTCATACAACTCCACGATGTTTGGTATTGCTTTTGGGGGCCGTTGAGCATCAGCAGCAGCACTAACATTCAAGTAGCCGGCAATACCTGTCGCCGATTTATAAACAGTTCGGCTCCTCTTGTGCTTACCATGGATGATGACTTGATCTAAAAACAGCTTCTAAGGTGTGATGCGAAGAATCAGTAGATTGTATAATACAAAGTTGGCAGCCACGATATTATCAACCGACTAATAATTCAAAACGACTTGAACTTAACATGTTCAATACGACCTGCGCTGCGGCCATCTGCGTGAGTCTCCTACGTCAACCCTTCCTCACCGCAAGCCGGTACGGGATCTAATGCTTGGGATGGTCCTCGAACCCTGCAGTGTCTCGCCTTGTCCAGGGTACTTGAGAACAAAGTATCGTTCCCAGGAAGCGCAGCCTACACAGCATCACTGGGATCATACTTCTCCCAACAGGAGGCAGCCGTCCGTCCACACTGCATCGTCTCACCCCAGTCTGCGCGAGATGTATCAAAGGCCGTGATTGTGCTCACAACGGGGGGCGCAAATATCCATCATGGTGATCAGCAGAACCCCGTGCCCAGGCCAGACTGTCAGTTTGCGGTACGATCCGGAGGACATGCCAGCTTCGCAGGTGCAGCCAACATCCACGGAGGCGCAACCATCGAGCTCAGCGGCCTCAATGCCATCACGATGAGCAGTCGGGGTTTTGTGTCTGTTGGCGCTGGCACAACATGGGGCGAGGTATACTCGCGGCTCGACGCCGTAGGTTTGACAGTGGGTGGGGGTCGCTCCTCCAGCGTGGGGGTCGGCGGGTTGTCTGTCGGCGGAGGCATTTCGTACCTGGGCCCCCGCGTGGGATGGACTTGCGACACCATCATCAATTTCGAGGTGGTGCTTGCCAACGGCTCCATCATCAACGCTAACCACCACCAGCATGCGGACCTCCTGTGGGCTCTCCGTGGCGGCTCCAACAACTTTGGCATTGTCACCAGCGTCGACTTGCGGGTGTTTGAGCAGGGACAGCTCTGGGGCGGCTTTGTCGACAGGCCCTTTTCCACCGTCGACGACCAGGTGGTTGCCTTGTCCGACTTCAACAACCCGGCAATCTACGACGACTATGCGTCCTTGCTCACCACGTTTGCCTATTCGGGGAAACAGGACGTCAAGGTCGTGGTCAACAACATGGAGTACACCAGGCCGGTGGTGAATCCGCCAGTGTACCATGCCTTGTCAAGGCTGCCCTCTCTGTCCAACACACAGCGAATAACCAACATGTCAGATCTGGCGGCAGAGACCGAATCGAGGGATATCAAGGGCTTCAGGTATGCTTCCTCCCCGGTTCAATGCTCCCTGTCCCACACACACTGTTGTCGTCTCACCTGTTTTCCCATTTTCCAACCAACCGCTGCGAGACGGACTGCTGATGGGATGGGGGAGCGGATCCAGGCAGGCAACGGCCACCGTTACCATTCAGTCTTGTGTCGACGCCATCAATGCGACCGTGAGAGCATGGGATGCCCTCGTGCCATCAGTACGCCAGATACCGGGGCTTGTGTGGGCAATCGCAATGGATCCCATCCCTCCAGCACTCTACACGCGGCACGCTGAGGCCAATGCCCTCGGGCTGGCCAACCGTGGCGAGAAACCCCTGATCATCGTTATGGCGACTGCGACCTGGTCCAATGCCGCAGATGACGAATCCGTCAACATGGCGATGAAGAAGCTGATTGCAACCGCCGAGTACAGTGTGGGCCAGATGGGCAAGCTGGACCCCTTCATCTACATCAACTATGCGGCGCAATGGCAGAACCCCATCGCCAGCTACGGGCAGGCCAGTGTGGACATGCTTCTCGAGACGCAGCGCAAGTACGACCCTCGACGTGTTTTTACTCGCATGGTCCCGGGTGGATTCAAGCTCGCCCACTCCGTGACACAATGATGAGGGAGGGCTATTGGGACAGAGTACGGAGTAGTGGCAGTACATATTCACCCCGTACAGTGTACAAATCCCCAGAAAAGGTTGAATGCTACGAAGTACGTGCAATGTTCGTACCTGTCGCCCAAGTTAGCCAGTTGCGGGTATAAGTATAAGACATTTGCGGCGGCGGGCCGCGTCTAGCTAGACAAGCAACAATTGCCGCACACGTACTTGGCTAATCAGCGTTTCTCTCAAATTTGCGCCGATGTTTGCTTCACTACTCTTCTCATCGATTCTTACCTACTTGGCGTGGGCTTTTTCCGTCTCGAGTCCAACGTGAAAAGGGCTCGCGCTATGGACATCCCTATTGTCAGGATCCCGTTCGGCGTCAACAACTACACCTGGGTCATTCTTCAACCGTTTGTGTGGAACCTTCTAAACTGCCTGCCCCTGCCGTGGAGCTCATACCCCGACTTTGTACGATACTCGCACCGCAGTTGGCACTTTCTGGAGAAGAGCCGGCCTAACACAGCCCTGGGGCCGGTCTGGGCGCTCGTGTCACCAGAAGAAATCAGCCTGCACTTTGCCGACCCGGACATAATTGGCGAGATTTTTGCAAGATGGCGTGACTTTGTGCGTCCAGTGCAAAAATACCGTAAGCCTTCTTCCATCTCTTGGCCCCCAACCCCTGGCCTAGCTTGTCTCGATGCATCTCTGCCAAGAGGCGGACATCCATGCTGACATCGACGGACGTCGGCCCGATGGCGCTAACAATGGAGTTCTGCCCTAGGGATGCTGGCTATCTACGGGCCATCTGTCTTTACTGTGGGATTGGATGACTGGCCTCGCCATCGCAAGGCTGTCGTGGCCCCGTTCAACGATGACTTGATGTCTTTGGTGTGGAGAGAGACGTTATGTCACACGCGGTAAGTGGACTTGCTGAGGTGGCTGATTGCAGGCTAAGGTTAACTCAGGCCCGAGATAGATCGATGCTTGACGCTTGGACCACTCAATTTCGTGGCAATATCCAGAGTCTTGAAAATGACTTGCGAGAGCTCACATTCAATGTGCTCGGTGCGGCAGCCTTCCATGAGCGTGGCCAGTCACAGGCCGATACTGGACCGAAAGACGTGGAGAAAACCGCGGAGGACTACCTGGATACCTTGCGAACTGTTCTCGAAAATTCTATCCTCTTGATGTTAATTCCCTATCACCGTTTCAGAGGGACTATTATCCCGAGGCATCTTGCCAAAGTTGGACGCGCAGCCGAGTCATTCAGGTCTATTCTGCTGAAGGTTCTCAGTGAGGAGACAGCTGCTCTCGGCAGTGATAGCTCTAAACGAAATGGCTTATTGACACCTCTCGTCCGTGCCCTAAAGCCAGATGCTCGCGAGCAGGCCAAAAATAGTGCAGCCCCGGTATCTGCAAAGGTCAAGAAGAGTGGCCTTTCTGTTGATGAGATCCTTGGGAACAGCTTCGTCATCAATTTTGCAGGCCATGACACCGTGCTCCTTACACTGACTTTCACCCTTGCTCTCCTTGTAGTACATCCAGACGTACAAGAGTGGATCTACCGGGAGATCAAGATGTTTTCAGGTGGTCGCCCAACTGATGAATGGGACTACGAGTTGTTCCTCAAGCTAAAACGCTGCCAAGCTGTGCTTCTGGAGACGCTCCGCATCTTCCCCCCAATTACCGGCATACCTAAGATTGCGTCCCACACGGCGCCGACTCTCCGGCTCGGGGATCGAATTCTCGCCATCCCCCCGGGGACCGAGGTCTTCCCGTTGCTCCTCGGCGTACAGACGGACGCCAGGTACTGGGAAGATCCATACATTTGGAGACCATCTCGCTGGATCTTTCGCGACGACAAGGGAGACGAAGAGCTACTCATTCCTCACAGAGGGACGTTTTTCCCCTGGTCGGAGGGCCCCCAGATCTGTGTTGGCAAGAAGTTTTCCCAGGTTGAAGGCGTGGCAGTGCTGGCTTGTTTGTTGCATGAGCATCGCTTGCTCGTGCAGGCGGAAGCAGGCGAAACGCAGGAACAGGCCAGGCGTCGAGTCCGAAACTGCGTAGACGACGTCAATTACAATCTGCTGCTTAGGATGAACCATCCCGAGCGCGTCAGGCTGAAGTGTGTCCCGATCCAAACCATAAAACCGTGTCTAGATTAATTTCAATCTTGGCTTATTCGACCCTCTCAAGTTCAACACAAACGTTGTATCTACCAGCTTGTGACTGCCAGCCGCCAGGCAAAGTCGCCTTGGATCAAATTTGCCGCCCATGCTCTTAGCTGCAGATTTCAGCCCCGTGCGTCAATCTCCTCCGCCATCACTGGCCTGTTTTCGGTGTACTGCAGCATATACAATGAAGCACAATGCGTGGTTTCTGCCAAAACTTATGCTTGGCCAAACTTCACCATGAAGCAGTGTTACTTGGCTTGGAACCAGTGCGCCCTGGCTCACACACAAAACAAGAGCTTGTGGGAGCCGAGTTGGCCAAAGCAATGGGATGGTGTCTGCCATGCATTCCTGCTCAGCCCAAATGGCGAGTGTCCCTGGTCGTGCTATGCGATCGACGCTGCCGGTCGCAACTTTGACATGCTCTATCTTACTTTTTATTGACGCCGGTTGTGTCTGATTCTGTAGGCAGCTTTAATTACCATACATATGTACTCCTACCTCTCGCCCTCCACTGGGTATCACTTCTGCCAGGGCGATGTTTCCGCAGAATCCCTGCCTTACAGCCTTTGATGCATGGAAACGAGAACCTGGGGGCTGAATATTCGAGTGTGTTTGAAGAGAAGTTTCTAATGGTGTGGTCATCGGGAGAGTATTAGCTATTCCGAGGGTTAGAGGAAACACCAAGTTTTTTCTTCCACGACTCCATAAACGCATCAATGTGATAGTTAAGCTCAAAGGCCCCCATCCACATTGAATGGGAGTGAAACAAGGCTATCTTTAAGCTGATCTGCTCGACAACGAGCTGGATTCCCGCCAAAATTTGTCCAACTCCTCCGTTAATGGTCCTTGGCCAGAGATGAATTCGACAAAGGATCTTTGCGAGATACCAGCAGGAAAACCCCCTGGTGGCAAGTACAATTTCATTGATCCTCCAAGTCTGGGACCGACCGTCATCGCCGTCGGCACTACGCTGCTGGCCATTTCAACCGCCTTCACGGTTGGACGACTGTTTATCAATCGCAGCAAGTTGCACTCTGCTGACTGTGAGACCCCAACCCGGATCCGGAACATGCAGTAGCTTACCGGCATACAGACATCACATTTGTGGCGTGCCTGGTCAACATTGCCTACACTGGCGTCATCATCGCTCGTAAGACACGACTTTGTGGCATGTTGCTTTTTGTTTCAACCGTCTCTCCTCATAGTACTGATGAAAGACCTCGTCTCGGCAGAGCACAATTCCTTTCACCACGCCTGGGACGTTCCGGTGTGTTTTTACACCGGGCAATTCCTCCAGCTCCCCTTCATCCAGACGGTACTGTTCTCGCCCGTGTTCTTCTTCTCGAAAGCTGCCATCTTCTTGCTCTACCGACAGCTCTTTGCGACGGGTAGACGACTCAAGATCGCCATCAACCTTGGCCTCGCCGCCACCTTCCTCGTGTACCTGTCGAACATCCCGCTGGCTGCTGTGTATGCGGCACCCGATCCTGGCAAACCATGGTCCTCGCTCCTTGTCAAGCTGCAGACCAAGGGCCAGAAGTTCTCCCTGGCTGGCGCTGTGCAGAGCGCTGTTGGAACAGCAATCGATCTGTACATATTCTTTCTTCCCATGCCAATTCTCCTCGGCCTCCACCTGCCGCTGAAGCGACGACTTCAGCTTGTGTGCGTCTTTTCTATCGCGCTTCTGTACGTCTGATCCTCGAACCCCCCAATTTGAGAACTCATTGGCCAACTCTCTTTTGCCTTGCAGCGGAGTGGCGGCTAGCGTAGTGTCGCTTTACGTGAAGACGCAGCTCCTCTCGTCTGACGACTTGTCGTGGCTCGGCGCCCAAGCAAGTCTGTGCTCGTGAGTCTAATCCTTACTTCGGCTTATTCTCCTGGATATGTGACGTTCCATCTCGCGCTTTGGCTGACTAACTTTTCCCAGTCTGATCGAGACGGATGTAGCTATCATTGTGGGCTGCATGCCAGCCTGTGCCCAGTTTCTGACACCTGGCGCCAGAGCATCTACTTTCTTCAAGTCGCTGCGCTCTCGCCTGCTGGGTAGCCATCGCGCCGGCACCAGCACTGGGAAGACTGCATCGTCCAAGTTAAGTGCGTCTTACGAGCAGCAGCAGCAGCAGCAGAAACGGGGCCAATTTGGTCGCGGCAGTGACCAGTCGAAACAAATACTTGACTACGAAATGAGTGACACACAGCCACTCAAAACTACGGCTCGAGATGACGACGGATCGGAGTGGCATCACCAGTCCAACCACATGAGTGAGCACAGGCCGGCTCAACAGTGGGTGTGAGCGGAATTCACGTCGGAGAATGTGTAGTACATTATGTATACAGCCACTGATGATAGACTCTGCTGCATATGCCTGCCCATGGCGGGATATCGCTTCCTTCAATTTTCTACCCTGTTTGTTGGCCGGTTCCTACGCTCGGCAAGGTGTCCAGGGAGATGGACGTGAGCTTGAGTCCGGCAAAGTGCCTGGACATGCCAAGATCATAAACAGTGTTCGCAAGGTTGCGTTGCACTGCGCAGCACACTAAGAGGAACTGTACTTTGTCTGAAGCTGCAGCTGAACCGTTGGAAAAGGCTGGTGCGCCTTGATGCCGTCAGCCGTCGTACGCGGAAACAAGGATCAAGGAACTCGAAGCTCTCTCCCCTCTCTGGTTGCATAGCTAAGACCAACTGCGTTCAATATCGTCATCAATATTCTCTTCGCCCCCACCATCGAGAAGCTGTATCAAGTTGTCCATGTCGACAACCTCATGCAACATACATACCCAGTACTGGCCCTTGCCATGTGTGTATTACACGAGGCCATCCCTGCCCAAAGGGCCTCAGGTATCCCACATTGGCAGGCGAATACATGGCCGTCAGACAGCCACTGAGTATAGTGCAGTTTGAGGACGAAGGATCAATTAATTAACAGCACAATGTTGACTTGTCCGCCGCCACGCGCGCTTCATGAAGTGGAAGAAAGCGAGCGCGAGACAGATTAGGGCGGGAAGAGCCAGACCAGAAAGACCGAAAGACCGAGAGAAAAAATTGTATGCCACCTGATTCTGTATAATTGAAAAAACCATGAATACCCACGTTGACCCCATCGCGGTCCATTACCACGCCCAGACATGCAGGCGCCGGTTTACTCGAGTACTCGGAACCAACAAAAGCTGCAGTTGGGTCCTCGAGCGGTCATGTATGTTCATAATCCGTCACCTACATAACGTAGGGTCACATTGTGCACAGGCGGCGCTGTTTCCTGACCCAACAGAATGATGGACAAGATGAGTCTCCGTCGTGTGTGTGTAAGGTTCCTCCTGCATCAGTCCCCAAGTCCTCTCCGCCCTTCCACGGCGTTTTCTTCACGCTTTTTTTTTCCCCTTTTCTTCTTCCCTCTCTCTTGGCTTCTGAGCTGATCCTGTTTCGCAATGGATAAGACTTGCGCAGCCTTGCAGGCTGCCCTCGGTTCCGACAAGGTCCTGTTTCCGGGAAGCGCCGCATACGCCGCAGCGCTTACGTCGTATTTTAGCCCGCAAGTTTCGGGCCTCCATCCCCAATGCTTCGTTACGCCCAGGTCGGTCCATGATGTATCCTGCGTGGTCGAGACCATGAAAGCCACCGGAGGTGAGTTTGCCATCCGGGGCGGCGGGCACCAGTGGTTCCGAGGCGCGGCCAGTTGCTCTGGAGTCACAGTTGATATGCGCGGCCTCAACTCGGTCGTGATGAGCGACGACAAGTCGAGTGTGACTGTCGGCGCTGGCGCGACATGGGATGCAGTCTATGAAACCCTTGAGGCCCTGGGCCTCAGCGCCGCCGGTGGTCGTGTTGCTGGCGTCGGCGTCGCAGGACTCACTGCCGGAGGCGGCATCTCATATTTCGGACCACGTGAGGGCTGGACCTGCAATCAAGTCATCTCGTTCGAGGTTGTTCTCGCCGACGGCTCCGTCGTCGAGGCCAGCGAGCAGAGAAACTCGGACCTCTGGCTGGCGCTCCGTGGCGGCGCAAACAACTTTGGCATCATCACCAGCTTCACTATCAAGACGTTTGAACAAGGCCAGCTATGGTCAAGCCTCACACTGAATCCACTCTCGGCAGTCGAGCAGCAAGCTCAGACGTATGCCAAGCTTATGGACCCGGCCAACTACGACGAGAATGCGTCGTTTCTCTTCGGCTGGTCATTCAACAGTACGCACAAGTTGAGCGTCGCTCTGAACCAGCTGATCTACACCAAGCCTAATGGCAACGAGGTTCCAGCCTTTTATCAACCGGTCCTTGACCTGCCGACAATCCCTTACCCTGCCGCCGGCGCTACGGTGGCCAGCATGTCGACCCTCGCTAGACAAGGGGTCTCATTGCAGCCGCCACAAGTGGCCCGGTACGTAGCCATGTGTTTTTTTGTCTTGCACCTTGCGTACGAAGTCGGCTAACGGGTAGTAATAACACAGTTACCTCTCAACAACGCTGACGTTTGTGCCTACAGAGGCAATGATCCATGCCACGTTCGACGCCTACAACGCCAGCTTGCCGTCGGTACAGAACATCGCAGGCATCAGGTGGAACATCAACTTGGAGGCGCTGCCGCCGCAGCTGTACTCGCGTGGCGCCAAAGATAACGCCTTGGGGCTCGCAGACCGAACCGAGCCGCTCGTTGTGTGTCTTTTGTCGCCCGCGTGGTCTGATGCCGGCGATGATGAGAAGGTATATGCCGCGGCGCGCGCGCTGATGGAGGACATTAATCATAGAGCAAAGGACCTCGGAGTATACGACCCATTTATTTACATGAATTACGCGGCGCCGTGGCAGGATGTGATTTCAAGCTACGGGCAGGCGAGTGTGGCACAGCTGCAGCAAGTCAGGTCAAGGGTTGATCCCCATGGCATGTTCACCCATCAAGTTCCGGGAGGGTTCAAGATCCCGTAGTGATGGAATCCAGCCGGTAGACTTTAAAGGTAGCAATCATTCCCTACTACAGGTACATGCCATGTTATTGCCAATCGCCAAGAATTGTCTCGCCCTCCACCAACCGGGTATACTTTACTGTTTCCTTCCAGACCAACTCCCGCTTCTGGGAGTCCCTCGCCTCAGGGCTCGTCTCCATCGGCTCTCTGCCATTAAAGTATAATGCCTTTGGTAGGCCGTCCCCTGCGCCCAGGCCCGACCCGAAGGCCGCTTCCAGGACATCCGCCCCGGAGCGCTGTGGCGTCCGCACCGGGCCGTTGGGGAACAGGAAGGCAATGACGGGATAGATGACGCCAAAGATGAGCACGCGGATCGCCCATGGCGCGAGGCGCGGCAAACTAGTCATCATGGTGCCCGGGTCGACCCCAAGGACACTGATGTTCTTGAGGTTGGCGTCCTTGTCCAGACGGCGCTGCAGCTCATACATCATCATGAGGAGGCACAACTTTGACGCGCCGTAGCGCCGGAGCCCGCTGCGAAACGATGGGTCTTCTTTGGCCGAGGCCCATGCGCCCTTTGCAACGGCCTCGACGCTGGCCTCGTCGGTACCCATCAGCTGCTTGTACTTGTCTTCGAACGCCTTGGAGCGGGCGTTGCGCGGATCACTGGGGCTGCAGCGTGGACCCTCTGTTAGCCTTGATAGATAGACTTGACTCTTCCGTGTTTCTCTTGTTCAGCCCAGCATGGGGAGATTGGGACGCTTACTCGTGTGTCTGGCTCCCAATGACAACAATACGACCGGCTTCCTTGTCCATACTCTGGAGCAGCAGAAGTTTGAGCAGCCAATGTCCGAGATAGTTGGCTGCAAACGTAACGTCGAACCCGTCACTCGTCCACTTCTGCTTGCCAAAGTCTAGGAAGCCAGCGTTGAGGATGAGGGCACGGATGGGCGGGATCTGGCCAGCAGACACGCGGCTCTATTCACAGCCAGCTAACGTTAAACAGGGTCAAGACGTGTAAGGAGCTGGGGGGGCAATCGGATGGGAGCTCACATTGATGTGCTGTGCGACTTGTCGTACGTTGCCGAGGTTGGTCAAGTCCAGAGATGCCACCTCTTGCTTGTGCGACGCTGAGCCTCGCGAAAGGGCCGCGGTGAGCGCCGGCGCTGCTGACGCGTCTCGCACGAGGTAAATCCCATGATGACCCAGAAACTCGGGCTTGGAGGCAATATGCTCGGCCAAGGCGCTTCCTAGACCGCCGTTGGCGCCGGTGACGATGATGGTTCCTTTATCCGCCATTTGTGGTGACGACGAAGGTTCTGTTCGCAGTACGGTGGAAGAAACTAGATTACCGGAGACGGGAAGCGAGGTGATGAATGTAAATGGGGAGAGATGAAGCCGGCTTGGGATTTTATTGAAGATATGGCACCATGGGCGTGAAATGAGGCAGAGGTGACACCTCAACTACTGGCATCTGCGGTGTCCCTCCCCCCTGCTCCGTGTGATGTATCACCATTGTGCTCAAATGTGAGTGGGGAATAACTATGATACGGCTTCTTTAATTGCCGTGTTGGTCGTACCGAGTCCAGTGTTTGTATGACACGAGGCTGTGGGCGCACGTTGGTCAACCCGTCACATTTAATGCTGTGCTGGGAGCATGACAATACCCCAGTGCTACACCGTGCTCGCTGCTCACCCATGCTCGCATTCATTCAAAGTACGTACACATACTCTGGAGGTACTGGAGCAGACAGTTGCAGCAGCACCAGTCCATGGCCGGATATTCCCAACATCCCGCTGATGGGTGCCCTTTGGGCTCTGACAGTCCCGCAAAGGCCATTCATTCAAGTACACAAAGATACGACATCACGTTGCGCTTATTCTACCACTATGATTACGTTTTCACTCATTTCAAGTGATGAATGCACCACAGATGACTTAGACTTCGTGTTCCTAGTCTGGTTCCCCCCGCCATACGGAGTATCTGAGTATATGTAACGAATTTCTTTGCGTGCGACCAGTCATGTTCAATTCTGAACGACCTGGACTATGACCAGAGCTTGAAGAGTCTTTGACATGTACTACATATTATATCGCAATTATGACCCGCGGTCTTTAACGAGAGCGAGATGCTGCGAGCTTGTCGAAATACGAGAACCACGTGATAAAAACAACCGATAAAAGGTCAAAACTGACAGTAAAAGGAAAGTGCCAACTCGATCAATTGCACATCCATTTTGTAGAAATGAGGCTTTTACTTCTACTCTGACGAATCTGCCTTAACACGTCGTTTCCAGCGCCACAGTAGCTGGATCCGTCCCGAAACACACCCGGAACGTATCAGATGAGGTATACTTTAAGTGAAATCAAAAGCCCCAAGTTCTTTATGTAAAAATTGAAAGTTATAGTACATTCCTAGTCTTAAGGACGGCTCTGTTTAGGCTAGGGTATCACATCGATCATTACTTTTTAAGAACTGTCGTTTAATTATGTTATAAAATGAATTCCCTCTTATTAGGTAGCAATTACTTGCTCGCTTGTTCCGTTCCATTCGCCTGGAATTGATCAACGGGGCTGTATATCCAAGGTGCCCGCAACTAGCTCCCTGGAACAGCTAGTAGGCCACATTTGACGGCATTATATAGATCTTTCGAGTGAGCATCAGCTACCTAGGTAGTCAACCAAAACAAGCATCTTCCATAATACCGGACCCCCCTAGATTGTAACAAGTGTAACAAGCTTCGTGGGATGAGCAAACAGAAGAGGAGCCATGAATAAGTTTGTCCCGAGCAGTACGGAAATCTAGCAAGTGATGTATTAGCTTGCGGAAAAGTGGGATGATATGTTTCCTCTGCTAACTTGAGGCTATTAGAGGGGCATTTAAACAGCTGTTGGGTGAAAAAGGACATGGTTGGAGGCCGTTGGTCACGATAGTTGCCTTTTCTAGAGCTCAATTTAGGGCACGGATTGAGGGTCTCGGCAGGGGTCTGCAGGGGCTCTTCCAAAGTATAAAAGGGTAAATTTTCAGGGTTTTCAGTGTGTACGAGAGAGATCTCTTTCCGTCGTTAATATCCTTGAACTCGCTTCACCAAAGCGGTCAAAACCCTCCCCAATATATGCCTTATCCAGTGAGTGAATTGCTGCGATATTTCCAACAACAGTAGCTCGTATGTATAGCCTCATCATCATTGGGAGCAGTCATTTTAACATACGAAGCAACCTTGGTTGTTGTCTAAGCTAGTATTAGCTTTTAGTCTTTTAGGGCTACTCAGCTATACGGGGCGCTAGATAAGAATATTTACTGCACTAAATTAACGATTAGCGCTGAAGATATATATGCACTTTATGTTACCCTGATCAATGTATCACATGAATGTTCCCTCATTCCTCTCCCGCCAGATCCAGAGTCTTGCTTGTACCAGATTTCGGAACAGCGTCGTTTTCAATTCAACGCCAAGTTTCCGGGAACGTCTGGTGCTACAGTTGCAGACAAAGCGGCCGCAAGGGATCAATAATCACAGTGCAAACATACGGTATAACCTAAAGTCCGACCTCTTCCTCCGTCAGCTTTACCGCTGCCCTCTTCCAAGGGCTCCAGTATATTCCACTTCATGCTTGTTTAATCATGATTCATCTTGCTATCCGATTCAGTCTTTGTGATACAAATTGGGCAAACAGAACAAGACATTATTGTATGGCTGGCAAGTTGAAATCAGAAATTATGAGACCCTAATTGCACAACGTCGACGGCGTAAATAAAGGTATCGACCCTGTTTTTCCTTGAATCATGCAGTGGCTCTACGGTGCTGTAGGCGCAAGTCACAAAGAAATGGAACGTCTTTTACTCCTCGCGGCCGAGCATCGTTTGCTTCAAGACGGTAAACACCCCCGTCAACAGCAAATGGCGGCGCAGGGCGTTCCAGGGTTTCTTACGTCCTCATTGCTTTAATTTTGGATGCTCTCGTGTCCAACACTGAACGAACAAATGTTGCCGTTATAATGGCTTCAGAGCATTTTGGCATGAGGGATGTTGCCCGTACGGCCTCATAACACTTGGCTACACGATGGAAACCCAGCGTTATAGCCTCGCAGACTGCCGGCCTTCTCATAAGTCTGCTTTAATAAATAAAACAACCTTGAAGCACCTGGTTTTAGGACCTTAGATCGTCTTGACAGCACTAAAGCATGGTTTGGAGAGCTGTTAAGGCTCCATTGATAGTAGGAGAACGCTGCGTATTTCGAACGTCTTATATAACGGAACTGACAAATTATCCCCTTGGCAAAGGCCTCTTCGCTGCTTGTCTCGCGAATTGCCGCTGCCAGTCTTGAGCCGCTTGCTATGATAAAGTACGACGCAATATCACCCTTTTTTCAGACTGATGTCGACATTCAACACACTACGGTGCCATTACCCCAGATGACAGACGATATGCACCCCATACCGGAACTTACCATTCCTCATCATCCACACTTGGATGTCATTCCATGGCCTTTCTCTCGTGCCCGTGCAACGCCTGAATCATCCACAGACCCACCGCTTGTTGGCTAGAGTGATTTGTGCTTGTTTGTACTCAACATTTGGTGGCTTACGTCTATCTTGGCGCAAAAGATAGAAAAGCCCCTTGAATAATGCTGTCACCAGCACACACGTCAACTTTCGGCTGTTGAGTCATATAAGAGCAAAAGAACGGGACAGATAGCCAAGGAGAGCATTGTATTCCACGCATCGCTTTCTAAAGGCTTTGCCGAGACATCTTGGGCTCCCATGCCGATCAGAGATATAAGAAACGTACTTGGAAAATGAACCTGTATAAACAGGGGGGATACTCACTCAATAGCAGTCATGCACGATCAGAAGTAAATATACTTCATCTGGAGGAGTCTATCCGGGATTTGACTTTGGCGGCCTACAGGTGGCGATCAGAGGGCAGCCTAGTAAAGAAACAGATAGTGCTAAGTATTTCACCTTGTTCAAAGCCAAAAAGTCCCTTAGGAATAGGCACCAAAGCAATTGGGTGGATTTTCAAGCACACGAGATCGGTGTGGCACGCACATTAGCTCACTCAACAGTCAATATTTCTATTTTCAATGTAGAGTAATAGCAGTCCTTTTAATACTAGCAGTTCCACCTGTCTATATTCCAATCTGAAAAGGCCACCAGGTGACAGTCCAATACTTTAATATCCCGACCTCACTCTTTGCCACGAGTAGACGGTCTCAACCACACCTTGGCACTCATGTCAGGCAGAATAAACTTACCAAATGGCATATTCTTCGGCCTTGGACCAAAGTTTTCTACACAGAAGTCGAAATTTTGCAAGAGATGCACCATGGCAAGCTTCACCTCGTCGGAAACCATGAATCTGCCAGGGCAAGCATGACGCCCAATTCCAAAATGCATGCTGCGTTCGTTGGTTGATGTGAGGTCACAGGAGGACACGAGCTTTGGGTCATCCCTCATTTTAGAAAATCGGAAACCGTCGAAACGCTCGGGGTCCGGGTAAAATCTCTCGTCCTGGAATATGGGGGCGTTGGGTGTAAAAATTGCGCTCCCCTTGGGAATGTGCAGGCCATTCGAAAAGGTGTAATCCCGAAGGGCTAATCTTGCAAGCGCGGCTAATCTTGAGGTTAGAAATTGTGCCTCTGGCGTAGATGGGCGAGAGGGTAACACGTACATGCGTCGAGCGGGTTCATTCGCTGCGTCTCCTTGATGAAACTATCCACCTTGTACATGGAGTCTAAAGCTTTCTTAGTACCCTCGCCGTGCAACTCAAAGCATTGCTTTATTTCCTCTCGTAGCGGGTCAGCATATTCAGGACGTGTAGCGAGCTCGAAGATTGTATGCACTACTAGCTGTCGGAGTTGTTAGCAGTGATGTCAAGATATTCAGAATGGGCAACGTACTTGACTAGAAGTATGTAGGGCAGCAAATATCGTGTTGGTCATCATATCAGTAATATGCCAATCGTCATATTCTTCGCCCCGTTGGTCAACCCAGTCGATGGTGAAGTCCAGGATATCCTACAGCCTTGTATTAGCGAGTCCAGCTTGGCCACTGTAGTTGCCGAGCACAAACCTTCATGGGATTCTTTTCCCGGGTGGTTCTCCTTTTTTGTATCTCTGCGTACAAAATGCCCTGCAGCTTCCTCACAAGTCGCGGGGCAGCCAACAGCTTTGCGACAGAACTAGGCATTGTCAGTCGCAGGACGAGAGAGTGAGACGACGTGAAAAAGGTCGGACTTACGCTCTTGCCCAGCCCGGCCAGGAGCGCAAGATGAGGGCATCCCGAGGAATGGCATCACCAAATCGGCAGCACATATTTAGAAACTCTTCATCCCTACATAGAGGCTCGCCAAACAAAGAGTACGTGGTAAGTCGTGCAATCACCTTGATCGCAAGTGGGAAACAAGGCACCGCACTCCATCCGGAGTCTGCGGCCGGGACAGTACCTCGGAACAGTGAAAAAATGCCCGAGCTCTGGTTCTCTACTAACCGCTGCGTTTCTTCCTGGAACCCATGCACAAACTCGGCCGAGAAGGACTTGAAGAACGGGTCCTCAGGTTTGCTGGCCCTGGTCCTCTGCCAGCTCAAGGCCTTTGCAATGACTGAGTTGGGTATTCTGCGTACATTGTGTAGCTGCCCTGGAAGGAGATGTTCGAATTGGAATTCCTTTCTCACAGTTAGAAGTGCCGTTAGGAGAACCATGTGACATAGTCAATTGCATACCTCGGACATGACGGCCCGGAAAGACAAGTGATCATCATCCACGGTATAGTACTCCCTTGTCATTTGTCGATCACATATAAATACGTCCATTCGGGTCATGGTTGGTATCTGAAACGCAAAATCACCATGCTGTGTATCCGCCGTTAGTGCATAGCTGCGTTGCCATAAGAGTCGACAGTAACTTGCCTTGGCGTATCCCTCATTAATAGACTCTCTTGCATACCAAACGTTGCGAATCGCCGCCAGCCATTTCGTATACCGCACTCCGACACCGATAATGGGCACATTGACCTTGAGACATGTTAATTTGTTTTGGAAATGTGGTGCTGGAGAGGGAGTGCACTCATACCGCTATGGGGTAATCGAGATATAGAAAGAATACGGCACCAGCTATGGTAACGCCAATGATGGCAAATACCACGGCCGGATAATCGCCAAACACATCCAGTCGTTCTGATAGCATTGTAATTTCGATTAGGTATCTGGAAGTCTTGTTTAATACTATAGATGTGAAAGTTGTAAAAGAAAAGTGTGAGCCATGACGACGAGCAGCGCCGTTGCTCTTTGTCCCTCTCCGTTAAAAAGGACCGGCAAGGTACTCTGACTGTAGTTTCCGTCCATGGCTCCTCTGGAATGATCAACCTGTCATGGCTGCCGGCCGAACCTTCCGATCCTTGACGAATTGCAGCACTGTCTAGGATTGTCCAGGGTTGGTAGATTGATGATTCGATTTCGGTGATAACTTGCATATCCTAGCAGGAACGCCGGCCATGGCGATAGCCGCAATGATGAAAGTCGAGCATGTGCCCCGAGATGTCACGATGGGTATGCTGCCCCGTCCCGACAGAAAATGTCTTCGGCCAAAATGATCCGCGATGGTGGGCCGTTGGCGTCAACACATCATGCAGGTCCTGGGGCGGCGGCGATATGCGAAGAATGCTAGAGTCCGAAGCTGCATAGTTCCCGGACACGCCACGCACATATCCGATCGAAATGTGACAAGCAAGACATCACTAGAAAACCCTTCCATGCGTTCACGCCACCCTGCGGTTGAGACTAAATGCGGCATGTCGAATGATTCGTTGCAGTCTGAAGTTGCGCCGCAGCGGAACGATGGGGCTGAGAGATCCCGGAACCACCGCGTCATGTTACATTTCCAACACCCAGCCAATAACCAATGCCATAGTTCTGCTTAGCCAATTTTCTCCTTATGTTCTGCTGCATAAGCGTCATCGTCACAGGTGGCGGCGACTCCAGCAGTGGTTCTCTATTGTGGGCAATTGTCCCGTCGCAAGGGTCATCATCATTCAGGGTCCGGGAACACGTGAGTGTGCCTTGCATTGTATCACTTGAGCCGGAATCACAGTGACTTGACTTAAACTTGAGCTAAGTCTAGAGCCAGTGGCATAGTGCCTATACAAGGTGTAAACGTTTACTTCTCCCTGCTGAAATCTTTCATACCTTGCTCACGTTGGACAAGTCCATTTCTTCAACATGTCGCTTTTACCAGTCGTCGCAATCGTCGTCAGTCTCCTCTGCTATGCTGTTTATAGTAGCAACCTGAGAGAAAGCATACCTAGTGTCAGATGCTGGCCGTCATTCTTTCCCAAAGTCTTTGACCGGCTGAGTTACAATAGCCAGGCACCTCAACTCATCAAACATGGGTATCAAAAGGTATTCGATGCGAAACTACCGACAACGTCACGGGATAGAAACTTACAGCGCTACAGTTCCGAGATCAACCGTTTAAGCTGCTTAAAATGGACATGGACTTGGTCGTCATTCCACTCAAGTACGCCTCTGAACTGCGAGCGGTTACAAACGACAAGTTGGACCCCTTGACAGCGAGCTTTGATGACAATGCTGGCGCCGTTACGAGTATTCTTCTCGGGAGTGAACTCCACACACACGCTATACAACGGCGCTTGACTCCCAGGCTTCGTAGGCATTATCAAACCGGTCATTGGCCGAAGTCGTGCTAACATGACATAGCGAAAATCATCCCAATGATGATGGACGAGCTGAGGCTTGCCTTTGAGCAAGTTTTACCTATGCGGGATGGTGTGTATTTCCTCTCCTGTAAACATGTATTTATCTGGCAAGAACTGACAACCATGGGCTACTAGATGCTTGGATCCCAGTCAATCCGTACGAGATGGTTCTTCATCTGGCTACTCGTGCCGCGGCAAGGGTGTTTGTTGGAGAACCAACCTGCCGCGACGAGATTTTTCTCAAGACAACCGCTTCATACAGCCGCAACGTTTTCGATAGCATCTCCACCTCGCGCCGGTTCGGCAGCTTGCTGACATCCCTTTTTGGAACTTGGGTTCCCGAGGTAAGAGAGGCCCGCGGCCAATTGCAGTACATCCAACAGCTCCTCGGCACAGAGGTAAAGAGACGCAGAGAGTGCCCCAAAGAAGAGCACGATGACTTTTTGCAATGGTGCATGGACCTGGCAAGAACCGAGGAAGAATCACAACCAGAGGCCCTTGCCCATCGCACCCTTGGAATTTTGAGCATGGCCGTGGTCCATACAACTGCCATGGCCAGCACACATTTAATCTTTGATATGATTGCGGACCAGGACCTGACAGACAGCCTTCGAAAGGAACAGGCAACTGTGCTGAAAGAAGGTTGGATGGGCATTTCGCAGCAGTCAATGCTTGACATGAAGCATTTGGATAGCTTGATGAGAGAATCCCAGCGAATGAATCCAGTCGGAGAGTGTATGCACAGCTCCAACTCTATTACATGTATGAAACATGGCTAACCATCATCTCAGTCACTTTTAGGCGTGTTGTCCGGAAGCCTCTTACATTATCTGACGGATATCAACTAGAACGCGGTCAACAGATTGCGCTTCTTGCACGGTGTATTCACATGGATGAAGAAAACTTGCCTGATGCAGCTACGTTCAAGCCAGACCGGTGGCTCAAACAACAGAATTCCGCGCCGACTTCGTTTTCAAACAGCAGCACCGCCAACCTCAATTTTGGCCTAGGCCGATATGCCTGCCCCGGAAGATTCCTTGCTTCCGTACGTGATTCAAGCCTTGAAACTTCAAGTGTCCCGTTGCTTGAGCAAATTTCGTTTTGGCCAGCCTTGCTAATTTGAGAATTGGATTCACAGTATGCGATCAAAGCGATTATGAGCCGACTTCTACTTGAGTATGACTTTAAATTGCAGGGAGAAACCCCCTCAGGGCGTCCTCCCAATATGCTCCACGGAGACAGAATCTTTCCTCATCGCACGGCGGTTGTTCTCTTGCGCCGCCGCAACGCTGTAGCATCTAAAGCTTGAATCAGCACTGGTCCAGGACACACATATCACCAAAGTTAGAGAGTTGTAGCTATAGAACTAGAGATTGTCCAAGGAATAGTTGTTTTATTGATTTTAAAGTCATCTTGACATGTCAAGATGGGAGTATAAATTTGATAGGAAATTTCTGGGTTACATTTGCCGAGTGCGTTTTCAACTACGTCTGTGTCAGGTGAAAACAGAATGGACATCCAATCTCAGTGTCATCAGCCGATCAGTAGAACCTGCATATTCATGCATCGTAATGCTATTAAGTTCCGAGCCGTACTGCGCAGGTCCGCCGATGACGCCATCTAACAGACACAAGGGGTATTAGGTCGATTTTCCGTAGATAAAAAGACCCTGCTTCGTTCCAACGGATGAGGTTCCACATCTTCCGTCTCAGGCTACTATTTTTGGGGTGTGGTATGTAGTATCCATGTATAATGATAAAGCCAAATACGTCCGCAGCTTAAGACCGGCGGGCGGCGGTTAGTGTCGTCGGTATTATCAGGTACTTTGCCACTTTGCAGGGAGGTATGCGAGTCATTGCTTGATGTGATCTCTTTTGAATAGTTGTAGCCGATCTGGATCGTTTTAGAGGGAATTTGCAATTGACATGTGGACGGATGACGTATCAGTTACATATGCTAGTACCAGGAGGAGCTCTGGGCAACATTCAAAGAGGCTCCTCGCGCACTTTTTCTTTGCATCATTGCACCAACAATACTCGGACAATCTGTTTCCAACTCCTCAGCCTTTTTCACCTCTTGTCTTCTGTGGGACTGCCCGAATATTACATAATGGCAACACAAACGGTAACGGCTGTTAGCCAAGATGTGACGGCAGATCCCTTGGATATCAAATACTGGTCGGATAACTTTATCCCACCACTGAAGTCTCTTCTACAGGCTACCGAGTCTTATTCCCGATCGGAACAAGAAGCGCAGCTACGCATCTTGAAAGAAGATGTTCTGCCCAACCTTGGTCCTCGGCCGTCCAAAGCCGTTGGGCCCTCGCATCTGACTCAAAGTGGCTCTCCGCTTCAGCTCAGTCTCAATGCGTCATCCAGCAATTGCGTAAGGTATTGTTGGGAGATGTTGGGTGCCAGCGGAGGACATGGTCGTGATCCGTTGGCCATACAGGCCGCTCAAGATATCGTGGCTTCTGTTTCTGCCAAGTTTGGCTTCTCGACCAAATGGAGCAGCGCGTTGCTGTCCGCTTTTGCTGTAAAGCCAGACGAGGCTCAGCACATCATTGATATGCTGCCTCAGTGGTTGCAAAGCTTTGTGCCCGAAGGTGTTGAAGCTGCTCCTCTGAAGAGAATACCCTTCGCGCTGACCGCGTTCGACCTCAAGGGTTCTAACATATCAATGAAACTGTATGTTAATCCCAAGGCCAAGGAAATCATCACTGGTACTCCGGCAGCAGATGAGGTTTGGAAGGTTCTTCGGAACCTCACGCCAGCATTTAAACCCGAAGCAATTGACATGCTAGAGAAGTAAGTCTTGTGTCAACACAAACGTCCATGGTTGTAAACACAAATACTAACTTTGTTCAACAAGATTCTTCACTGGACTTCCTGAGCCGTCCCCGATCGAATTGGTAGGCATTGACTGTGTCGACGACGGCCATCTGTCTGATGCTAGGGTGAAGCTCTATATTCATACCCGAAGCAACTCGTTCAAGACTGTGCGCAAATATGTTAGCCTTGGAGGCAAGCTCAATGATGAAGAGACCAACAAGTATTTGGAGAAGCTTCAGCCGATCTGGCACCTCTTGCTTCAGCAACCAGAAGGCCCCGTTGACGACGATTTCGAAAAGCCGATTAACGATTCGTCCATGCTTTGCCAGAAATTGTACTTTAGCTTTGAGCTCCAGCCAGGCAGGGATTTTCCCAACGTCAAGACTTACTTGCCGACCTGGAACTATGTTCGAACCGACGAGGAAACCATTCGTAACTACCAGGAGATCTTCCAGATCTGCGGCCACCCGTGGGGTGAAGAAGGGAAATACAAGAAGATTTTCACAGACGCATTGTAAGTTGTTCTTTATTCCTCTCGGAGCACCATGTCGATCAAGATGTGCTACTGTACGCTGCAAGTCGCACAATGACTCACTATTGATGTTTTCACAGTGGCTCGCCCACACACGGTCGCAAGAAGCCGGTTCACTGCGACGCATCGTATATTTTCACAGAGAAAAAGGGCGTTTATCAGACATTGTATTATAGCCCTCCTCTTGGGGAAGAAGAAGAGTGAGGAAGTCCTCATGAGGACTCGAGTGCCGTCCTTGTTTAACGCATTTGTCTATCTTTAAATTACAGCTGCAAAAGATTTGAGTGTTTTGTACACACTAGTTTTAGGAGCGGCGCGTACAATGGGTGCAGGAATAGTTTAGAGTAATCGCGAAGTGTTGAGAAATCCAAGAGTGTTTATACGCAGAATTATGCCATATACTTCACAAACTAGTGTATAACACACTTCGGTCCGGCTACGGTGGACGGTGACTCTCTTCCCATTCGTGTCTTTCGCAACAACCTACTATAAGGCTAACGACCAGCCATACACCGGTGTAGGAGTTCCGCCAATCCAGACCATACTAAATGACTGATTGTTGGACGAAGGCGTCTACGCGCTACAAGGAATGGTATTCGGCAGTGTCGCGGCACTCTGGAATACGTCTGGTACTATCACTTGGTAGTGTTTGGGTGTGACGCTTTGAGGAAACGAAAAGCCACGTCTTCAAGCTGTGCAGTTGTATTGAGGCTGCCTGTCATATTCCTGAGACTAAGGCAGGCCATGAATTTCACATCCGACTAATACAGCAGCAGCTATCAATTCAAGTTGAGAGTGTCATTTCCACGCAGGATGCAAAGAGGTTGCACAGGGCGGGTATTATCGGAGATAAGAGCCCGCATGTCACAAGCCAGAGAGACATCGAGCCAAAAACATTGCCCACCGGCCAGGGGCCGCTGCCGCCGTTGCTGCATCCTTTTTGCTGCAGGGCTGCTCCCGGGCTGAACGGTCGAGCAATACCTGTCGTGCCACCGCGCCAGGTTAGGTCCCAGCTGGTAATACTGCAGACGAACGAGAAGGATTGTTTGTTTACCATTTCCATCACCCGACTCAGCGCAATTAGCATATCTATGCTGAACTGGGGGTGACACGTTATCAGAATGCTGGAACATGTGCGTGTGCGTAGTGCGTAATAGTCCACATCCGAATTCTCGTGCAGAACTGCACATCCCAATTCCGTATCAGACTTGCCAGCCCGCTAGGTCCGAATACGTTGGTAAACCAGAATTAGTGTTTGGTAGGAGTTTTTTGTCTTTGCTCCTTCTTTTGTTTAAATTTGAGCCCTTCCGTGGCGTTACAGTATCGACTGTCCTCTACTTCCAAATTCATTTTAGAAAACATTCCATTCAAAACAACAATTACAATGTCCCATCAAGCTTCCCTGACCAACAATCTGGACTTGAGGTACTGGATGCGTCACAGCGTCCCGCCGCTGCTCGCTCTCCTAAGAGCGGCAGGGTCATACTCGGATGCTGATCAAGGCAAACATATCCAATTTCTTTGCGATTATGTCCTTCCCAACTTTGGACCTCGCCCAACAGAGGCTTCCCCAAGCAGATCGCGGTTTACCCAGAGTGGTTTCCCTATGGATCTCAGCCTGAACCTAAACGCCGGGAAGCCAAAAGTGAGATATTGCTGGGAATTCTTAGGTCCAAATGGGCCGGAGGATAATGATATGTACGCTATAGGCGCTTTACGAAAATGCCTGGAATCTCTCGCCACTGAATTGGGATTTAGCACTCAATGGGCTGATGCTCTATTGGATGCCCTGGCTCCAACGCCTGAAGAAGCAACCACAACCCAGCAAAATATTCGACAGTGGCAAGCGAGTCTTTTGCCACCTGGTGTAGAGCCAAAGCCTGGAGCCAGGCTCCCCTTTGCAGCTCTAGCCTTTGGCCTAGATGGCCCCCGGACGGATACCAAGTTCTACATTAGTCCCCAAATCAAGGAGCTTGGGTCTGCCAAATCTATGAATGAGACTATATGGAATGTTGCACGTCATTTGGAGCCTCCGATTAGCCAGAACGCTATTAGGGCTGTTTCGGAGTACGTTGTCGTGCTATTATTGCGCACGTATTGGTGCATATTTTAACTTGAAGCAGATTCCTTCTCGAGCGTCCCGGCCCACCCTGTATGGACATGCTGTGCGTGGACCTCGTCAAAGAACAGAATTTACACCGTGCCAGATTCAAGATATACGTCCACACAACTAGCAATTCATTCAACACGGTGCGACAGTGTATAAGCCTAGGCGGCCGACGGCAGGACGAAGCAACTCTCAAGGGCCTAGAGGTTTTAAGAACTATATGGCACTTATTGCTCCAAGAGAAGGAAGAGGTTACAGATGACAACGAGAAACCAGTCAACGACCCTGCAGAGCTAGTTATGAAGCTCTTCTTCTGCATAGAGTTTACTCCTGGCGAAGATCTCCCAGATGTCAAGTTACACGTTCCCATCTTTAACTATTTAAAGAGCGATAGGGAAACTATAGAGAATCTTGAAAAGGTTTTCCTAAAATGCGGCCAAGAGTGGGCAGTAAATGGAAAATATAGAGAGGCCTTTGAACTTGCTTTGTAAGTTTTCCCTCTAATCACGCTCATTCAAGAGAGTTCTAAGGGGCGGAAACTAACACAATGAGCTCCAGCGGAGATCCCAGCACAGATCGTGAAGTGCCAATCCACGGCCACACATCATTCAGCTTTAATAACTCCGGGGTGTACCAGACTTTGTATTTCAGTGTACCAAGATGCCTAGAGTAACCTGGAAAAACAGAACTGTGCGTCATGAACTGTTAGGCTGACGGGCTGGATATCGTGGAAATCCCGGTGCTTTTTGCCAATTCCACGCGTACAGTGCTCTGAAAGCGCAAATAGAGCATATAGCACGATTTCAGTGCCCCGAAATATCATACAGGTGGAATTATGAACAATTTCTGGCAACAAGTGGTTTTCTCTGGAATCGGGCCACATAGACACATTCACAGGAGGTGCGGTTTAGTGTCTTCGGGTGAGGGTTAGGGTTAAGTCTAGTAACTATGTAGCTAGTTGGAGGAAGAAAACATGCTAGAGTACGTGCGGCTGCCGTGGTCTTAATACCAATGTGCCCCGTGTAGTCCACGTCATAGTAGCTACTCTTGGCAGCAGCCTCTGGATCTTGTGACGAGAGTCAAAAACAAAAAAACCTTTTTTTGTTCTTATCTTGGCAAAAGGTGCTGCAATACGTTTCTGTGCAGAGATGGCTTATTCCTTGGTAAGCACTTTAAACTCCACACGAGACATAACGACGAAGAACGGATCGCCATTTGCATCGTCTTTATAGCACTTCCTAAAGATAGATCCAAAAGTATTATTCTCTTTCGGCAAGTATCCTAGCAAACAGATGGTATTTAATGAGTAACAATCCGGATAGGTGATTCCATAGCCAACAACAAAAGCACCCAGCTTGCGAACTCGGTACAAACATTAAAATTTGAGGTGTCTTTGGGTCTTTGGGCACCATTGCAGAGCAGTGAACCCCAAAACTTGCGGGTAGGAATATTCGGTGCAAGTGCCAGGCAAATTCCTCATGGTTTGTCTTAATACTCGCTCCCACCATGGGCATGATTCCGTATTAAGACGTGAGAAATAACGCATGATGGCACCTGCAGCTTCCATGAGCATTGCAGAGAAATCGTATGTTGTTCTTTATCAGGGAACGGTATTGACAGGCTCAACCTCGAAGCAATCAATTAGTGAAACGTTATCAATGATGGCCACCAAAGGTCCCGAATACACGACAGAATGTAGAAGATTCGAACTGTCCACCCCGCTCTGATACTTCTATTACACTGCAAATGGGAAATCAAAGAGTAGTTTACCATGCTGCCAAATCGTCAAAAGCGGCGATATTTCCCGCCAGATTCAGTGGGCGTCTCCAGGATTCTGTCTCTATTTCAATCACTTTGCATATTCTCGCCAATCTTCATAAAATAAATAACATTTGAATTGACTATACTGATTCTATGGATTACTTCAACTCCAACATCTTCAGGATTGCTCGCATCTTCTCTCCACGGTTAGTACCATCTTCAAGATCTGTCAATTGTGCCTTGGCCTGCTGAAGCAAAGACTCAATCTTTTGTCGAGAGTAGGTAAAACTTCCTGTAGACTCTATGTATTCAACCGCGTACTGCTTCACCATGGGATCTTCGCTGCGCTGCTTTAAAATATTGAGCAGTCGAAGATCCCCTGGGCGCGATCGAATACTATGAATGATGGGATATGAGAATTTGCCTTCGGATATGTCTTCGCAGTAACCCTTATTTTTTGAATAGACGTCACTTTGCAAGTTTTGATAGTCGTCCCGAATCTGAAACAGGGTTCCGAGAGTCTCAACCAGCGGCAGATAATCACGTTTGCTGGAGCTTTCGCCCTGCATCAACCGGATCGCTAGGCGAAATAGGCCCCCGGTTTTATTTTGAATCATGCGCATGTACTCATCCTCGGTTGGGCAGTGGAGCGAGTCTCTCCAATGAAGCTCCATGCCCTGGCCGCGGTGTAGGTTGACTAGCTCCTCGGTGAAAATGGCATATGCACGAGGGTTCGTGAGCTGGTCCAGCTCTTTTTGGGCCATGAAGTAAGCGAGGTTGGCAGAGTTTATAGTCTGCGCAATGCCAAAGATGCTATGAGCAACGGGGACGCCCCGCCGTAGTTTGGACGAGTCTTGGATATCATCAATGCTGAAACTTGTCAGACACATTGTGGCAAAGCTTGGATGACGTTTTATGGAAACCTACAGCAACGAGGCATTATGGAGTAGATCAATTATGCGTTTTATCACACTAACCTTTTCCTCTGGGACACAAAGGAACTGGTTAAATGCATTCGTTAAGCCGCCACGGATATCTTTCCCTGGTGACTCTCGCAAATAATCCAGAGGTGCAGTCAGAACCTAGTGTGTGGTGAGCAACTCTTCTTTGTCATAAATTTCATTTCATAACAACCTTATCTTCCAGGTATGTAGTATTTCCATTGGAATGTGCACGGGTCGCTTGAGACCAACATGTTCCATCCTGAGATTGATGAATAGTTTCCACAGTGGTGGCCACCATTGTGTTCGAGCAGAGACAATCAAGTCTTTCGAGAGTATCAGGTCTAGTGAGCAAAGGAGCGCAGAACATGATTTGTCTCAGGCAGCATATGCGCGAGTGTGCATTTGATAAAGGAAGGATAGGGTCAGCTCCAAGTTCATCAACCAAGTACAACGAGGCCTTATCAGTGCAATATGAGCTCGCTATTCCCTCAAGATTGAGGTTGTATATGGCGCATCCGAATATGCGAAGAAATGGAGAGGTTACATGTGGCAATTATGACGGCATCTCCGTTCGCTTTCATTAGTCACAAGGCGTATCAAAGGGGATTGTTTTCCATCTGCCTGCATATGACCATGCAGTGCAACCGGCGGGATCCGATTTGCCAAGAAGTTGGTTTATTTTCTATCCTAGGCAAAATATCCACATTATGCAAGATGCATCAAATCCGGGACGTGAAGATAGCGTTTGCGATGGCGACATAGGCCATTCCCGGCGGCCGACAAGGCAGATGGTGTTTCTGTCGCCCCCTTTCACGTGCCGTACGGCGATCCCAAGATCAATCAAGTTTCGCAGTCCTTTGCTCGGCTCGGGACACTAGATACAGACAAACTCCGTAGGTTGAGTCGGCGAGCACGAAAGTGGCGAGACTCCAGAGGATGAGCGGGCTGCTGAGCCAGCCATATACCTCCGGCCAGTACTTCCAGCGAAGAAAGGCAAAGCCAACTGTGCAACATGAGCCGAGAAATCTGCTGAGCCTGAGGTGATGTCAGTCACATACTGTCACGGTTACACAAGTCTGCAAGACCCTTAACATACCATAGCGCCCAGGATGTTCCACGTGTGCTGTTTCTCTGCAGCAACTGGCACATGCCACCGATACTCAACGCCAGTTGGCATATAACGGCCCCCCATGAATAAGCCAGCGCAGGCCCTATTTCCAGGGCCAATGCAACATGACCAGTAAAGCATACCAAAGTTCCCAAAAGGAGAATCAAGGCTGCATGATCCGCAACCAAAGGAGAGTGACTCCACTCCATCCTTGCTGATCGGGCTGCAGTTGCCATGATGAAGACGTTTAGAGTCACACCCGCGGCGAAGACCGCCAGCTCAACCTTGTTGGAAGACGGATATACAATTGTATACACGAGTTCCCAGCCAATGTTGTTGCAAAGCGGAAGAAGAGCCATGCTGTATGTTTCTCCCTTTGTGGAGTGCCAGATCATCAAGGCGTAGTTCACGACCCAGCCGAGACCCATCAATGCAACAAATGTGTCTGCTAGCCATTGAATTTCCTGGTAGCCGGATGGGGCCTGCACGTTGTTGAATCCGTCCATGTCGTCAAGAGCCGCAGCGTCCAAGGGAAGAAGAAAAAAGTGAAAAAAAAAAGTTGGTTCACCAAGAGAATATGATGGACGCGAGCATTCTTTTTATACCCCTTGGAACCTGATGGTTAGGCCACAAAAGCCATAAAACTCTTGGCTATCTCTTCAGCTATTAAAACTCGACAAGTTCCCGTCTTAAAGCAATCATTATTACCCGCTCCCTTTCATCTACTTTATGTCCGCTTGATTTCAATACCTGGCTGTATACACAGCCTCTTGAGTACCTACTTCAAAGGTCGATTGGTGGCCACAATATTACGATTTTAACTTTTTCATCACTACTTCTCCATCAACCCGGCACATACCACTCACAAGTGCAACAATGGCTTGGTTCACAGGTCGCTTCATGGCTGGCGAAGTTGCAGCTATCTTGTCTGCATTTGCTCTTGGATACCTCGTCCAGAACAAATCCCACGACAAAAATATTCCATCTCAAACAGTCAAACATTATGGATATGAAAAAAGTCGTTCCATTGAGAGCAACAGAGAGGGTAGTGACAAGCTTCCTAGCTGTCCCTACGAATATCTCCTTGGCATCTACGGCCGTCATCATTTCGCGCCATTTGTAAAGGCGTTTAGTCCGACGTTGAAAAATGACGACCCTGAGAAGTACGCTCTCATCCTTGACATTATGGATGCTGTACACTTCTGCCTCATCTTGGTGGACGACATTTGCGACGACAGCACCAAGCGCAAGAACCAAACTACGGCTCACATGATCTACGGATCGTGTGAGACGGCCAACAGAGCGTACTTTGTACTCACAAAGATGATCAACAGAGCAATGCGGGAGCGGCCCGTTCTCGGTGTGGAATTGCTCAAGGCCCTGGAGCAGATGCTCGAGGGACAAGACCTATCCTTGGTTTGGCGCAGAGATGGGCTCAAAGCTTTTGGTTTCTCGGAGGAGGAGCGAGTCCCCATGTACAAAAACATGGCTCAACTGAAGACAGGGACACTTTTTGTACTTCTCGGAAGGCTGCTCAACGATGGCGGTGATCAACTGGATGATTTATTCACTCGATTCGGGTATGGACAAACTGTTTTCTTTTTAATGTACCCGTTTTGCTCTTTTTCCACTAAGCTAATCGACTTTCCGACGTAGTTGGTATGCGCAGCTGCAAAATGATTGCAAGAACATATATTCCGACGAGTACGCGATTAACAAGGGAGGTGTAGCGGAGGATCTGAGAAATGGCGAATTGTCTTTTCCTATCGTCATTGCTCTCAACGATAAACATACGCAGTCTCGGATCGAAAAGGCGTTCCAGAGCCGCAACGAAGGCGATATTGAAAAGGCCCTGGCGGGGTTGCAGTCTCCCAGTGTGAAAAAGACTTGCCTGGAGGCGCTTCAGGATGCCGGCAAGGGGTTGGACAAGTTGGTGGCGGTCTGGGGACGACAGGAACAGATGAACAAAACGGCATAGATTTGTAAATACAACAAGTATCGTTTCATAGGACAGTATTAGCTCATAAACTAGGTAGACATGAATTTCAGGATAAACAATGCGTGCAAGCCAGACTTGCTTGAAAGTCGATTGTTGCGCACGTTGGCAAATACAACCGGCCTATACCCATGACAACTCTGTGTAGCCATTGCAATGAATGTTTGACGGGCTGGTTAATTTGCTCTCTGACACCCAAGTGTCACCACGCTTGTTCATGGCTGGGTCCTAAACCGTGTATATCAAGAGCATATGCGTTTCATGTTGATAGTCGTTTGGTTGACAACGACGGGCTAGGACAACAGCCGGTTTACTGAAACCAGTAAAAACAAGTCCCGACTACTTCTCAATTCAGCCTCGGAGGAAACAACTATGCTCCTGTCTGCCTCATGCTCCATAATCGCGTCCTGTCCCACACACACACCTACACAGCCATCAAAAAGCGGGACGATCTCGGGAACGATGGATCGCATTCAGAGCCATAGAGTAGAGTTGGGTTCAACTATTGAGCTAACTACTTGGATTTCTTCGTCTCCTTCTGGTCCCTTGTGCCGTCTCCGATCCCGATCAAGGAATCTCTCAGCGCCAGCGCGTCGGCACCGCCCGCGGCCGGGCCGATGACCAAACTAACAAGAAACATCCTTGCCAGCAGTTTCCAGCTCATGTGTCTCCTGGTGGCCGAGAGTGCTTGGCAAAAGAGCCCCATTGCCAAGAAAAACCCACTGGAAGTGCCAGTCATTTCATTGATCTGCCGTAACCTAGCCTGTCTCTGGACCGCCTGCGCACATGCTAGTTGCGAGCAATCGGGCACTCCGAGCAGACTGTTCATTACATGGAATGGGCCCCGGTCCGGAGACATGATGCTTGCTGCGAATGCCACCAGAAAAGCACCGACATGTGTTATGCCAGTGAGCCAGAAAGCCGTTCTTAGGACCCATTTCCGCTCTCGTCTTGATTGTGCGGCTGGAACACTCTTGGTCGGGGGCTGATGCAGGATCCAGACCGATACGATGGGCATAGCTGTCGAGAACCCAAAGCAGGAGGAAATGCAGCCCATTGCGGCAACGACCCTTCAAGATGGGATCGTGGTTAGCATTGCTGGCACCGGTGACGCAAGGAACTGACCACTCTACATACCCAAAGCCGCCTACCAGCCCCTTGTGCGACACAGTCTCATGCAGGACTATCAAGACGAACCCCACGAGTTGACCAGTGTAGAGAACAAGATGAAGCACAAACCATGGCCAGTTAGACTGGAAGGATGCTGCTGACGTGCCCGTACAGATCTCAAGCCATGAAGGGGCGTCTGAATGACGTATCGGACGGCCAGAAGCATCCAGAGGCCATATTAAGCCGGCTGCATGCATGATCGGATATCCTTCACTTAACTTCCATGTAATTCCAGCAAGTCCCAGAAATACTTGCAGCATGCTGAATAGCCCGATGTGAGACGCCATCGCATCGACGAAAGGGATATACCGCACTTGCTTTCGAATCGGCAATAATGCAGGGACGGGCTTGGGCTGAAGACGTATTGGCGTCATGAATCATGACGAGCTTTCAAGATGGTCTGTCGGTCTTTTTTTTGTATCTGGTTGGGTATTTTGTGTAATAAGGGGGTTGTAGACCACGGCGCAAATGGGGGTTGACATGAGGATCCCGGTCGATCTATTCCGTGTTGAATGCTTGCAATTTGTCTCCTTTCGGAAACATGATCCAGAGTGCACCGGCGGGTTTTTGACAACCTGCATGCCCTGCACATGGGTAGCTTTATCAACGAAATGGATATCGTGATCAGTGTTGTATCCAAGATATGCGGACTGCTTTAACAGTAAGCGCAGCCTGCAGCTCGCCTTTTGTGCGTACATCTAAACCCAATCAATATCACTTTGACGCTTCTGCCTATTATAGCGTGTTACCAGGGTTCTGGATGGCAAGGTTTTCCGGACAGTCGTACGGTTAGCGCCGGCATGCGCGCAAGTCATGCGTAGCTGGAGCCGATAACTCTTGTCATATTTCACATGAATGACCCGGATACCGTCACTTCATTACATAATGTGGTAATGTTGAGTAAATCCGCGACATTGATTGTAACGCACAGTCATCCTATATTTGCACCAAATATCCCTGCGCCAGAAGGTGGCCTGAAAAGCTCATCAATACGCGCACCCCTCCGAAGCTTTGTCGTATCATGCAGTCAATATCAGGAGAACAAGGGTTCAAGTAAAGACATCTTTAGTCCTGTTAACGTTGCATTGGATAACGCTAGCGACTTCTCTAAATTGTTGATGCGCTGTGGGTTAGTTGGTCAAGTCAGAGAAGACATCAGGATTCGCACTCGAGTAGAATCCATCTCATTCAACCTTCTTGATAGAAACCGTAGCGCCTCACAGCAAAGCATTGTCACAATGCCAAACGACTTCAACGTCATAATCGTCGGGGGGTCTGTGGCCGGGTTAGCGCTCGCTCACTGTCTACAACGGCTTGGTGTCTCGTTTACCATTCTTGAGCAGGGAGAAATCGCCCCCCAACTTGGAGCCTCGATTGGCATTCTGCCAAACGGAGGCCGCATTCTCGATCAGCTGGGTATTTTTGACAATATCGAGAAGGAGATTGAGCCCCTCGAGTTTGCGAGAATACGCTACCCAGATGACTTTTGGTTTGAAAGTCAATATCCCAAGGCATTGCACTCCAAGTAAGAATCATGTAGCACTAGACACGCGTGAATGTCATGAGTTGCTGATTATTTTCACCAACAGTTACCATTATCCTGTATCATTCTTAGAGAGACAAAGGTTTCTTCAAATATTATATGACACACTCGAATCAAAGCATCACATCCATACAGGGAAAAAGGTCCTGGCTGTGGAAAGCGGTTTGGACTGCGCCGTAGTCAAGACTTCGGACGGTGGCGAGTATAAAGCAGATCTTGTTGTCGGCGCCGACGGTGTGCACAGCGTGGTTCGATCCGAAATATGGAGATATTTGAAGGAAACTTCTCCAACATGCGCAACTGGGCAAGAAAATTCAGGTATGATGCGTTCATAAAGCCCTTGAATCACGTATTCCTAAGGCGGGAAGCACAGGTATCAAATACGAGTATTCCTGCATCTATGGACTTTCCCGAAATGTTCCTCACATGGAACTTGGGTCGCAGCTCAGTCGTTTGGATGATGGCGTTTCAATACACGTCTTTACCGGCAAGCAATCCAAGTTCTTCTGGTTTGCCATGGTCAAGACACCACAAGCCGGGTGCGCCGGACAGGGCGCTTGTTCGGACCATGCAGCAAGACAGATCTGTGACAGTATGCGCTCCAAGAAATTATCCGATGTCCTAACATTCGGTGATGTATGGTCCAGATGCACAATATACAAGATGACGCCGTTGGAGGAGGGGGTTTTCAAGCAGTGGAATTACGGCCGCATGTTGTGTATTGGCGACGCTATCCGCAAGGTATGCCCCAGACTTGATTTTGAACATGTCCGCTGGTGCAAAATCACCTTGACATTATCTAGGGCATAAAATACCCGACTACGAGACTGACGAGCCGCAGATGTGCCCTAACATAGGGCAGGGTGCCAATATGGCCATAGAAGATGCCGCTAGGCTGGCAAATCTTATTCACAAAAGACTGCCATTGGGGAGACTTTCCGCAATAGAAATTGATTCCATGCTTCAGGAATTCACTGCGGCCCAGAAACCTCGTACAAATAGTATTTGTGCGCAATCAGAGTTTCTGGTCCGTATGCACGCGAACCAGGGCATTGGAAGAAAGCTTCTCGGCCGATACGTCATCCCATTTTTAAACGACGCGCCGGCTGGTCTGTCCGGGCTTTCTATAAATAACGCGGCAAAGCTGGAATTCGTCGATCTGCCCACCAGGTCGCTCGGGGGTGCATGGGAAGCGTCCTGGGAATCTGTTCTACGGATTCTCACTGGCTTGCGACCCAAAATAGGGATACACTACTCCGTATATGTGCTTGCACTTTCGCTTGCAACATATTTTCTTCTATAGAGTAGTAGAGTGTGCGTGGCACTTTAGTAAATATTGAATTTTGCTATGGAATTAGACACAATATGGACCACAATAAGAAGTCACTGTGAGAATTATTGGTCTACTATACTAGCCTTACCCAGTTGGCATTGAAATTTACAATTATAATACCAAGTTTAGGATGGGTGAAAAGTCGGTTCGTTTTGTTAATAACTCTTAACGTAACGCCGGTTAACATTTTGTTGTCAGATGTAAGTACGGTGTGATATGTCTTTGACCTCGGGAAGGCTCGACGTAAGATAGGACCAAAGCAGAGTCTGGTACCTTTACGATTCTTGCCTCTCTGTACCTTTTCAAACAACTCGATGGGATATGTACGTAGATGGAAGTATATTTTCCCAACAGTACCAACCTTGACAGTGTAACGCACCATTTAATCGTAGCACCAGATCCACTTTCGAACCCGACATTGCCGCTGATGACACGGCAGAAAATCCACACCTGCTGGACTATATCAATTCTCTTAAAGCCTGGTATGTTCGCTTGCCAGAGTGGTATGGACTCCGTCAACCGTAATCCCTTAATCCCTTTTCCTCGATTCATCTGTCCTACCTGCTCCAATATGCATTACAGTAACTCAACCCAATCTCTTCTGGACAATGTTCTGTCAACGTTTTACCACTCATCAGTTTACAATGTTCCTGCGAGACAAGTCATAATTGCTATTCTTGTCCTGGCAATATGCGCTTCATTGTACTGGAAACCTTCTGTCGGCGTCGACGCACCATTTGTAGGGTTCCGCTCATCATGGGAGCCGCGGTTCTTGGCTCAGATACGCTACACTTTCAGCGCTGCGTCAATGATACATGAAGGTTATACGAAGGTGTGCAGGGCTAACAATTGGTACTTGTTCCCAGGCACATCAAGTTTCTAACGATTCTCAACAGTATCACGACTCCCTATTCCAGATTTCACGGTATGATGGGGATGTGCTTATCTTATCCCGAAACTATTTAGACGACCTTCACAATAGACCACCCCAGGAGCTAAGCGCAATCTATGGATTAATACAGGTACGAAGGGAGCCACGCGAACGATGCCTTTCTAATCTACAAGAACGCAATCTCACCACCCGCTGAATTAGAACTTTGGTGGCCATTACAGTGGTATCGGATTGCTGGGGAAGCACGACGTCGGCATCCGCGCGCTTCAGGTACATGTTAAAGCCGATGAATTGTGACTGCACCCGTGCTAAGCTTTGACAGTTGAAAATCACGCCAAATCTTGCCAAGCTATGCGATGATATGAAAGATGAGCTGGAATATTCTCTACGAACTGATTTGCCTCCATGTCACGGTACTTTTTCCACCCCTCCGATCCGAAAAATAAGAAAGCTGACGCACCGGTGATATTTTGCATAGATTGGACCTCAGTGCCGATTCAGCCGTTCATTCTGAGAGTGGTTGAGCGAATAGTACACCGAGCCTTTGTGGGATTGCCGCTATGTCGGGATCCAGAATGGCTCAAAGCGGCGTTTGGACATGCTGACAATGGTAAGACCTCTATACAAGTAAGCTGTAGACGTGCTGACCCGGTTCGGCTGGTAGTAACGATAACGCAAATCGCCATGAGATCCGTTCCTTGCTTTATGCGACCGCTTTTGGACCTTGTTCTCCCATTCTCCTGGAAGTACAAAGCATACCTCCGCGCAGGAAAGAGGGTACTCGTACCCGAAGTGGAACGTCGGCGAGACCTCGAAAAGAGCGGTGTTGATTATGCGAAACCCAATGACTTGCTGCAATCCATGCTAGAAATGACGGATCCCGACGACACAGAGGGCCAACCCGATACTCTGGCGGAACTGATGATCACCATGACTGCCATCGCCGGCCACAGCACGGCGGCATCTGGATCCCATGTGCTTTTCGATCTCGTCTCTCGCCCCGAGTATGTCGACTTGCTACGTGAAGAGGCTCGAACAACCTTGAAAAACAGCGAGATGCGCTTCACAAAGCAGTCCTTGTCCGGCTTGCGCAAAATGGACAGCTTCCTGAGAGAGTCAGCAGTCCCCGTACCTGCCATGGGCCGTGTTCTTTACGACGGCGCCTTTCGAACCACAGAAGCTAACAAATGATAGATCTCAGAGGCATAACCCCCTTTCGCTGTGTATGTTTTTGCCAGCCCCCGGCATGGCTCGCCATCATAACTTGAGTTCTAATACAGCTTGCCACCCGTGGGATTTCTTCGCGTTGTAAAAGCGCCGGCCGGCATCACTCTCCAAGACGGCACCCACGTCCCATGTGGCACGCAGCTCTGCATTCCGCCGCACTCCATCTCCAGCGATCCAACGGTACTGGAAGACGCCGAGTCTTTCAACGGCCTTCGTTACTATGAGCAGCGCCGCCAGGACCCAAGCCAGGAAAATAAACACCAGTACGCCACCACCGACAAGATTCACTTGCATTTCGGTTATGGCAAGTGGGCTTGTCCGGGACGTTTTATGGCTTCCGACATGCTAAAGATGATTGTCGCCACGCTTTTGCTCCGCTATGACATCAAGTATCCGGAGGGGGCAACGAGGCCGACAAATGGATATATTCATGAGTTTCCATTCATGAACATCTACACGCCGCTCATGATGAAGAGAAGGGATGAAATGCCAGTCGTATAGCCGCTACACTTGTCTGTTGACCAAGTATACCAGAAAATATATATACGAAGACAACATAGTACTTGACGATCTCATCAATATTATTCTTAGCCTTGCAATGGATATTTCGACGCTCCACCAAGCCTGGGCTATGGCGTGATTTTGCTACTCTAGTTACTTGTCAATGGAACATGCGGGTACTAATTGCAGCACAATTGAGGCGCGTTCGTTTTGTGGTAGACCCCGTATGGCCAATGCCTCGAGTAATGATAAGTTGGTTCCAGTTGCTAGCATGACGCTTTAACTCAACTCTCAACCCTGCAACAGTGATCAGGTGTGGCTCGTCATCGTGCTCGACCAGCCTTGCCTAGGGTAGGATCCCAATAGAACGGCTATCGCAAGAACCAACCCCTTATATAGCAAGGACGTTTCGGATTCCGAAGAGAAATGGCACGAAAAGAATGCCGAGCTTGTACTTGTCCATTACAGCCAAGATGTATCACGAGCCATCAAAGAGCTTGTGCTGTTGTGCCATGCCGTTATTTGTATTGCTTCTAACAATGATTTCTCCCTCCGAGGTCCAGAAGGACATTCCAATATCATGAACATGGTGATTGTCTGCCAGGAACGCCGTTGTACACCGGGTAGTATCCTCTGTTGAGTGGATCAAATTCGAGGTTTCTTTCAACAGTCTAAACGTGGCACAAAATATCTCTCATAGTCTTGGACTTGTGAGCGATGGCCTTCAATTCAGCTGCATGAGTCATTGGGGCCTAAAGATGTCTTCCTTATCGACCAAGGTAGCCGTCCTTCTAAGGGCTACTGGGTATATTCTGGCCTTCATGAAGGGAGGCATGGCACGCCAGCTAACGCCACGAGTCGCTGGCGAAAAGGTGTGTATTTACTCGTCCAAGAATGTATTTATGACTAAGCGGATACCAGGCCGACGGCCGATCTATATTAATTCTTTATCAACGCATCAATCACTTCGTCATAAGCTGTGATAATAGCTCTGTAGAGTTCGTCCGGGTCACCAGAGGGAGTTCCAATATTCAGCCTTGCTGTTTCTCCAAACAATATGGACCGGATCTTCAGGCAAAGTGGCTTCACCACATGAAATATGTCCGGAAACTCGGCCATAACCCGTTCAAGCCCATTTATAGTCATATGACCCACTTTAGCATCCGCAATATACTCAAAGGTTCCAATCTCCCATTTCCGTAAGATGCTGTCCTTAGGCGGCTTCTTCTTGCCACTAAATCCATTATTCCATGATTGGCGCGCACACATCCAAAGTAGGACATAGAAGAACGACTCAAGGTCATGACGGTAGGTGTGATCGGCCTTCCGTAGCACTTCAATTGCCATGAACTGCATCGTGCCAGTTTGGTGCCGCGCTTCGCTTGGGCCACTGTCTCTCACTTTCGCCAGGTCAAGGTCAATAAGCATGCCCTTAAAGCCATCCGCCGTCTTGGGGTTTGTAATAATAATGTTATTAGAGGAAATATCGCGATGTAGGATATTGCCAGCGGTGTAGAGAGACTGGTGTGCCTTGATCGCGTCTCGCATTGACTCTAGTAGTTCCTCAATTGTCTTAAAGTCACTAATTACACGGCCGGCTGGTGAGACGACGAGGCAGGAATAAATCCTGTTCTCCCACAGGTCCTCACCAGGTATATATAAGCTTGGCATAGCCTTGCCGATTGATGACTGGTCGTTAAATTCTGTGGATAGCTTTGACTTTTGACTGTTAGGCCGCCGCTTATTGGATTCTAACGTATTATCGGACGCGTCATCGTCGGATGATTTGCGCTTGTGATCCGACGTGTGGGTGCTTGTGGTGGCTAACGGTAGATCTTCAGAAAAATTAGCCTCATTACGGAACCTGTAATGCTTCGGAAACTCCAGTCCATCCCGCAACTCTGCAATGGTGGTGATCTGGCGATGCGCCACCACTCTGGCCACTCCTTCAACGCCCCGTTGTTCAGCTAACTTTAATTGTTCCGCTTCTAGCTTCCGCTTATCTGATGCCCATGAGAACTTCGCGACCTGGCTGTTTTGGGCCTCATAGCACGTAGTTCCGCGACACACGATAGCCCGCTGCCTAACCATCGCCTTATTTAACTTAACCCTCATCTCATTGCCGCTCGCGTCGTCCAGTGTAACATAACGATACGCATCCCCTCGCTCAATAAACGTGTCAAGGCCCATCATATCATTATCCATTGTAGCATACCCCACAAGAGCACGCGCAAACTTATCCGGCTCGTCGTGAATGTCAAATGGCCCCGAGCTATACGGCCCAGAGCGGTCAAAGACCCAAAGCTCCATCGTGGAAGCGCAGAGTGAGAATGCGTGGACAAATCGGCGTGTCGGCTGGTCGGTGAAGACGCCTCGCACGTAGCGCGCGAGCTGGAGGAGAGTCGCCTTAAACTTGCCCGTGTCGTTTAACTTCTTTTGTTCTCCAATTACGAGAACGTGTTTATACTCAAAGGTGTCGTCCGCGTTCGTGGCTGGTATTTGCAAGAAAACATCCATCTGGCCTTTCCGTTCATTAAATTGGTTGGCGGTTCTAGTGGTATGAAGCTTATATGGTGCATCGGCTAAGAAGCGCTCTTCAAGTGAGCAAAGCCAGTCCCAAACGGGTCTTTCGTTGGTAGTAGAGGGAAATTCTGTCCATATCTTTCCGTCGTGTGCTGTCATCATCGCCCATAGCATCGCTTTCTGTTCTTGGCGCCAGGACTTGGGATTAAAAAACTTATCGCAGAATCCCTTCACATTACGAAAGGTGCAGTTTTTAATTTCCTCGAAGAGCCCCCCTTCAATAATGCCGCGCGTTTCGCTATCGGCAAGTCGACTCGAGCTGGTCTTGACAGGTGTTCCTTTAAATGTTGGGGCGATGCTAGACGGAGGGTGTGTGAGTGGACTAAGTCTTTCAATGAGGTTGAGGACCGCATCCCAGATATCGACATCAGGAGATTTGTCAAGAACATGGCAGACGAGAGGGCGAAAGTGCTCAAGCTTCAACCCACCTCCTCGCACATGCTGCTGTATGGAGAAGAGTTTTACTGCCACGTTGCCGCTCCCATCTGGCGAAGGAAGGCTGAAAGCTGCCGGAGACGCGAGTAAAGCTGCTAGAAGGTTCGCAACATCTTCCTGCCGTGGAATATCGGATTTGTGGAGGTCACATAGTTTCTCTCGCGGATTATCTAGCGCGTCATTGAGCGGGCGCTCCGATATAACCTTGGTTTGTTGCTCCGTAAGGGTCATGTTGAGAATGGGTAGAAGCAAATTGCTTCCTGGGGCGGAGAGAGGGATGGAAGGGAGATGTAAACAAAAGACTTGTGGTGACAAAAGGAGCGCGACGCGATCAGTCACGTGAGCTGACCGCGGCTGGCGAGCACCAATCAAATGCACCAGATTCAGTCGTAGGCTCAATCCACAATCAAAGAATAATGATCTGGCATAGTCGGCGCATTCTATTGGAATATCCATAACTTAATATCACGTGTAACATCATGTGTAGACCCGCAATTGGGTGAGACATCATGGATAGATGTCGTGACTACCAACGTGCCTGGCCTTAGCGGGAACTGACTGGTTTGGCTACCAGTCACTCCAAGGTGCGCCACGGCGGTTACCAGCATCTTTGGGCTACGTGTTGGTGCGTTACCAGTCACCAGACGCCTGGTAGTAGCACATATCAACGTACATACGAACCTCAGGTCACTTCACCCCCGCGCCGCTTCCCTAATAGCGCTGGAGACCATAAACTTCATATCACTATCGCGTGTTCTGTACCCGGGCAGCGCTCCTCATAAGAACTAAGAAAGTCTTTAATTTAAAGGAGATTTAAAGTCTAGACATACATTTACCATTTACTATTTAGTCCTATTTACCCTTCGTATTCACGTAGCTAAACTTACTCTTCTCTCTCTCCTATATAACGTGACTAAATTTTCTAATTATTAAGTCTTTCGCCTCCTTAATTACCTATTTCCCCACGTAATTAATCGTATAATAGAAAGATAAGTGCCTAAAACACTTTAACTTTAATTAACTCGTTTAACGCTTAACGCGCTTCTCTTAATTACTTATATTTACACTCTTAAATACTATTAATTAACGCACGCTTTATACGCGAGAAGCTATATAAAGCACCCTTCTTCCGCTATTAGGTCTTGCGCTTTAAGGTTCGTTATTACTGCGAACGGGTAACGCTTATAAGAGGGTATGGGATAGCTTAATAGCCGGGTTTTAGGTGGTTAAAACGCTAAGACTCATCATCTATAAATCAGCTGTAAATCAGGCGAGGGAGGTACTCAGGCGAGGACTTTATCTTACTTTTAACTGGTGAGCCAACGCGTTCACGCGGCCCCTCCTACCTACTATGAAGATTCGAGAAGTATTAGTATGTAACTCCGCCATGACAGCGTCTGGCTGCTCTATGTCGCCGTGCATATCTTAGACTAACACAACGGTCAATTGGCTTCTTAGTGAGGAAGTCGCCCATGCGGCGAGAATTGCAGAAAATAATGACCGTGTTATTTAAGGCAGCGCATGAGTTTAGAGAGGACTTATGAACGTCCGCGGACATGGTTGCTGAGAGCAGGATAACTTAAAATTTCGGGGGCGAGTTGGAAGACTTTTAAGATCTACTTTTTGAAACTTCGCTAAAGTTGATCATTTAGCAGACCTTCTATCAAAATATCCCGGGAGCACTCACAGCACTTGCTCCGCCTCACCAAGAATAGATAGCTTCGCTACATTAGTCGTGAATATTCAACGGTCGATCCTACCGAGGATGCAGCCAGATGTGCAGACGACTAAAGGAGTGCCAGCACTAAACGCCACCTGGTAATCCGCTGTTCCGGGACCGCCACTACAAGCGTAGATGTGAACATTCCGAAACTCAAAAAGGCATATGGTGATTTCTTGTATCTGCTGCGCTGATTCACGTAAAGGAAGCATTGGGGCCTGACTATCTTCAATTTAGGTCAATTTTGTGGAGGATAGATATTCTGAAGGCGATAGTTTTTCAAGCGCCTGCTTGGACTTGGGTGACAATATCTTTGCTTGTAAACTGAGATCAGATGCTCTGCGGCTTCGCAGAGAAGGTTTCTAGAGAGCCTAACCTAGAGGATAGGCATGATAGTACGCTGCTGAATAGCGGGTGGACGCTTAACCCATAGGCGTAGATACCTCGTTGACGATAGTTTCTAGACCTTTTTTTGTTTTACACAGACTCAATTCGCTTATTTCCAAAGCAAATTTAACTCACCTCAGCGCAGGTTTTTTTTTTCAAGAGATTCATAGCATAGAAGGAGCCGACGGTCTCGCTCTAGCTGGAGCATATCTCTTCTATAGACCCCAAGGTACTCAGATTACCGACACGTTTTCCTGTCTTCTAGAGCAGTCGTCTCTGGCTTCAGAGTTCCCACAGGCGTAGGTTACCAGTAGCTTCCCACTATCACTATAAGCAGCCCGGAATATCCACTCGTGCCAACATCTCAGAAGATTTCCTCAGCCATGATAGCAGTAGTTGGCCGGTCACGGGCGAAAAATTCTGTCCAGGGACATCTTTGGAGGATATAGTAGCAGCGCTTAGTCACTGAAATAAATGGTCCAAAAAGGGTCTCGGGATTACGATGCCTTTGTATATATGCGTCACACCGAATTACACGGGTGTTACACAAGGGCTGTAATCACGAGACCTAGGGCAAATGCAATCATCGGCTTCTGTATGAATAGACATCTTTGGTCATCTAGGCCTTGAAAGAAACTCAAGGTTATTTAATACCAAAGACTGATATTAGACGAATCGAGTTATTTCTTCAAGCCCTTTCCTGAGCTCTTGTCGACTCACAATAATCACTGACGGAAGAGAGGTCAGTGAAGACAATGGATGGGATGTTTGCGACCACCCACCAAGCGATTGCTCACCTTTTTGATAACCCTCCGTTGACTAGCTGATGCCACTAGGTAATCCCATAATCCCAGTAGTAATTAGAAGATGAAAAATTTCCTAATTTATCAATGTCTTGGACGGAGGTTTAGAAGTCGTGCCTGTCACACAATCCATTGGGGGAGGTTACACAAGCCCTTGTTTTCTCACAGTGGCGTTCCGCCCATGAGGTAATCGTTACACCAAACTACTTGACACTACAAAAATGATGCCTAACCCCTCTTTCGAATCTTCCTCTCGACAATCCTCGGGTTGTGAAGACCTCGTTACAACCCGATTTGGAAGTCCTCTCTGCAGCGCGATTTGAATCTCTTTGCGGCCCGATTTTTAACCCTTCAAAATGCAAGGATTATTTGGGTCATTTTGAAGCGTTTAAAATCGGGCTGCAAAGAGCTTCAAATCGGGCTCCAAAGGGCTACAAAATCGAGCTGCAAGGAGTAGCCGAACCATGTCCTTGTTGTAATGCTTATCAGTTCTACTAAGCATGGGCTGCGGCGTACCAGCTCGCGGCTAAATTTACCAACCCTTGAGTACAGGGATTACACACGCTCTCTATTCTTAATATGACTTGGAATGCCATTTGAGATGCATGTTTAGTCTTTGGCTCGTCGAGTTACTCTATGGCAACGCTGCGTCCATCCACTCGGTTCAAGCCTTTCCAACCGCGCGATCACGCTCAAAATATTAACATGGATAAGTGCAGCATCTTCTCCTTCTGATGTGTCGCAGAGAAGGTTAATCAAGGAAACTTAGGTCAGTCTTAAATTTGTTCGCTCCTACGAAGTATCTTGATTCACACGCCCTCAACGGAAATAACCTTACTATTCACAAGATTGCAACGGCAACGTCAGACAGCGGTAAGAAACCAAATAGCGGATTGATCGCTCTACAGACGAAAACCGTCGCAAAAGGAGCCGTCAACTGGTCTTTTAAACAGGCGATCGGATAAACCTCTACCCCGGAGACGCTACGGTATCGTCTTGAAACCTCGAGGACCAGGCTGACGTGGCGATCTAAGCCCCTAAATTTTTGTACGCGTCGAAACGAACGCAAAGTGGATGGCGCCAATGCCCTGCGACCAGCACCCTCCAGAAAAGATCTAGAACACAACCTCGACGAGTACAACCGCTTTGTTCGCTAACCGGATTCTAAGGTCTGGATGGGTCTTTGGGTGGCTTTGTCTGCAGCTAAGTTGGAGGAAAGCAGCCAGTCATCATCAAACTCGCTTTACTAGGAGCCGAAGCATGGCGCAACGAGATGGAAGCCCTATGGTAGTCGCGTACATCAAGAAAATGATGTATGATTCGAAACAGAAACACACTGGGTGTACTTACTCTGTTTACTCTGTAAGAAGCCTTTTATGAGTGGCGTGTATAGAGTACTACGTACCATCGCTTTATCAGCCTGACTCCTGTCATCTTTTCAACTTTTTGAATCAGAAACATGTTTTTAAACCTGGCTATCAATGTCTAGCGTTCCCCGTTTTCGCTACCATGCTCCACAAACATTCCCTGACGCCCTCCCTTCGCCATCCAACACCGAGATGTTGGCTTGCAGGGTGGCCCTGTGTCTCGCCACAGATGTTGATTGATCTTCGTATTCTTGCTTTTTTGGGTGGTGGCGCATTGCCCCTGATCCCCCCGATCCCTTGATCCCCTTGCTTCTTTCCGTCCTCCCAGCAGCGGGCGGTTGGATTCGGCTGGCCCAGAAACGATTGATATTACGCTTTCAAAACGAAAAGTCTCCACCTCTTTTGTATGCGCGTCTATCTCTTACGCGGATAGTCGAAGCCGTCACCTCCAGGATCGATGTGGCAACCCCATAGAACTGACTGACGTTCAGTAGCTGCTCCAGGCCAGTTTTCCCATCGTGTTGGCAAAGCAATCACTCTCTTTTCGACAGCATCGCGAGAACTCGCCATTCTCACCATGATTGCCATACAAGGCCGCCGCTATATAATCCCGGGCATCATCCTTGCAGCCCTTGCCGTTGTCCTACTCTCCACTGATCGATCCCACGTCGTCATTCGCGAACAAGTCGACAAGTACAAGCAATACCAGCAGGGCAAAAAGGATGCCCCGAAACAAGCGAAGCCGCCTGGTCCAAAATACCTGCCCGCGCCTGAATACGTTCCTCCTCCAGTGGTCGACCCCTTCATATCCCTCGCGATACCGCCGCCGCCCTCTATTCCCCACTGGAACGTCCCCGAAAAGAATCTACACAAGAAGTATCAACTCCCGTATGCGCCGCCACTGTTCATTGGCTTCACGCGCGGGTGGCCGCTTCTTCTGCAAGCCGTCGTATCCTACATCACAGCAGGGTGGCCAGCATCGCAAATTTACGTGATAGAAAACACCGGCACGCAATGGGCAAACCCGAGGGGCAGGCTCTCGCTTCAAAACCCCTTCTACCTCGACTACGATGGCTTGCGGAAACTAGGCGTCAACATTATACAGACGCCAGTGCTTCTCAACTTTGCACAACTGCAAAACTTTTACATGCATCTTTCCCAGGAGTATGAATGGCCGTACTATTTCTGGTCCCACATGGACGTGATTGTTTCCTCTTATGAAGGCGGTCACAATGGTAAGCCCAAGGCGGGTGAAGTAGGCTATCAGACCATATATGAAAACTGTCTCGCCGAGCTCAACACCACGCTGCATTCAAATGATCGCTGGGGAACGCGGTTCTTCGCCTACGACCACCTCACGCTCGTCAACCGGGCGGCATATGAGGAGGTCGGCGGATGGGATACCTACATCCCTTACTACATCACCGATTGCGACATGCATCAGCGCTTGCTCATGCACAACTGGACCCTGGACGCGAGAGACGTCGGCATAATCAGCGACGTCAACACTGTTCTCAAAGATCTGCGGGCACTATATCGCGACCCTTCCGCAGAGCTAGATTATCGAGATCCGAATCCTCCAGAGAAGCCTGCAGCGCCGCCGTCTGCTGTAGAAGATGACAAGAAGGACACGAGAGATGACGTGCCTCCTCGTGAAGAGGATGATTCTGACGATGTCAAGTACTGGCGCAAGTTGCAGGCAGTGGTGGACAGGATGGTGGAATACAAGAAGGGCGACCGTGGACGAAACACGTGGCAGTCGTCACAAAAGGGCGGCGAGGGCGAGCCATTCTACTATTCCTCCCGCGGAGTGCAAAAGGCATTTGACATGCTCACGGCCGTCGGTGGCCAGATATATGAAGAAAAATGGGGGCATAGAGACTGCGCGTTGATCGAAGGGGGCAAGCTGAAGCTGGAAGACCAATGGCGAGTGGCCCACGATTGGGATTAGGGTTTTCTGACGATGGATTTCCACCAAAGTTTTGAAGAGGCACTGTATGTGCAAGGAGGGGATGGTGTGTTGTACATGGAAACGCTTGGTTGCCGCCAACCTCGCAACATGCTCGTGCGAGACGGGGTTGTATCATTCGGACACACTCTAGATGGTACAGGAACAAATTTTCCAGCTCCGAATGGAAAAGCTCCTATATGAGTCGGGCAACGAGGATTTTGATTTCCGGGATGAAAAACAAGTCGTGCGAACACCGAGGACTTTTGGAACGGCAGCACAATCAAGCGGAAAGGAGTACACGCAAAACAGCTGTAACTTGTCATCCCCTGGCTCCAACTCTATACGTCGCCGGCGCTTTTCAATGATGAGCCTAGCATTGTATACCTTGAGAAGACGATGAAGGGAGCCTGAGTGGTGTCTCCTGCATACTGCTCGCCTGCGTCCGAGTTACAGCCATCATTTTAAGAGCTACAAGGATACTTCGCGTTGCCTAATGGTTTCTCTTCCGCAGTGAACTCAGAACAGTTACGCAGAGAGTCTCGTAATGATTAACCGGTTGGGACATGATAGTCTCTGGGGCACATTGGCTCCCTTTCAAACTTGTCGAGTCTGTATGGAAGTCCAGTATATTAACATGCCAAGTATAGAATCTCAAGACTAAAAGTAATAAATAAATAATTCATCCAGATATCCAACGATGGAGCCACCGCGAATTCGCATCTCTATTTTCTCGACTACTGCATCTTTAGTTCCACAAGCATGGTCCCAAAGCCGTCTATGGTTAAAATATCGTGTAATGAGTGGCTCCCAATGTTTCGAAATGGAAATGCATAACGAGACATCAAAGTGATGGATGCTGATATAAGATGCCGAAGCATCACGTGCAATTCATCATGTCAGCCGTGAACCCATACATGCATCCTCACAACTCCAACCAACATGCGGCTTAAACCGCAAACAAACACCGCTTGATAATCTGGCGCCATTGATTCTCAGGTCCGGCTGCCGATTTCATTATCCATTTCTGTCCATGACACGCTCACCGCAGGTGTCAGCCGGGTCTCGCGCCACAATTCATCCAAACAGCGGCGACGAGCCATCAACCTCACTTCCCGTACGTTTGGCGCCTCGACAAAGGAAATGGGCCCCCAAAGTAAGGACGGGGTGCGTGACTTGTCGGTCGGTTGAATCCACTCCCGCAGGCCGACTGCGCATTGTCGTTGTTGAGACGTCAGCTAACCCGCGACAGCCTTCGTCGCGTCAAGTGCGACGAGGCAAAGCCAGAATGCAAGTGATGTCGCTCAACAAGCCGTCAGTGCCAAGGGCATGGCTACGGTCGCACGGGCAATGAGCCTTTCCAAAGGCCAGCACTGCGTCCCAAACGAAATGGCAACGCATTGGCACTCGCCAGCCAGCCGGGCTTTGCCGTGTCGCCATCGGAAGTCGTCTCGTCCGAGGAGGAGATGGCCAACCAAACTAGCTGCGAAATCCTCCTGACATCCTGCTTGATCTTCACAGCCATATGCTGCCTGCAAGGGAACTTGACCACGGCGCTGGTCCATTTGCGCAACGGGCAGAAACTGTTCCATCAGTGGAAGAATGCGAGCCGGGGCATGCGGGCCAACGGTCTCATTGATGTCAGGGCCTTTGTTGCCTTGTTAAGCCGGCTCTGCACACAGACGATTGACCTGCGAAACGCACCGTGGGAGGACTGGGACATTGCCGGGGCGGCGCTGGCAGAGCTTTCCCCGGAGCCGTATACTTCACCAGTCCAGGCTTACCTCGAATTCGAACCTATATGCAACGGCTTCATGGAACTTCGGCACAGGGGACAGCTGACTCTCCACGAGGGGCAGCCCGGTCCGGCAAAGGAGCTTCGTCACGCCTACCAACAAGCTCTCGCTGCTTGGGCTGCAAAGTTTACCCATCTTCAAACCTCAGAGGCTCTCTCCGCAAACGATTTCGAGGGAATTTTGATCTTGGAGGCACGCTATTTGTCGTTTTATATCGACCTCAACAGGGATCCAGAGTCTGAGATGCACTGGGACGCATTCCAGGCCGAGTTTGCTAGAATTGTCCACTTGGCTGAGCGCGTCTGTCAGATATCAGGCCAGGATGAGCCGTCAAACCAGCGTACACGCGGGATGCTGGCGACTCGCGTCTTTGCATTCTCCTCGTCGGGAATGGATGCCGTGTTCACCGTCGCCAGGTACTGTCGACACCATGCCACCCGCCCCAGGGCTCTCCATCTTCTCCAAAATTGGTCCATCAAAGAGGGCATTTGTGATACCAAGATAGCCTCCGTCGTAGCCGCCGGCCTCACAGCAGTAGAGGAGGGGCCCGGGAAAACAAATTCTCTGCACGACAGGCCACCGGGATGCGAATGCGACGGTGTCTTCATATGCCATGATGATCGGATCAAGGTGGTTGCGGGCGAGTTTGTCGAGGACGGGAAAGTAGCAATGATGGCGAGAACAGTGAGAGACGTGAGGCTAGGGCTTCCAGGGACGTTTATTCCAGTGTCATGGTGAGCCATGAGTGTTTACACCTCGCTGCGTCTGTTTGTGGAAAGGGAATAAATAGTACGCACAGGTTCACCTGTGATTTTAAAGGTGTGTGTACAAACCTCCGTCCACAGTGCTTTGTACCCGCTCACAAATCCAACAATGCAGAGTTAAAAAGGCAGGCATCGCCTTCGGGAATCCACCATGTTGACTCACGGAGTAACATGATGCCAAGCAGCGTCAGATCCCGATCGGCTACACCTCTCCGCTTCCGAAACCCCTCTTGCGTCGTGCCCGACGCCGTATTACAAATGGCCTGGCTGGTGTGGGCCGGGTATACCTGCATCAAGAAGCAAGTCTGACATGTGCGGCTCCGAATATGAAAGCCTGCTTGAGCTCATACACATTTGAACTTACCATCTGCCTACTCGACCTACTCATATAACCCGGAAACATGGACTACACTCAAACCTTCCAGTCCGCAATCAGCGACGGCATCCTCCCTTGCGTGGCGCTTCTGGCCAGACGTCTCGATAGTAGGAGATTCCCGACACGTTCCACATGGCTATAGCTGACAAGACCAGACTCGGACGTGCTTTCAACCTATCTGGGCCCAAAATCCATCTCAGCCGCGGATCCAGATCCCATCGACGCCAACACCATCTTCACTCTGGCTTCCGTCACAAAGCTGGCCACGACGGTAGCCGCCCTCCAGCTAGTGGAGCGGGGTCGCATCCAATTGGACGACGATGTCGGCGAATTGCTCCCAGTTCTGTGTCGGCAGAAGATCGTGTCCGGGGTTCGACGACCAGGGACAGCCCGTACTGGAAGAGCGCAAGAGTCCCATCACCCTCCGGCACCTGCTCACGCACTCGTCGGGCGTCGGATACAGCTTTCTGGACTCGGGCGAGAAGCTGCGCAAGTACCATCATTACCACGGCACTGTGCCAAACCACGGCCCTACAATCGAGTCTCGCTTCGGCGTCCCGCTGCTCCATCAGCCCGGCCAAGGATGGGCGTACGGCGCCGGAATCGACTGGGCCGGCCGACTGGTCGAGAAACTGAGCGGCCAGTCGCTACAAGAGTATTTCAACCAGCACATCTGGAAACCTCTGGGGGCCTCATCCACATTTACCTTTTTCCCCGGCAAGGAGTCCACGGGCAATAGCCTCGCGGCGATGGTGTCCAGAGGCCAGGGGCCGGAGGAGCTCGAGGAAATGCCGGGCGGGCTGGATCTGAATGTCGGAGTGCAAGAATGCTTCGGCGGGCAAGGGGGCTACGGCAAGGCAGACGACGTCCTGAAGCTCCTGCACTCGCTCCTCGCCAACGACGGGCGACTGCTGCGGCCCGAGACGGCGGACATGATGTTCCAGGGCCAGCTGTCGCAGCCCAGCAAAGCGGCATTGAAGCAGTCGCTCGAGGGCTCGCCGTGGGCCGTCGGCGACTACTACAGCGGCGAGGAATACAACTGGGGGCTGGGAGGCTTGTTGATCGAGAAGGCCGGCCCCGGTGCTCCGTACACCCGGGGCGCCGACACGCTCATATGGAGCGGCGCACCAAATGTGTTCTGGGTACGTCATGACCTCGAAGACAATACGGAGCACGACAGTCTAACATTTTGCAATTTTTTGGGGGCACGCAGTTTGTCGACCGAAGGAATGGGCTCTGTGGATTGTTTGTGACCCAGCTGCTCCCGCCCGGTGATGCCGGCGCGACGGATGCCATTCGAGAATTCCAAAAGGTGGCTTACCGGAAGAACAAGACGCGAGGCTGAACCCAGCCCAAGCATAGGCGTCGGTTGCAAAGTTGAGATCCCGACATGGTATCAATGTGTGGCGCCCCTGGCCAACACGTGAGCACGTAAGCATTCTGGCGTTGCAAAACAAAGAATGAAATGGCATCAAAAAACACCCACAGGCCAAAGACGGCCGACGTCGCATGGTGAATCCATCCAGAGAAAACATGCATACATGTCAGGCGCCAATGCATTCGACTGCGACTGCTCGAGGTATTTGTTCGCAAGACCAGACAGTTGCCCCGCGCCGACCTGCGGCGGGGTTCATAACTTCATCGAGGTTCATCCTCCCCTCGACCTTTTTGCTTCATTCACTCTCCATGCACTCGCCCACCTAAAACTAAAAACAACACGTCCCTTCCATTAGCACCACAAGCTCACAATGGTCGTCAACCACGTAGTCATATTCCAGTTCAAGCCCGACGCCAGCGCCCAGTCCGTCAAGCAGGTGAATTCCGCGCGCCCACCCTCATTTTCCCCATTTTCCCGCCTTCACTAATGCGCCCGCCCAGTGCTGCGATGAGATGCTCGGCTTAAAGGACCAGTGCGTCCTCGCCTCCACGGGGAAGCCGTATATTGCCAACTCCAAAGGCGGCAAGGACATGTCCATTGAGGGCCTCAATGTGCGCGGCAACGAGTCGAAATCTCCCTTGGCAGGCGCCTAGACACTAACAAGCACAGAACGGCTTCACCCACGTCTTCGTAGTCGAGTTCAACTCGGTGGCCGATAGGGACTTTTACGTCAAAGAGGACAAGGCCCATCACGGCTTTATTGGAAAGTGGATCACTTCGTCGGATGCTATTGTTTCCAAGGCCATGGTTGTCGACTTTTGTTCCTGGGTCTCTCGAGTGAGGTTGGTGGCCAAGCGTTGGAACTTGTGGTGATGTGGTATCAGAGGGTTCGGCTCCCTACAAATGGGACATGTTGATAGCAAAAAAAAAGAGAAGAAAGAAAAAAGCTACACAAACGGCAAATTCAACGGAGCCGTGTCATGGGGCTTTGCTTTCCTTATTTCATTGCTTGCGACCTGCTGGGACAGACCGACTTGCAACTATTTACGTATCCTTTCGTCTCCGTCTACGCATCAAGTACATTTGGATCCTCGTTGTCGCTGTCCAGCTCCGAAATGCTTGCAGATTTCAGACACAAGTGCCATCCTTCCGAAAAACCTGTCCATATACAACTGACGGCAATGTTCTCAACCGCAAAGCAGCCAGCATTAGTCGTGGCATGTCGCGCCGGTTGGGACGTTCAACAGGTCCCGAATCTATCTGTAAGGCGGATTTCGCATGGATGGGAATGAGATGCCATGGTATTTTTTTCCACTATGTGTCTTAGGTTTGGTATACCCGCCCAATTGTAAATTTGTTGCCGTGTTGGCAGGTGTGGCCAAGTCGGAGATGCCTCCTTGCTGAAGCGACTCAGTTTTGTGAAAATTGACACGACAAGTATGAAATGGAATGGCCAAGGTGGCGAGGCGCATGGATTGTCCGTTTGCCGTCAGCTAACCCGTCGCCAAATGCGTTGCCGCCTTGTCATGATGGCTCGTTTGTTACAGTACACATGTCAGTGGCACTGACAACCGATTTCACTGCCTGCCATGTCAGCACAATGCTGCATTATTATTTTTCACATGTCAAGTTCCTTCATTCTCCTCTCCATTGGCCATGGGAACCTTGTCTAGAGAAACTCAAGTCGATTTCGTACTGCACCATTATCGCTCCATCCGCGCTCCCCGTCGACGTGGATGACGACAGCTTCTCTTTGTCCTTGCCCGTGCTTATTATGACGGTGTCGGATCCTTCTCCCTGTCCGAATATTCGTCCCGAATCCGTCACCCCGGCCGTCTGGCTGCTTTCTGACCCATTGGCGAAGTTGCAGGTCGACTCGTTCCCATATGTGACGCCCGCTGAGCGATGGACGTGGCCGAGTTTGACAGTGTTGTACGTCGGCGCGCTGGCTTCTTTGCGAGAGGAGAAGTTGTGTCCCCACCAGCCTCCAAGAGCGTGGATAACTGGTCTCATCACGGGGAGGCAGCCTGGGGATAGAGAGACTTGGTCAGATTGGTGTTGCGGGCAATTCGTCCCTTGCATCGTCGAAAAGTCCCACTTACATGCCATCACGCTGAGGTGAATCTCTACCGCGGACCAAACCAAGGCGGGTGTGCAGTTCCACAACACGTCGTCGGCGTACGAGTCGTATCTTGACGAAGCGGCCAGCGTCATGCTGGCAGCAATGACAACACTGCCAAACTGTTAGACGACCTGGATCGGCCTAGCACATTGGGTAGTGGAAGCTTACGCAACGCCAAACATGAACATGGCAGCGATGGCCAATTTTTGCGGCCAGGGCAGAAACAATCTACTAATTTGCGCTGTGGAAAAGAAAAAAACACACATTAGACCATGTCCCATTGGCAGTCATCAGGGGACGATTTACTCACTTGCCGGCAACACCATCAGCGCAACATCGATAACAAGATGTGCCGAAACGGACCAGAGGAAGAACTGGGCCGGATCAATGGTACAACTCCCCTCAATGGACTTGTCCCATAGAAAGTTGGGCGGGAAACACTGGAACACGGCGATGAACAACTAATTGCCACTTTGTCAACGCATTTCTTTCACGGTGATGACGCGTCTGGGAGATGGTCATACTCGCACTAGACACCAAACGCTCACAAACGTGGCCAGGGTGTATATAGTTATTTTTGCCCATGTAACTGATTTGAATACTCGATAGAATAGCGCCAGCAAGGATAGCTGCGCAGCTGTTATAGCCAGAGTATACGTGTGCTCATGAATCATAAGTGCCAATGCTTGGTAGTAGCGTGCTTCGTCGGGAGATATGGAGAGGTCTTCAAGATGTCGGCCGAGGCCCTTTGTTATCACTGTAGTCAACATTGGTTAGCCAGCATCCGTCGGGAAACAAAAAGAAAAAAAAAAGAAAAAATACAAAGGCCGTATCGTACAAAAGAATGCGGCTATGTCGTAGGCAAGTGCCGACGCCTAAGAGCCTGTCAGTCAAAACGCCGCCGCGGACAGATCGTCACCCCTTGGGGCCGTACCAGCGCCAGCACGGCTAAATAATCGTCCCACCATAGCGGAACATGTTTTAATTTTCTCGCGTAAAACCGTAGGCCGAGTACTATTGACGATGGAATGAATGTCGCAAAGATACCCGCGTAGACGGTATAGGTGATGGATTGAGTCATTGCGGGTGCCGTCGCCGCCCTGGTCAGTGTCCAAAGTCGGGCCAGAATTCGCACCTTGGCCTCAATTTCAGGTCAGAATAGTCATGATATACAAAGCTGTGTTGAAACATCAGAACGATTGTGCTTCTTCCTGGGTTGAAACGGGGACGAGAGGGGTATAAGGGCAAAGAGGAAAACGAAGGTACAAAGCAGTGTGGTATTTTGTTGATATATCCTGATTTGCTAGCGTGTAACACTTTTGGTCTAACCAGCTTGGCGCCTACACCAATACAACACAGCAGGCTCGGATGCAGGCAACATGTACATTGAAGCATGGCTAAATGTGTTTGTAGCACTCTAGCAAGGGTTGCCCTAGTTGCATGTAGCAGACTTGGGATGCGGTTGTCTCGGAATATGGTTCAAAAATCGGGACTGTGACATTGGTGCACCGAGCAGCGACAACCAAACGCATCCGTGCAACGCCTTTGACGATGGGCCAGGATCCAAATGGCCGGCCGAAGCCTCAGACGTGCCTCCCTATCTCGTGCCAATCAGCACAACTTGCCTGGAAGCCTCAATCCTCGGAAGGATATCGGATTCGGGGCACAAGGGGACCTTCGAAGACGTACAAGGCGTCAAGGTTGGACTACGAAGGAACTAGTGAAAAGGCTTCCAAGGAGTAAACGCACAGCCGTACAGCCACGAGGCCCACGACACTGGGCTGATTGATGACACATGATAGATAACCTTGAGGTCAAGGCTTGTGATTTCCGGGCTCGCTTCGCTCTTGGTTTACTGATTGGTGCCAACCCAAGTCCAGGTATTTGATAAACCGCGAAGCGCATGTGTCGCTAAAGTGATCCTATTCTACGGGAACCAATCGTTTGCAACATTCTGCATGAGTTTACAAAAACACAACCTCCTGTTTCGTGATTTGTACAGGGTTGGGTTTAACGTGTGCGCGAGACGAGCATTTAACCAAGACGGGTTACTGTTCCAAGTAAACTCAGAGAAGGGTGTTGGGGAATTGCCGAAAGGCACATTGAAGCGTCATACGAGCCCAAGATGTGCATGTCACCCTCCATACTCGTGCAGCTCCACTGTCAAAATTCGGCCAACGTGGGCTTTCGGGTTGATAGACGGGTGTTATCTCAGGTGTACTCCGTAGGGCGATTAAGATTAAACAAGCCGGGCCACCCGGGAGTCGTGATGCGCGAAATAGACTCTGGAGCTGCGGGACGCCATTTAACAGGTCCAGTTGTTAATTTATCCTAGTCATGGTATGCCAACTACTACTCCGTATTCCCCCAGCCTCCAAGCATGGGGAAGCGGGTTGCGTTGCGTGGCAAGTGGCCAATGCATCGAGCCGCCAGGCCCATTCAGAAGAGCGTTCCATAACCAGGGTTATGGATGATGGGAGGAGGGGGGACAGGGGGCAAGGGGCAAGGAACAGCTTGGTGTTGGTGGTGTTGGTCGATGTTCGGTTGGTCGTGCTCGGTGGTCGCCCTAGACTCTGGCGGTGAAGTCATTTTGCTTTCCGGGCCTTTGGGACGAAAACGTAGCGCAAACAGCTGAACAAAGAATCAGTGATATCAGCTTGAAAGAAGAAGAAGAATACATACCGTGCCACAAGCTCATCAGTATCAACTGGTCAGTGGCTGCCCGTGGGAGTTTGCCATGTACGAAACATTGCTCGCCAAGGCCAAATTGGCAAAGGCACACGACAGGGAAGGGCTTCCGGCAGCCAGGTTCCAGGCTGGTGGCCCGTGCTGATCCGCCACCACAAAGGAAGGTGAACAGGAACTTGGAAGGAAGGAAGGAACGTCCCAGTGCCGGCGACATGTCATGGGTCTGGTACTTTCACTCGGAGACCCCAGTCTTGTATCAGATTCGAGATGACATGGACGGGACTTCTGGATAGCGCTCCCGCATTCTGCTCCACCCCCTCACGACTCACCAACGTGCGAACCGCTCAAGCCACTCGACATCAAACGACGACGTACTTCTGGCCGTGGTCGTCCATTGCAGCATCGCAATCCCCAGCCCTTGGATCTCATCTCGTCGGTCGTTTGCGAGCGCCGTGCGTTGGCCGTCAATGTTGGTGGGGAAACACGACAGCATGTTGCCACCAACGCTGCACACTTTCGTTGTTGGCTCGGCGGCTTCTCATGTACGATTCATCACTTGATCAAATGTCTTATTCAAATGCCTCAAGTCTCCCGAATCAGCCGTCAATGTCTCGTCCGCGCCGTCTTCCAGCTGCCTTCCATTCGCTTTCCTCAAGCCTTTAAATCCACCCTCAAACTCTCGTCCTCGTAGACTCATCACCACCACGGACACGCCACCGCCTCGGCGTCCAGCCACCGAACCACTTTTGGACAAAACATTCGACGGGTTCATCTGTTTACGGAGTATCTGCTGCCGAATCTACTTGACACACGGCCATTGCCACACGTTCTGGCCGTTGCTGCTATTGGCCGCGGTCAAGGTTGAGTCATTATGGCAACTGACCTTTCCAAAACGCCGGGAACTCACAGCAGCGCCATGGAGATGGACGCAGCACAGGTACCGGGCACAGTTCACCTTGTTGATTTGGATCGTAGTGCTGCGACTTCGCACACTGGCAATCGCAATGATATTATTCTCGTCCCGACGCCATCGTCTGATCCCAATGATCCCCTCAACTGGTCGCCGTCGCGAAAGCGTCTGCACCTTGTTTGCTTAATTGTGTGAGTGGAACAATTTGTGTCAATGGGCCCTTGATAGATTTGAACAAGAGTCCCAAATTTTGTGATGAAACGCCATTTAAAAAAGAGGCTGATTGCTGAATATACATGACTTGTACGGTACAGCTTTGTCTTCTTCAACGGCATGGCCTTGTCAGTTGTGTACTCGGTTCTGGTTCCGCTATCACCTGCATTGCAGCTTACAGGCACGTTGAGAATGCCACACGGCAAACCTTATTTGCAAGAGACATGTCTGACCTATTTTTGGATTTGACTTGATACAGTCAGCGACCTCAATGCTGGTACAGGATACATGTTCCTCCTGCTTGGCTGGGGGCTTCTCTTCTGGCAACCATTTGCCCTACAATATGGAAAACGCTTGACCTACCTGCTATCCATGCTTGGCATTGTGGTACTAACCTCCCCATTTACTCATTCAGATTCAATTCAAACGCAGTCAACCTCATTTCTAAGTTTCGAATAGGCCGTCTCCATATGGAGTCCATATGCCAGTGGCAACGGACAGTGGATTGCTCGCAATATCGTGACCGGCTTCGTGGCCGCTCCAATTGAAGCCCTGCCAGAGACATCCATCACTGACATTTACTTCACCCATCAACGCGGCACATATATGGGCTGGTATGCTTGGGTGTTGGCTTCGTCCAACTACTTTGCTCCCGTCATCTGTGGCTTCATCAACGACGGCATGGGCTACAAGTGGCCGTTTTTCTTTATGGCTATTTTTGGCGCTGCCGCGTTTGCTTTCCTCTTCCTGTTCATGGAGGAAACCAACTACGACCGTTCAGTCGTAAACACGGGTGACGTTCCGCCAGCAACCATCCAGGCTCAAGGAGGTAAACACGCAGCTAGTGTTGAAAGTGTCCCCGCCACACATCGGATCTCTGTACCAGGCGAGGAGAAGATTTCCTCCAGAAGCTATCGTTGAAGGATAGCCCGCGCCCATTTCTTATGCACTGGCGAGCCTGGCAATCGCTTAGACTACTTACCTGGCCAAACATATTCTTTGCCGGCTTTTCATACGGGACGTACCTGATCTGGTTCAACATTCTCAACGCTACGGCATCGCTTATTCTTGGCGGCCCGCCGTACAACTTTCAACCCAGTATTGTCGGTCTGAGCTATATAGCATGCCTCATTGGTGTAATACTCGGGTGCGTCAGATGCAAACATGGACCTCTCTACAAACCAATGCTAATGCGCAAAGAGCAGTTCTGCATACAGCGGCATAGCGTCCGACTGGGTGGTTCTCAAACTCGCACGTCGCAATAACGGCGTCTTTGAGCCCGAGCAGCGTCTCTGGCTGTTCTCCGGCATGACAATCGCCGCCCCCTTCTCCCTCATTCTTTGGGGTGTGGGCGTGAGTTGGCTCCCTCGCCAAACAAATCCAACCGCATTCAGCTTCTAACCCATGTAATAAATGTAGGCTGCTCATGAGGTGCACTGGTTCGGCCTCCTCTTCGCAATGGTTGTCCTCTCGGCAACAAGTGCTTCGGGCGTTACCCTGTCTGTCGCGTATCTGGTAGACTCGTTCCCTGAAATCTCTGGCGATGGCCTGACGACCATTATTATTATCCGCAATATGATGAGTTTTGCAATTGGCTACGGCATCACGCCGTGGCTGGAGGGACTGGGTGTGCAGAACTGCTTTATCAGCGTGGCATTTGTCGCCCTTGCCATTTGTTCCGTCTTTCTACCCATGATATGGTTTGGCAAGAAGTTCAGGGGAACGAAGAAGGAGAGTTATTGGCGGGAAGTGCAAGTTCGGAATGACATGAAGGCGCGCTGATACTTGCCACGTCGTGTGGCAAGAGTTGGCACATGAGCGTAACGAGGCTTCAGGCAAAGGTCAATGTCAAAAGGATGCGCCGTCCGGTCCAATAGAATTGAACTTTCGCCCTAGCTAGTTTCATGTAGACAAAATGAGATATACAAGGGCCCCTGGTCCTCCTAGACTCATATCAATGGAGTACTCCGTACATACACAGCAAGCAACGCCTCGGCTCAAAAGTGTCGCAATTACTGCGAATAACTGGGGGGTCCCCCAGCCTCGATAGAATAACAACTCGCCTTCAGGTAGCACAAGACCTCGAAAACAGCCTTGCACACCTCAATGGCCCTCTTCTTCCAGTCCGAGTCGGACCACAAGTTCTTGAGCATGTTGTCCTGAATCACCGTCACGATAAACCGCACATGGTGGTCGTCGGCGGTCCAGTTCGTCTTGTCAGGGTGGTAGACGAGGAATTTGACGCTCCGTCCGTTGATGGCGTTCTTGGCCGCCTCAGCCGTCTTGTTCTTGTCGGGCTCCGGGTACGACGTGCGCGTCTTTGCCACGAGGTCGCGCCAGAATTCAGCCCACGAGCCCTGGACCAGGTCGCTATTTAGCCACTCCTTGAACCTGGGGGCGTCTTTGAAGGGGAGCAGCTCGAGTATGAGGCGTTCGTGCTGGGCGTTGAGCATGGGAATTGGCGGAGGGGCCGACATGTTGGATATTTGGGGGCTTGGAGGGGGAACGCCCATGTTTACGGCTGGTTATATTCGCAGACGTGGTACAAGTTGGCGGTGATGATTCTTTGGCAGATGTGGACAGGCAGCCCAGGGCATGAGAGGTCAGAGAGTGATTTCCATCTTTTTTGCTGTCAAGCGGCCTTGTTCTTGTTTATGTAGCTGATTGATGCGGCACGACAACACATGGTCTCACGGAATTGGGGCGAGCTGAGCGGCCGAATCGGTCAACAAGGTGAGTGAAGCTGAAGCGACGAATCATATAGCTGGGCTTGGCCCAAAGTGACGCGTCGCCTCGCACGGCGTACGCCTACATGGGATATATGCATGTCAGCACGCTGTAGCCGGGCGTCACGACAATTACCGGGTCGGGTATGCTTTTATCATAGTTGGGCACCGTTATGAGGGGGGGTTATCGCAATAGACAATATGTGGGAGGCGTTGCAACCTGGAAGGGACTTTTCGTGTGTTGTGTGCTTGTATAGCCTCTAGCTAATAGTAGCTGTTACGAATCTGCCAAAAGTGGATGACCTCCTACAGATGGAGATCGTATTGCGGTATACATATGTGGGTGCTATTACAGTAGCCAACAAGGTCTATAAGAAGGCGTCGATACCAGCTTGCTAGCCGCGAAGATTCCACACAGCCGAGTTGCCTAATTCCGGGACGTATCAGATGTAGATGGCTGATTTTTATGTAGACTTGCATCTTAATAAACCGAGGTTTAATTAGGGAAATCTTTGAATGACCTTTCCCTAGTGTAGCATTATAGTAAGCGGCGATCTTCAAGCCCTGGCAGAAATTAAACTAAATATAGAACCCATCAAGAAACAGCGAGCCAAACTCAGGAGACAAATGCGAGATGATGGCGGCAGAGTAGTTTGGACGTGGGCAAGTCCAGAAGATTGTCACCAGATACAGACCTCGCATTCACCGTACGGGTCAATTGATGGTATTAGTGAATCTACATTAACATTCAATCTGGGAATATTGGCCAACTCGAACTAAAATCAGATTTGGAGATGGCCCGTAGGCAGAAGAACGGGTGTACTTTTAACGGCAGCACCGACGAGCGACATAGTTGCGTTTTCTTTGGCGGCAACTCGCAACAGGCTAAATGCAATGGCAGCAAGAAACAGGTATACTAAATATACGCAGCTTCCGGCCAGCCCTTGAGGCTTCGGTATTCGGAACAACTCGTCGTGAACAGCCACCGTTCTTTGACGAGATGCCAAGGGAAGCATGCTGAGCGAAACCGCTGGAGGGATTGTCCTGAGCCAGCGTTCCCTCACAATGGATCTGGCGAGACGCGGAACAATACATCGCGCTGCAGACTTCAACGACGGGGTTCCCAAGCATTCTAGCCTCTGGCGCGCATGGGCTTCCCTCAACAGATCCCAAGCCCGATGCCCTCGCAATCCCTGTCCTTGTCTAAAGATGTCTGAAACTCTCTCAGTCGGGAGTCGATGCTCAGAGTCTTGATTAAGTGCGGCTACGAGGCGATTGACCAAAGCAGCTGCCGTTTTGACTGCGAGTTGCTGCCTTGGCCAGTTCTCGGTTCGAGCTACGGCGTAATGTCAGTCTTGCAAGTTTTATTCAAGTATAGACTAGGAAGTAAGAGGGTAAAAGTTTTCCACCTCCAAAGTACCTCCGCTTAAGGTATATCCAGCAAGACTAGTGTAAAGTCGGAGCGATGTGGTCGTCCAAGTGTCCATTACTAGTGCCTTCTCATCAGCCTTGGTGAACCTGGGAATGTCACTTTCATGGACGGCTTCTGCCAGTTTTCTAATGACAAACAAGTAGCTCGGTTCATCAGGCCCGCTGATGCCAAAGATACAGGCGTACGTGGCAGATAATGCTTTGTTTTTTCAAGATGTGGTCAGCGTACGCCGCCACGAGACTGCAGGCCTTTACGAACCTTGTCCTTCTGCAGCGTCTATCCAGCTCGGATCCGCTTTCTGGGCATTTATTACCGCACCATGCAGTGAATCCCGTCGGCGCGACCACAATGTCGCCTGCGAAAGTTCGATCAGACGCGGTAACTGGTGCTCGGGTGGTATTGGACTCTCACCAGACTCTCTTTGGTCAAGACTCTGGACTTGTCCTGAATCTCGTCGTAGAAAACCTGCATCAGAATTCGGCGGTCAAGAAATAGCGCTGGATTCCCGTGATTGTAGGGCAGGCGTGTGGTTGGAATGAGTGCTCCAAACGGATTTCCGCGAGTTGAAACAAAAAAATGATCATTTGAAGCCAACTTACTGCTGGGACATGCCTGGTCGAGACCTTCCAAAAGACCAGGATTCGTTGGCACGTGAGTCGCGATATATCACTCTATTCACCGGATAATCTGTCATCTTCAGCATTCAGTCATAGCAGCCTAGCTGGTCCAAAACTCGGAAATCAATGGGAAGCATGCCATTGCTCGCTCCAACTTGTGGCGCAATCTCCTGGTAGGCCTCAAGCATGATGAAGTCGACACCTACTTTTTTCGAACATCAAGCCAAGTGAAAGCAAAGCCCTGCTACGCCTCCGCCGACAATAACGGTTTTCAAATTCTTCGTCTCCGCACTCATGATGGAACACGGGCAGAATCTTGCGTTCGATCAAAATAGACTAATGAAGTTGAGATGCTGTTCACTTAAGATTCTACAAACACTACACGACCGCCGATTACTGATACTCTCCTGACCTTTCCCGGGAACAGCGAACTACATGCACGAGTTTGTTCCAGTTTCCGAAAGTCACCCCAAACCAGTGAGTATCTTGGCAGTGGGAGTCTAATGCTCTCACGGAGCGAGTACACAAACCCCACCGATCTCTGCTTCAACACCGATGCCTGCCTCGAGTCGTGGTCAAGTACGCGCTGTATCATGGTATCATGGTGTAATGCATACGACAATAGGGTAGTGGATACTAGGATAATGACAGGCATGGGAGTCACTCGGGACGTAAGATGGATGGACTGGAGGAGAGAGCAGGAAAACGACATGCAGTGGGAGACAAAAGCTATGTAACCAGACCAGGTGCCTGGCTATCGCGCTTTCTACTATGATAAGCTATAGTATATTAGTGCAAACTTCCCGGTGGGTAAATATATTCTGCCACAGACTGTATACATTGAATATCCAAACATTGACTTGGATTTGATACGGCTCACTAGGGCTGTAGATGAGCGATACGATACGATACTTGACCAAGAAAACATAGTAGCTAGTAAAATTCAACTTTCACTTATTACTCCCATGCCAGAAGTAGCATCTTGGACATAATAAACGGGCTAATTTTATCTCACCGCAATAGACTGCTACTGCGGTATGAAAGGGAGGATTACAATTAGCGTTTAAATTAGAAACATAGACTAGCTATGCACAATAATAAGAAGATCAGAAGATAGAAGCAAAGAAAAGAGATGTCAGCATGAATTCACGCGTCAAATGCTAAAGGCAATGGAACCGTTCTTGCATGAGCCTAGAAGCAACACAAAGAACACATGGTGAGACGTTGGGGCTATTTGGGCGCAGACTGAGCAAGACTGCAGGGAACAACAGACTTTTCACAACATCAACACAACCGAGTTCTTTCTTTTTACCTACTCTCCAACAATGCTTGTGCTTGGGAGGTTGGGTTGAGGTATCGAGATACATGTCAAGTATCCAAGCAAGAAGATTCCTACCTAGGTACCTAGGTAGGTAGGTTGTCGGGCAAATCGCGACATAGCAATGAATCTCAGCCCATCACAGGCCTATGGGGCAGCATGGCGACTCAAAATTCGGCAAGTCCTCCGGCAGTTTTGTGAAGTGATCCGACGTGGGTTGGGCAACAGAAGGACACTTAGCCATGAGTACCAAATCATCGTTCCACGACACTCCTGACATCAGCGTAAAAAGTCAACGCAGCGAGCATGACTGGCCGCAATACTGCCGACGAATAGCGTGGCAAACGAGGTGCCGTAGTGGCCGCCATCACGCTTGGCAAGTCGCATACGCTCCGTTGCGCCGACATGGACGGCCATGTTGAAATGCACATCGGCCCTTATACGCGGAATTGCTGCCGAATAGTCCTGTCCTGCTGGTGTCGGGTTAATCCCACAGTGACTCTTCAGCCATTGCCGAAGCAGCCGCCAGGGGCCCTGTGTTCGCAGTCCATCTACCGTCGCTCTACTTGGTAACCGACGGCGGCCACAGATGATGCCAGGTCACTTTTGATGAAATTGCCCACTCATTGTGAGAGGCTTAGCCGCTGCTTTTACAAGACATGGGTGCCGTACAATTGTCTATTTAAAGCCAAAGAGGAAAGGATGCATCCGTGCCATAGCCTCGGGCCTGTTTGGTTAGTAGTAGATACACCAGTATCCGCAAGTACCCAACCGTGGAACTGCTTTTGATCATCTCGTTCGATCTGCCTGGAAGGCAGACGAACTGTCAGCTACATGGCTATGTTAGTTTCTGAGGCAGATAACTGGACCAAAAGGGAGGGGTGAATCAACATACCTGGGGCGGGAGAGTATGCAACATGACTCCAAGCTCAGTACCGATGTATTCGAGCCTCCGTTTTACCCAGGCACGCTGAGCTACTACTAGGTAGTCCTGCAGTAACAGGCAGGTAAGTGGCCACGGAAGGAGAAATCCCACCACCCGCTGCCCTTGGTTGACTCTGTAGCCAAAGCTAGATAACTGTGCGGGCTGGGAAATGTAGGGAACCGGGGTGACAATTTCAGCTATGAGCCTGGTGCAAGTTCTATTATAGCTGCATTGGCACAGTCAGGCGTGGTCCGATAATTCGAGGGGAGTGTGCTCTCCCCTGGCATCTAGTCGCACAATAGTCGTCCAGAGCATGAGACGCACACAGCGCATTGAATTCCATACCCGACTAACAGACGGATCATTACAAATGTCAACTCTGCCCGGAAATATCTCGTCCTCGGAGTGCAGCCCCGGGTTGCTCAGAGGCGAGATTCTAGTTTTTGAATTTTACAGCGTCACGTCTTGTTGGATATCCGCTGGCGTTTGCGTGTTGCGAGTTTGGACGCCGTGGATATCCCCGGCATGGCTTGAGAATGTCGACGACACTGGCAACAGCTCGGTTGTATAAGTGCCTTATACCACTGAAAGCTGCAGAGCGACTTACTTTGAACTCCCCTGACTCTGCATTGGACGCACCCTTTAGAACCCGGGCCGTAATAAACCATTTCGGGGTTTGATTGTCGTGTACGGTTCCTGGGAGCTGGTCAAGTTGTAGACTCTCTGTAGCTTCAGTGTTGCCCGCAAGAAATGTCTGGCCAGTACCATGGCGGAATTCAAGCTGTTTCTCACGCTACGCCGCATTGTTTTCAACACGCAACTCGTCTAGTAGTTGGGAAAATGCTACAAGTTATAATACTGGTTATAACTAATAAGACTGATCTAGCCCTTTTTTTTGTCTTTTTTCATAATTTAACTAATGACTAATAAGACTTAAATAACAATATTTCTTTTAAATTTAGTCATCGTATACGTAGCGTAAACGAAAGTCATTAGAGAACAAATAAACAGCTCATCAAAGTCAGTATACTCCCTCGTGAAGCGCCTTTAGAGAGAATGAGCCACAAGAAACCGCATACACATCAAGTGGAATCACTATAGGGAGGCTTAATTGCTTGACGGCGACGGAAACCCTGATACATAAAGAGAGATAGAGGCCTGCACTACCGTACGTTCCTGCACTTTTGGTAGTGCAGCTGCAAGCCACGACAGAAGCAGGCGGCTCGGTCGATCAATTCCATTCATGACGGGGGTCTCACCAAGGTCGGCGAGCTGGTTTTTCGATGCTAGCTGTCCAATGGCAAGGTTGAATTGGCCGCTGCGCACATGTTAAATTCTGGCGGGTATCGCGCAATGGGTGATACTATGATCTTGGATCGGCCGTTTATAGGCGGAGTTTGCAGACGGGTTTTGCGGTTTTGCCATGAACGGATATGCTTATCGCCACGCTTCCATTTGTTCCCATGCCAGCACTTCCGCTTCTCCGCAAATGGGTTACCGGTGGTAAGGAGAATCGCCGTGGTGTTGCCTCGATGCTATCAGCTCGCTCGTAGTCGCCCCGACTGCGGAGGACCATCCATCCGTCTCGACTGATACCTCACTTCTATCTTCTGGCCGACTAAATGCCATCCCTTCGGAAACTCTCACAGATGTCTGCCATGATATACTCAGTGCGAACAGATGCCCAGAATAGCATTCTCAGCCATCATGAGAAGCGGCGAACCCGTCTTGCCGACGACGCGGCACAGCTCGCGGCCATGGGCCACAAACAACAGCTTCAGCGCAACTTCTCCATGATATCCATGCTAGGCTTAGCCCTCGCCATTATCAACACCTGGACCGCCCTCGCCGCTTCAATCACACTCGCTCTCCCCTCGGGAGGATCCAGTTCCGTCATCTGGGGCCTCGTGGGTGCCGGCATCTGCAACTTGTGCCTGGCGGCGTTGCTCGCCGAGTTCCTGTCCGCGTATCCCACGGCCGGCGGGCAGTATCACTGGGCCGCCATCATCTCGTGGAAGCGTGCGGACCGCGCCATCAGCTACGTGACGGGCTGGATCAACGTCTGCGGCCAAGTTGCTCCCAGCGCCACCGGTCCGCTGCTCGGCAGCACCTTTGTCGTCGACATTATTTCGCTTTTCAACCACTCGTATGATGCGAGGCCGTGGCACCAGTTCCCGATTTACGTTGGCTTTGCACTTGTTGCTCTCGCCATCAACGCCTTCTTGCTGCCAAACTTCACACTGAGGCGGCCTTCTTCTGGTCCATGACGGGATTCTTCGTTATTCTCATTACCGTTCTGGCGTGTGCGAGGCCGCATTTCCAAACCAGAGGCTTTGTCTACGGCCAATTCATCAATCATGTCGGGTGGCCGGACGGCTGGGCTTGGCTTCTTGGTTTGCTCCAGGCCGCGTTCGCATTGACGGGTAGGTGTCTTGTATATATCAACTATAAGTCATATATGACGAAGGATTTTCGTATATATATACGTAGCTAACAAATCCTAGGCTTCGATGCCACCGCATACATGATTGAGGAGATTCCCGACCCCCAGCACCAGGGCCCCAAGATTATGCTCACTGCGTCGCCTTCGGCATGGTCACGGGCTTCATCTTCCTCAGCGGCCTGCTCTTCTGTGTCGACACATTGACAACGCCCTGGGTGCGGCCTGGGGACCTCTCTTGGAGATCTTGATGCAGGCCACCGGGAGCAAAGCCGAGAGCACATGCCTGCTCGTCTTTCCCTTGCTCTGCATGGTTTCACGACAACCACGCTGGTCTGCACCAGCACACGAATGACGTACGCATTTGTCCGCGATGGCGGCATGCCCTTTACCATCATGGCTTTGGCGTCATGCTTCTCATTGCCGGCGGGTCGTGGGTGTTTGATGGACGCAAGCACTACCAAGGTCCGCAACTGGATGTTCAGGGCTTGATTAAGAGCAAGGTGGAAGGGATCGAGCCGGCCACGGGGTTGGATTCGTCGAGTAAGACGCAGGAGGCGATGCTTGAAGGTCGATAGAAGCATAGATGTGAAGCGGCGCAAGTATCACGACGCGGTGTCACTGGATATGGAGTTGTGCACAATGTGACAGTGTAGCGAGAACTACACACGTGTAGGGCTCTTGTACATGCCTAGATACATAATGACATGAGACGCTATTAATAGGCGCATTCCTACGTCTTGACGTTACTAAACCCAAATAGAACGCTCGATGGACGCGTCTGATGATTTGATCCCCCAGGCCAGAATACACGGCAGCATGATAGTCTACCCGTCATGGATGCAGATGAAAACACCAAACTACTCGAGATCGGCGCCGGCGCAAACTCAGAACACAGCTCCGCGACTTGTTGACCCCTCGGGGTTGTATTGAAGAAGTTGCACCGATTCGCACAAAGCAAGCTTACTGCTTCACGCGCTGCACTTGGCAAGCTGGCGGCTCTGCTCGAGCTCTAGGGTAGCAGGTCTCACAGCCACCCGAGGCGCAACACAGCGCTGTCCCAAAGTTTGATTGAAGAAATGAGTTACTTTACCTGATTGGCTTACGAGGAGCCGCTCTTGCGGTGAGCAATTTTTGTGGTTTGGGTGTGATGAATCATGTTGGTCTACCAGGCCAAAGTGTATCGACCTCGCGATGTGTCACGTACTGTCAAGTACTCAACAAGTATACTGTAACTTTTGAGAAACAGGGTCCAGGGCAGACACTGTCTGCCCTTGTCTGCCCTTGGCGGCCATGAATTGTTGCCCAGCAATCATGTTTTTGGAGCGTCAAAGAAACAAAGGCTACTTACTCTGTAGAAGACCGTTACCAGTCTGAGACAAGTATAGGGCCGATTGTCGTTTCAGGAGCAAACATCCCATCATCTGGCATTATCACGTCGGTCCGCACAACCGCGACCATGCATTAATTATAGAAGCTGCCTGATTCACCCATTCGAACTGTAGCCCAGACTGGGTTTTGTATGCACCCCAACCTCGGCGCTCGCGTTGCTCGGCTTACCTACTAGAGCGCCAAGCTGAGATTGTCGTAATGGTCGTGATGCTACAGTGCTGCACTGGGAGCCACATGATGATTTCATTACTTGCAGCCACTGTAGTTTGGGTCTGCACAAACTGTACGCAGTTCACTGTACTCCGAAGGACAGGGGCGTGGCTTGACGCCAAGCCGTAATTCGTGGGGTTTGCCCACGGGCACAGTGTGCAGCTGGGCGGTTGTGTCAACGGTGGTTGGTCGTGAACAGAAGTTTGCTCTCATTGGCGTTTTGCTGGCCGTATTTTCCAGACGTTGGGTATGTTGTTGGTGTCGGTGTGATTTGTGACGAGAAAAATTCGTAGCGCAAGGCGAGAAATCACCCGTTAAACTACGGCGGTTGCCACACTGGGCAAATCACTGTTATTGGCTAACAAGGTTGACTGCAAGTGTCCAACAAGAGGTAGTTTTGCCTACGGACCAAAGGAAAAAATTGAGCTGGCGGAAGTGGCCCCTGTTCCTGGGCTGTCCTGTCGGTCTCTGTTCAAGTCCCAAACAGCGGTAAGGGCAGTGTTGTGCTGTGCTGGCCGCGCGATTTTCCGGCATCACATGTATCACATGTAGTGCTGCAGTTGTGAGTTGTCTTTCAAAGCGTGAGATATCATCACAATCTGTGACTGGGAGCTTTGGTAGTGCGGTAGCGCTACAGCATTCGCCGCATTGGCCTGGATCGCACGGAGTAAAGTCTCGAGGCAATGCAACGACGCTGGAGAGACGGGGTAAATGCTCACAACTGTGCTCCGCACGGAGTAATGGACTTGTAGCGTGCGTATCACCTACTGGGTTAGTATGTAGTTAGAGAACGGAGTTCAGAGGTTCGATAACGAGCAGGACGGCGGGTCTTGTGCCCGCAGTTTACTGCCTTTGCATCCCACAGAGTTCGCACTGGGGGTGGAGGGATTATTGCTGGGGCACCTGGGGAACACCCGACATGTCGGCCGCTGTGGATCTGTACCACAGAGTCGTAGATAATATTGAGCAGCTGATCCAATTTCAGGGACTTGATATATCACGGGCCGGGTCGCAGTACTCAGGACTCCATAAGCCGGCCCGTGTCTCCGTCGCATGAGATAGGAGAGAGTGTGAAGGGCAAAAAGCCAGTGGCGAACATGTCACTGTTGGCCGAAGACCTGGACCTTGCGATGACATTGCGCAATGTTGTTGGGAGCACAGGTTGGGGCAGCGCATCAGACTCGAGCCCAAAGGCGCTCTGTTCATGGAACTGCCTCGGGCGAGGCTATCGTTTCTCCTCCCCCGCATTCGTGGCATTCTCATGGGCGACTAATCAGCCAATGTATCCCTTTGAGTGTGCTAAGGTGCAAGTGAGGTAGCGGGACCCACTTTTCTGCGATACCTAGGAGCTACCTCGTCGATAGCAGGGTCGGCCGCAATAAGATGTAGCTCTTTGTAAATTTGGAAATTTCTGGTACCTTTATTATTATGTTATTTTCTGGTAAAGTCATGTACCTTTTAATATAATAATTCTTATTGGCCCGAATCCTGGTCGATTACAGAAAATGGACCTTAGCACACTCAAAGGGATTCCGGCAGTGGCAGAGTGTCTCACACCAAGGTAATCGACGATTGGCGAGGTGCGCGTGAAACGTGGTGGCGTAGTTTTCTGGCTGTGGTGATGATGCCAACTTCAGAGTTTGGTGGCCGAGATGATACCACATTGTTTGAGAGCAGCAGATCTCGGGCTAGTGTCGACGAAGGAGAGATGTTTCCCTGACAAATGTGGCAGCTTGGCAGACGGTATGTGTTGCAATAAGCAATAAGCAATAGTAAGAAATAAGCTCGCGAGAATGGATGACATGGCTGCAGCTTCAAGGCAGCCGAGACAATGCAAAGCGGTGGGAGGGCAGATATGGAGGAGACATGGACGACATCGGACCAGATCTGAACACTGAAGGCAGTTTGACTATTAGCAGTTCGCGGCTGGCAGTTGGCAGATGGCATGTGCACTTGGCAGCGTCGTGCCTGCCCGATTGGACCAGACATGCGCTTCACGCAGTCAGGGCCGAGGAAAAGGAAGGCGCGAGAAACCATGATGGAGTCAACTTCAGAACTTCAGATGAAGTGTAATGTTTGCAATACTCCGTACAGATTACGGGATGACCCCAAACGCTCTCCCGTCAATGCAAGTGGTTCTCGCCCATCAGCACTCATGCATCCGACCCAATAACAGCTGCCGAATTGACCGATCGATGCGCCGGCCAGAGCATCACCATGATGACTGATAACACATCTCTTGATTGGCACCTGTTCGTTTCTTTAGCTTCAACTTCGCCCCGGCCAACCAAGGCCCCACCAGTTGACACGATGCCACGCTCAACAGCTGCCACTTTTGCCCCCTCCAAGTCGCGCTCACGTCAACTCAGAATGCTGCTCACTCGTCCGTGCTTGCATGTTGCACTTGCTGCAGGCCGAGCAGATGAAGCCAACACTTTCAAATGCTGCATCTGGCTCCATGCAACGCCGCCGCCCTGGACATGATGGACGGGGACGTGACGCGCTTTGGTGGATCTTTTGGTTCCTGACCATCCAACCATTCTGTCTTTAGTTCCGAGGAGCCTCCTTTGAAGTTGGCCGACGGCTATCGTCACCGTGGCATGTCAGTTGTCACAGCCGGATGTGTGCGTGGCAGGGATTCAAAAAAAAAAAAAAAAAAAAAAAAAAAAAAAAAAAAAAAAAAAAAAAAAAAAAAAAAAAAAAAAAAAAAAAAAAAAAAAAAAAAAAAGGCAAGGAAATTAACGCCCCAAACCAACAAGTAATGAGTTTATTGCTGCTGCTGCTCATACTTGCGACGGAAAAAATTCTGCTCACTTGCCGCTTGTTCACTCTCGGCATTGGCAAACCCGAACAAACCCCGCGCACAAATTTCGAACGCGACATGGAGTGCTCCGTATTGCTCTCCTAATTTTCCTCGGATTCTTCGTCAACTTGCTTACTCCTCCTGAACTATTCCCAAGACACAATCACGGGACGCACTGCCGCTTGGTGGCGGCCCAGTCCTCCGTCCATAGCCCTGGCTTTACGGAGATCCAGGCATTTTGGCACTGTGTCGACTGTGTCGACCGAGACTCGGGTGGCGGCTGGAAAACCCCATTTATCGTGCTGAGCAGCCCCGCCTAGTCCCATTCAAGGTCGTCAAGTGGCATTGGTTTTGTACAGACGTCCTCATCCCGACGTCACCGAGCAATACAGCCTCTCCATCCCACTTTGCCTTGGCCCTCTTCACCAGCAACCACCTATTGTCAACGCTTCCAGGCGTTTGAAAAGCCGTCGAATCAGGAATTGCTGTATCGTTGCGATTCGGCCTCGACACTCTGTGATCCGATGGTGTCAACAATTGCCTCCAGACTGTAGAAATCGCCTACCTTTTGCAAGGGAACTATACCTTGTGCCACCGAGGACATGTTTGCGCCGATAACCGACAACTTCCGCTCACGGTGCTCAATTATAATATACCATACACCATTCCTCAATCACCAGCAGGAGCCGACGACCGCAAATCTGTCTGTATGACGGGCTAGCTCCTCGCCTCGCCATGTCTTTGTCGGCGGTGGAGGGTAATGCGTCAATACCGAATCGAGGCCCGGCCGTGTTCGCCGTCACAACGGCGACATTGATTCTGGCTTCAGTATTTGTCGGCGCCCGCATGATTTGCCGCTACTTCATCGTCCGGAGAGTCAGTTGGGATGACAGGGTTATGATACTGGCCTGGCTTATTGCATTTGCCCTCTCATTCTCCATCTGCTACGGCGCGACAGTTGGGCTTGGCAAACACGATGATGACATTAGCGACACGGATTTGCCGAAACTGCGGCGGTTCGAATATGTCTTTTCTATACTATACAACCCCGCGCTCATGGCAACAAAAACCGCCATTTTGATTTTTTATCTGCGTCTAGCGAAAAATACCCAGACAGTCCTGCGATACGCCTCCTGGGCCACCCTGGCGGTAGTCAATGTCGCAGGCATCGTTCTGACCTTTATGAACATATTTCAATGCAACCCAGTCGCCGCGGCTTGGAAGACCACGACCGACGACGGCCCAACACAATGCATCCCGCTCCTGACCGAGTTTATTTGCGCCGCACCAGTCAACATTGTTACCGACCTGGCCATCTTGGCTTTACCGATTCCTGTACTGACTGGTATGCGACTGCCTTCGCGGCAAAAAACTATTCTGGTCATAACCTTTACCCTTGGTATCTTCGTTACCATTGTTGATGTCGTTCGTATTTACTACCTCCAAAAGGCCATAACAGATGTACCCACTGGTTTAACCAGTGATCCCAACTCGCGATTTGGTGGCCAGCAAGACTTTGCATGGAACGCATCTTTGTCTTTCATGTGGAGCGCAGTTGAGGTGAATATTGCCATGACTTGTGCCTGCATCCCTACGCTCAAGCCGCTCATCCTCAAATTACTACCCGCCATGTTGTACGACCCAGAGGGAACACGGGTTTCTCGCACGACGAAATCGAACAGTGATCACGAAACACCGCCTTCGCGATACGTTGGGAGTGCCGCGCGCGAGTCCATGGTGACACCAGAGTCGGCCACTGGCAGTAACCCGGGTGGCGCCAAATCCGATTCGAGCAATGAGATTCCCATGACCGCCATGGAATTCCTGACGACGCCAGACATGAGGAACCTGAGCGAAAGCATGCACCCAGATCTTGTAGCCACACGCGCCCAAACCAATCTAACAGCGTCCACCTCCTCCGTCGAGAATGGCATCTATTTCGGTTTTGTCAATATGACGAAACCGAAGAGCATGCTCCGTGCCAACGCCTCTGAATCCTTCAAATACTGCACGATTGTGGCCATTCTATTCTTCTTATGGGGCATATCCTATGGCCTTCTCAATACCCTTAATAACGCCATTGCAGTGGTGAACAAAATGTCGACCGCGCAGACACTGGGATTGACCAGCGCCTATTTCGGCGTTGGGTATTTCTTTGGGCCGTTGCTTGTTGGAGAATGGATCCTGCGGAGAGATGAGCACAACCGGTCCAAACGCCACGAAAAGAATGAAGCTGAAAACGTGGGCGGCTACAAGGTCACTTTCATTGTCGGGCTGTGCATTTATGGTATTGGCACCATTATATTTTGGCCATCAGCCGTGACCAACTCGTTTGGTGGATTCATGCTGAGCAGCTGTGTGGTTGGCTTTGGGCTCTCTATGCTGGAAGTGGCTGCAAACTCCTTTATGATTCTTTGCGGACCACCAGAATATGGCGAAACTCGACTCTTGCTAGCTCAAGCAGTGCAAGGCGTCGGCAGTGTCGTCAGTGGCCTCCTCGCCCAAAAGGTGTTTTTCACCGGGATCGGCCAGGATAGCACGAGTAGGTCAAACAGCATGACGCTCATCAACGTGCAGTGGACATACCTGGGCATCACTCTGCTCTGCGTTGTGCTGGCCTTGTTCTTCTTTTACATGCCCTTGCCAGAGGTCAGCGACAGCGAGCTCGAGTTTGCTGCTAATAAACTTCCCATCGACACAACCAAGCGAAGCATCTGTGGCCTGCAGCTGCGCACCGTCAGCCTTGTGCTGGCCGTATTCGCGCAATACATGTACGTTGCCGGCCAAGAAAGCAACAGCATATACTTCCGCAGCCTTCTTGTTTCGATCCTCCCGAGTCCCCCAGCCGGCACCGATGCAGCATCCGGCATCACCAAATCCAGCTCAACATACGACCCGGACAAGCCGCCCGGCATAGCCATCTCGATCCCAGACTACCTGCTCATCGGCCACACCGCATTCGCGGTATCCCGCTTCCTCGCAGGATGCCTTACCTACTTTTCGGCCTCTAATCGCCGACTTCCACAACCACGCACCGTTCTTACTGGTTGCATCTTGCTGTGTTTTCTCTTCGCCTTGCTCCCAGTCGTGTTACACCCGCCTAATCCCGACCTGCTCGTTATTCCGGTTATGCTATTTTATTTCTCTGAAGGGCCTATCTGGCCGCTTCTTTTTGCCATTGGCTTGCGCGGCCAAGGACGTCGAACGAAGCGAGCGGCGGCCTTCATAACCATGGGCGGTTCCGGTCCGGCTTTCTTTCCCTTCATTATGTATGCGATTATCGAACACGGCGGCAGCGTACAGACGGCGTATATTGTCGTCGTCGCACTGCAGGTTGCAATGTTTACGTACCCTGTATTCCTGCAATTCTCCCGCAGCGCGAGGCTTTTGGTCGACCCTAACCCGGATGTCCGGGCGGCACTGGAGCAGGACGGGGATGGATTATCAACCAATCAAGTGATGAATGGCCAACAAAACCAGAGACCGAATGGCCTGTTCGGAGGATTTTGCCAGAGTCCCAAGTTTGGTGAAAGGAGAAAATCGTCCCCGCCAAATGTTCAGCATAATGAAGGCGCTACATCGTTAAACGCCACCCATATCACTTAATTTTTCCTCTTCTTTCTCTTTATGAAGTATATATTTTGGACCATGTATATATGGCTTCCTCCGAGGTTACGATCTCAAAACGCTTGCGAGCGTTAGGTATTTGGTTGGATATTGGGTACCCGGCATGGGCGGCGTAGAACCAGGCAGAGGCTCTGGGATGGCGTGTTTGTTATATACCCCGATTCGATGGACTTTATCTTTTTTTTATATATTCATACAATATGAGAATAGGGTTTCTGACGGGCAGTGTGAATGATAATACATATATCGGGAAGTTGCTCCTGTGCACGCATGACACTGACGAGAATGACCCCATGCCAGTGGGCTGCGGTTGCCATGCCTTTGGATGCTATTATCGACCTTGTTCATGGTAGTCCTGCCGGGAACGTCAATGGTTCAGCGGACCGAGACGGCAAGAGACCCGAGCAGCAGCAGTGATTCACCGGCGACAGCTCCGCAGAGGGCATGGTCTCAGAGAGCTGCTAGACTCGCACCGAGCTCTCAGTTGAGGTTGGGAATTTAATCTGCACCGACACCTGGCCTTGCGCAAATCATCCCAAGCTACCACTCCGAGCCGACATCTCTCTCGATCCTCTCAAACACGCCGACGCCCTGGGCCCCCAGCGCCGTCGCCAAGCCGACGGCCACGGCGCCCGCGCTCCTCATCCTCCTGTACCCGGCGCCGTCCTGCAACGCCAATGACGTGCACGCCGGCGAGTCCTCGCTCGTCCAGCACCCCTCTCAGAATCCTCACGTTGCCCACGGACAGCGGGTGAATGCCCGCGCCGGCCAGGCCCCCCACGGCCCCCGGCAACGCCTCGGTCCCGCCGTCGCCAAACACGACGCACGAACCGAGGGTATTCGTGGCAGTGACGAAGCTGATTCGCGCGGCGTACGGCGCCAGCGCATCCGCTAGCGCGGTAAACTCCGCCGAGTGCGTGTACGGCGGCGTCTTGATGCCAACTGGTATGCGCGGCTCTTCCGGCAGCGCGGCCAGATACTCGGCCAGGCGCACGGGATCGTAGGCCGGCGGCGGAGAGCCCGGCATGTTGGGACAGCCGAGATTGATTTCCATGGCGAGCGGCAAGGAGATGCGCGGCGAGGCGGCGAGGATGTGGGCGTAGCACGCGGCGACGGAGGAGGGCGAGCCGGCGACGCTGACGACGGCCGTCTTGCGCACGCTGGGCAGGGAGGCGCTCAGGCGTGCGAGCGCGGCGAGGTATGCGTCGAGGGGGAGCGGGCTGTAGCCCAAGGAATTGATGCTGCCGACTGGGGCGGCGGCGGACGGGGCCGTCTTTGGGGCGCGGTTGGAGGCAGGGTCGAAGAAGGCGTATCGGTGGATTGCGTCGTCGTGGGGGAACCCCTCGATGAGGCTGGTTCGGGTGGTGATGGCGCCGGTGGAAGGGCACTGGAGGAGGCTCTCGAGATGCTCGGGCGTCGTGGCCCAGGGGCAGGCGGTGTTGAGCAGCGGCGGGTGGATGGAGAGCTTGGGGGCCATTGCTTTTTCACATGGGGTAGATGGAGCGGAAGGGTTGCGCGGTTGAATGTGTTGAGGTGTTGGGCATCTGGTGATGGTGGTGGTGGTGGTGCGTGTGAGGTGGTGGCTCAAAGTGGGCCGTGGACCGACGTGTGTATTTGTATCATGGCGGGGCGAGTCCACGTTGTGTCAAACAAACACCCGCTTGAATCTTGGCCATATACAAGGAGAGGTATTGAAAATGGAGAGAGAGGTAGCCCCTCGTCATGGTCTCGAAGGAAACGACATGCAATGCCGCCGAGCCACTGGCAAAGTTCGCAAGTCACCGATACATGCCCTCCGGCTTAGACGGTACTAAACACAGTGGCAGCATCACATCTTGGTCGGGGACTGATGGCATTGCGACAAAAAATGGCCCATCATGGTGAAAAATTTACAAGAATTCTATCTGCCCAGTAAGTGAACCCTCCTTGACGCCTTGTTCGTGACTACACATCCTTCCGGGGAGATCCAAGCTCATCACAACTTACAAGTCCGCCAAAAAGCAACATCACCATTCACCAGCCAAATTCCTCGCAGTGCAACTCGATACTAGGACCGTCTGACCGGATACTTTCCGCTGTCGTCTCTCTCATCAAGTCCATCAACTGAGACGGCCCGCACCCAGTGATGAGAACTCGCTCCTCAGGATGGGTGCCGCCCACCACGTCACGGATCAGCGCCGTAATGTTGGGCTTTTGGTATTTTATTGGAATGTTGCGCAAGTCCACCGGGCAGTACGAGCTCGCGGCAGATACAGACTCGCTGTCTGACGAGGGCTGAGACCTTTCCAAGTCGATGGATGAGTCTGAACCCACCGGGCGAATGCGATGGACCTGCTCCTTCTCCATCAAGATCTCGCTGACGATACTAGTCTCAAACTGCCCGGGTGAAGGTCCGGAGAAGCCAGTGGGCAAGGGTGGCAGTGGTGATGCCGATCTCGTGACAAAGACTTGAATTATGAATCGAGGATCGTCGCTCAGGTTCGCAAGATGATGGGCGAACCAGTTCAAATATGCTGCCAACAGTTGATTAGCGAATCATTCCCACAAGCGGGGTATCGTGTCCGAGACGTACAATGATACTTGACCGCCCATACAAAGATGACGCGCTTCGTCATGGCCCCCGTCGCTCGGCTCAACAGCGCATTCGCCAAGCCAAAGGTGAAGCTGGCGCCACTACCGCCAGCAACCAAGACCACAGTCTCAAAAGCCGATGGGTCTGGAACCGTGCCATAAGGCCCTTCGATCGATGCCTTGAGAGTCACACCGGGGTTCTCAACGGCGTACTTGTGCAGATCTCCGGTAAAGCCGTTGTGAGATGCAATCACAAGCTCGAGAGGGTCGGCCGATGCAATAGTGAACGGGTGTGTTTCGAATAGTCGAAGCCTGGGAATCCACAGGAAGCAGTGTTTGCCGGAATGAGCACCCAGGGGAGACTTGGCCAACGTGACCCGAGTGCCTCCGTTGGGCAATGGTGTAAGAGTTGCCGTGTTGCTGCTGTGTACCATGAGTCGAACGAATCGAATAACACGATCTAGCCCCCACATGGAGCCGGCAATAATCGTGCCATATACAATCTTGTTGGTCAAGAAGGGTTGATGTAAGCCAAGGGTGACAATGGACACAACCCAAAGGCCGACATGCACGTAGTAGAACAGCTCATACCACCAGCGCCGGATGAACACGGCAGCCAATGCAAGCAGCACCCAGCAACCCCCCGAAACAATCCCATAAATATCAGACGTGTCCAGCAGTTTTTTACAGTAGTTGATGCTGCAAAAGTAAGCAGAATAGCAGGCCGCGTGAACAATGAGATGCGTCACGGCAGCGTAACCCGAGATGCGGTGGAGGCAGTTGAGCCGTTCGTATGACCATGCGGTCAAGAAAGCGAGGGGCGTGTTCTTGAGCGCGAAGAAGATGACAACAACTAGATTCGCAATAGCCAGCCTAGGGGAATCATGAGCCTTTGGGCAACATCCCCGGGGGAGTCGTGGTGTATATATACTTACCAGCCGGTCCGCGAAGCAATGTTTGTTGTCATGTTCATGCTGCTGTCCAAATTGGCAAAGAGGCAAATCAAGTTGAGCGCCATGAACAGGGTCGTGATGACTCCGTGGCCAAGTGATGGCACCCCGGCCGCACGTTGAATAGTTAGCTTTCTGATTTGTCTACAGCATGTCAGTTGTGAATGATGACCCCAAGACCGGGGCTTATTATTCCATACCTGGGTAGCGCAGCGAGCAAAGATGGTGACGCTGAGCCCCGAGATCTCCGTCTCACCCAGTGATTCGACTGTCTGATCAAGTAAAAGGCGATGTAGGCAAGTCCTATCGTGCCCAAAGTAATGATGAACCCCAGCGTCGTCTGCTCATTTCTCTCTGCGCGAATGGCAAACATGCGCAGTAGCGCCTCGTCGTAGCCCGCCATCGTCAAGTTGAATATGTGTAAGACAGCAGAAGATGACTCGAATAAGGAACTATGGCGGCGCGCCGGTTCCGGCAGAATAGTGTGCGACGGAAGGGGTCGAAACTCGTTGAAAGTAGGGACACGGGAGGGAAAAATCGTATTGTTATTGTTCGTTGAGGCGATTCCGTCTCCTGGCGATGCTTCAAGCCGGTCAAGATGACTGAAATGGATCCAGAGCCGAATCAACAACTGCTTCGTGACCCCAAGCGTTTACTCGTAAAGGTGAAGACTTGGACACTTAAATATGGGACGGTATCATGGCTCGGATGAGGAAGATGACAGTAGAATATCGCGCTATGGTCGTTCTTTCCCAAGTGACTTTTACGTCTCGAGACCGAGCTTCGATGGCCTGGTGCGTCTCAGAGCAGACAGAAGCTCGCCGGTTTGCGGGCAGAATACAAATATGAATGCCTGGATATATCTGCAGGAAGAGATGGTGCAAAAACGCACAGCCTCGAATATACACACTCATATATATTGAACTCGGAGCCCATGTCGAGCCCAACCTAGGTTACCTTGAGGCCATTATTCACAATACACGCCCTTTTACCCCCGTCCCCTCCTCATAGCCAATAGACAAGAGTGTAATCCATGTCACAGTTATCAACAAGGTCGAAGCGAAGTGTGCTATACGGATGGTATCTAGTAACGGGACATGCTACCAAGCCAGGGGATGCTTGTGATGGTTGCGACCACGGACTTTCACACCCCCCACCCATAGCCCAGAGGTTTACAATACATTCAACTTTTCGAAACAAGCCTTGGACTAGGGGCAAGGTTCTCTTGGCAAGCAAATCATGCCTAGCGGGTAGGCCCACGTCCTCCCGATCCAAGGAGCGACGCTGATGGAGAAAAGTGTCCCAGTAGGTTGCGCCGTCAACACTACGCAGGGACGTTACACCATCCTTATAGGATATCAGATCGTCATATACTAGGCCATACCCACTACATTCACAAAAGCAACTCGTCTCGCGCGGAACCGAGAACCAAGCCGTCTAGTACGCCAAGTGCGGTTGAGGGGGGTCGTGCGCACCGGCTGTCTTCCCCTTGGTAGGGAGGACTGGGACCCAACTACTTTTGAAACTGCTGACGAAAACTTTTCTTTTTGTATTTGCGTTTTTTTACCTTCTCGAAGAGTTGCAAATTGCGATTGATAAAAAAGGAGGCTCGAGGTAGGTCGGTGGATATCCACCAACTTGCGACAGCACACGACGTCGGATGACGTGACCTTGTCAACATCTGCAACGGGACAGGTTGCGTGGCATCGATGCGTCCGAAACTGGAAGGTTGACGACAAGATGAGAAGCCACGTGTGCGAGTGAGACAGACAGCCCGGGTGCCGTGATGCGTCCTGCCCCCCCCGCGCAGCAACGCACTTTTGCACGCTGGCCCAGATCCTTTGAGGACGGAGGACAAGTTGGAAATTGGCCTTGTATCAGCTAGTCCTGGCGCGCGGAGCTTTAGACCGACCAGCATCCCGATCAAGCCGGATGGGAGGCTAGTCTGGGAGCGTTACTACACCAATTTCGCTACGGCCTGGCAAGTTGTTTCAAGGCCATCGACGCCACTCCTAGCTACGATATCTGCTGTCGCGGCCCGAGTCCTGGATTTGCGAAACAGATGCGCAAGATGGGCGAAGATCCATCTCTACGCTTTGGCGTCCCTAGTATAAGCTGGCGGCGGAGACCACCGTCTGTGCAGGGCGCAATTCGGCGGCGTGGAGTATCCCAGCATTTGCATCATGTTTATTTGACTGAAGAGTCAGTGGCCGTAGCAGGATTCTCGACACGTCAACTGCTCGGAATCCCTTCAGTCGGTAGGGGTAGGTAGTAGTTTGGTTGCGTCCGGCAACTTGCCGCCAATGTTCCCCATCCGATCTGTCTGGCGAAGAAATGGGCCCCAGAAACAAAAGGAGAACAAAGTCAGTGGCCCATGGTTGTTTCGACACATGGGCTAGATGGGGCGAGTCAAGGTTTGGTTCACATGTTGCATTCATTCTTCTCTGCACGGGCTTTGGGCTGGGGGCGTGTAGTTGCCGCGAATGCTTTTTTTTCTGCGTGGGAGGCCGCAATGGTTGTGTGCCTGGCGGCCTTTTGGTCTGCATGACCCCCAAGTAATAAACCTTCTGTTCCTGATGGTCGGTTGCTTGATCCACCGCCAACCACGGGTTTCCCATGGGCGGGGACAAGCCATTGAAACGGCCAGAAAAGAAAAGCAGAATGCCCTGTTATGTGGGTAAAAAAGAAAACCTGTGCTCTGGTGCCACTCGCGTCTCTTTCGATTCTCCGGGCCACACATGGCGTCTCCATCTCCACAGCACGGCTGAGCCAGACTCCATGCCGGTCTGCCGAGTACCATGGGGTAATAATCTACGACTGGTACCGTCATTTCCGTTGCCAACGTGTCCCCATGATGGCGGCATCATGCCATCTCCCGATGTGCTCCCCCGCAAAAAGGAAGGGGGGAGTGCTGCGATGCACCACCACACACCCGGACCAAGGTAGCGGGCTCACCAGACGCTGGCTGCCAATGTATGATAACGTCATGTTGCACATTGCTACATCCGTCACGACACACGCAAAATCGCAAGATGGCATCCACGCGTGAAGCTGCCCAGACCCGGCTCGGCTCCCACATAATAGCACCAGACAAGTTACACAAGTTACATGGGACGGGCCAATGAGAGAGTTCGGCACGAGCATCGCAGGTTTCGCACGTAGGTGTACTTTGCTGATCCCTGGCTGATGAAGAAAAAGGTTCAAGGTTGTCTTATCTCGATCATCAATGCTTGCATCACCTACGTGGACCGCTTGGCCCGAGATTGAAGGGGCACGGCTTCCAAACGACGGCAGGTGTGTGGCATTATTTCTGCGTGGCCGATTCTGCCCGTCTCGCCTCCTTCTCTTGGGAGGCCTGGTGTCTTTGTGGGAGAGAATTGCGACATTCTGTCCGTGACGCAGTGCAGGCGGCAAACTATCGGCTTGCACCTTGGTTCGCGTCAACTCTACGGAGATTTTACAAGCACTTTGAACACGGGCTGGCTGTGTTGGTAATCACGCTCGAATATGCAAATTTCACATCTCGCCGTCTAGTATCGCCATTCATCACCAAGCTTTGCACATGCACATCTCACAACCGCGACGCAATGCTCGAGGCGCGACTGCGTCCTCGCGGGCTCCAAATCAAGAATTGACAAGAAGTCGAGTCATTGCAGGTATTATATACCTCATGTTTCGTACATGCAGCCATTGCAAAGTCACCCGGCCACTAGCAACACTCCCGCAGATCTACAATCACGCATGAACATGAGCCTGTTTTGTTCCACAATGGCAATGCAACCAACACGACGAATCTTCACATCCATGGTCCGTCGACCAATAACGAACGTGGTGTAAAGCTCCCTATCCAGTGTTTTGCATCATAGGCGTGACGGGCGATGTGTTTCCCTCGCATCACCACGTCTCGAATCCTCCCCCCCTTCAACTCATTCTACTTCTTGGAGCTCGTCATGGCCCTTGTCTCGTCCGCATCGTCGAGGAACAGCTCCTCACGCTCCCACATGAGCTCCACGGCGGCGCCGGTAGGGCTGGCCAGGACAGACAAGGCCACGACCTTGGCCAACAGGCTCGGCAGGCTGGCCTGGACGCCGGCGGCGCGGTGCGCGCTCCTGATCAGGCTCACAGCCCAGACCAAGACGCCCGCGGACCCAATCACGTAGTCCCATCGCAGGAAGACCTGCACGCCCTGTCCCACGGTAGATACCTCGAGGGCCGGCGACGCCCAGGGCAGCGGCGTCGCGAACACGCTCAGCGGGTGGAGGGCCTCGAGGCACCGCTTCTGGAAGATGCCGGGCGCGGCGACGGTGGCCGCCGAGACGACGACGCTGACGAGGTGCGCAATCGCCGTGTTGGCAAAAGGCGAAGGCGTACACGTACCGGAGGGAGCTCACCGTCATGCGGGAGGGGGTGCTGA